TCTGATGAGGCTATATTTGAGACTGGGAAGAATGGCAGGATATATGTGACTAGGAGGGTAGATGAGAGGAGGTGCCCTGACTGCATTAAATCAGTCTACAAGTCAGGGAGGACAACGGTCATGATATGGGGGGCATTAAGTTGGGATTACAAGTCGCCATTAGTCTTCCTAGAGAAGCTTCCAGAACGCAAGGGCATATGTTCTAAAGCCTATCTACAGCAAGTTCTTCAGCCTATAATCTTCCCTCTCTTTGATGATCTAGGGCCGGAGTATATCTTCATGGAAGACGGGTCTAAGGTGCATAAAGGGCATGCCAAATTACCTAGACTACAGCACAATATCCGAGGGTTTAATTGGCCTCCTTCTTCACCAGATTTGAACCCTATTGAGAAAGTCTAGAGGTGGATGAAGGAGAAATTGAAAAACTTGGACTATATGCCCAAAAATAAAGTGGATTTGAAAAAGGAGTTGCAAAAGCTATAGGACCGAGTTAACCCACGTGACTTTCGCCACTACACTAAGCAATTGACTTGTAAGATTGAGGATGTAATTAAGTATAAGGGTATGGCTACTATTAATTAATAATAAGTTCCATTTTCACAGAGATTCATAAGAAGACTAAAAAATTATGATTTTTGGTAAATAAGGTCTCATTTGTTGAGTTTCGCTTAAGTGGGCCATTCCCGGTGGCCTCAGCTCTTAACAGAAGCAAGTTTGATAAGTCCAACTCAAGCCAACCAATCCTCTTCTCTCTCAACTTGGTCACAAACTCATTCCTTACGGGCAAAAATACCAACCGGACTCTTTTCATCCGGTTACTATCACTCCCTTGCCCATCCAGAACCAGGACCTCCGCCCCACCAAGCAACATGGCCCGTCTCCTCCAAAAACATGCATCAGAATCACCACATTCTCCTCTTGGAAATACTTCAATTTTTCCACCTCAAACGGTGCCATGTATGCATATATCAATATTCCAGCAATATAATGGGCAAAGATAATCGGCCTTTAGCTGCTTGTTGTAGAGCGCCTCACAACTTATTCGAATATCACGTGATTTTTTTAGCTGTGCACTGTGTTTCTAACAAAATGGCCATAATAAAAGCGCCGGTCAGGTCCACTATTATAGTCTTGACTTTTCATTGCTTTTTATCGAATCATTTTCTCAATCCCTTAAATCTTCACCAAAAAAATGTTAAGAATATCCACATGACCCAATTCGTCCGCACCGTCCCCCTTGGCCATGTCTTAATCCACTTGTCAATCACTACTTCAACATCTACGATCTATGCACGATTGATAGGAAGATCTGGACTAAATTGTAAGCGAGCTTTCTCCACGTCTTAGGAAGATAGACTCAACGGTTAAGGTCTTTCCATTCCATAGTTCCAGCTTCCAGCCGTGATTCGGTATAGCTGGTGTAGGTGCATATATACCGATAGTCGGGTAACTGTTGGCGTGGGGAAGACAGGTAAAGCGTATGTGGAGTATCTATGCCTGTAGATTTGTGAGCAATTTTAGCCGCACAAGCTGATAGCGATAGTCCTAACCCTGATTTTTCTTCAGCTTTCTGTACCGCCAGATGACAAGTAATGCCGGGGCGCAAGTCGCAAAGAGTGTCACAAGTGCTATGATTGTATCCTTAGACCAAGTCATTTTATTGTTCATATACCGGTCTTCGTGGTATAAAATGCAACATGATGATGGATCTATTTGGAGGAACTTTATGACCGATAGAACTCAGATTTTGGCCAGAGGCTACTGAGCCTCGTCAATAATGATGGTCCTGGCCCGGGAGGGAATTCTCAGGGTTTGGCAACTACCAATCACATCAATTCCGTGTGGCTGTGCCCGAACTCAGGTTTTGGATGCGCCACCATGCAGGTCGCCTCATTTTGAATGCCAAAATCTGCGTCCTTGTGGAACACGGTACTCTACTACTCTATCATCCATCATCCATCATCCATCACAAATCAAAAACTTCAATCAGAACCTTGGCAGGTCTTGTGTCATCTCCAAAAAAAAACTCATACAGAAGAGACCTCTGGAATCATTCACTTCTCACTCAGATCGCTGTTCATCATGCCTTCCAATCAGGCTAAGGCTATTCCAGAGCCTCAGTGGAACCAACACAGGGATGATATCATAGATCTCTATTTGACGGAAAACATGGCAGTCATTTGCGAGAAGATGAAAGAGCGTGGATTCTCGGCAACGTACGCACAATCCTCTACGTCGAATTGCTAGACCTTTGACTGACTTGACTTGTGCTAAGGGAATCACAATACGAATCGCGTCTTCGCAAATGGAAAATCCATAAAAATGGAACGAAGGAGGATTGGAAGAATGTCTGTAGGCTCGTACGAATCAGAGCTGATCAGGGCAAAGGTTCAGATGTCTACATGCACGGCAAACTCATTCCAGCCGACAAAGTCAAGAGGTGGACTTCGCGATTCCTTACGCCTATGGAATTGAATAACGTCCATCAAGGTAGGTTCAAATGTCGAATTATTCTACAACCTTCCAACTAAGGCCCATATGCAGCACGCCATCCACAGGCCCCGGATAGTTTTACAATCAAGTCTCCCAAAGAGGAAACTTCGTTTCGCTTTCCAACACCAGAGACACAAAATGCCTTGCCAATTCGAGAAATAATGACCGCCAACCTTCCATCTTGCCGTCTCAGTCAATCCATTGCCTTACGTGGTATTACTCCAATGCTTCATGTTCAAATTCTTTTGTGCTATTCCGATATATGTACTATCTTCATGCCAAATGGATGTACTGATATCGTTATAGGTTTGACTTTCACCTTGGGGCCTACGCCCAACTCGAGATACATAAACCCGAGACTCCTATCTGGTCCTAGCTCAAGCCTCAGTCAAGATCAAGAACCAACCGGAACGGACAACGGGTCAAATTTGTACAACAATGCCCTCCAGCTCATTTCCGACTTTCGGAACGGAACTTTTTCCAATTTGAATCCACTCGTCTCAACCCTACGCTTGTTGATGCCCGCTGTCATACTTCGGGACTTTGAGGGGCCCAACTTGATTCTGAACGAGGAGTTTGTGAATTCAGCTTTGACCCGACTCGTCATATTCACAACAACCAACAACTTTGCTGGTCTGGAGAGCCTCCCTAGCAATATTATAGAATGCTTACGAAATCCAACAAATATGCGACTGCTTGAGGAACTTCAATCCACCCCGGGCCTTGAAGTCGAAGGTTTTGCAGAAAATCTTTTTTGCGCTTCTGTTGCATCTGGGAACGCTGGCATTGCTGAGTATCTCCTTCGAACGAGTAACTTAGACTCCAACCAACTAGTGTGCAGTCGTGAAGGATGGCGGTTCACCCCAATACAACTGGCTGTTGCGCTAGGAAGCACGGAGGTCACAAGGATTCTCATTCGAGCGAAAGCCGACCTCAACAAATCACTGCTAGCGATAAACCCCCCGGTCCTACGAACGCTAAACATAGCGGTTTCGGAAATGAAAGATCCTTTCTTTTGGAAGGTTCACACTGATCTTAAGCTTGTGCGCATGCTGCTGGAGGCTGGCGCCGTATTGGGCATGGATGAACTCGAAAGCGATATCTACTCGGGTGATGTGAAAGTGGATGCCGTGGTACTTCTCATCACTTCCTATTTTAGTGCAAGTGCCACTAGACATATTGCAGGACGGATTCTCGGGATGCTGCTGCAAGAAAAATCAGACCGTATTCCATGTGACCTCAAACCACCGGATTTCACCTGGAATGTCATCATTGGTATCTTTGATAGAGATCCCATGGCCATAAATCTCATTCGAAGTTACATGGATAATCATGCGAATTTACATCCAGCACTCGATGTCATTGCAGGAGAGGGTCACCTTGAGCTGGTCAAGGCACTTCTTAGGCCTGGAGAAATACCAACAACACATATCCTCATTCGCGCAATACATAGTGGTAGTGTGGAGTTGGTGGAGTACCTTCTGGATGTAGGAGCCGATGCCAATGGTCATGTTGTTACTTCAACCAAGAGAAATATGACTCCAATAGCAGAAGCAATTTGGTCAGGAAACGCTGTAATTGTTGAGCTCCTTAAAGCTAAAATTGGATGGCTGTAGGTTAGGGACAAGCCTTAGTATGCCACTGCTTTGGTTGCAGTTTCAGAGGTTGGAGACTTGGAACTAGTTCGTGAACTCCTCAACATGGGGTCGATTCTTGATGAATACGAGCTGTTTGCGCCTCTAGCAGCATCTATGCGAGAAAAGCACGAAAAGATTGCTATGATGATCTTCGAGAGTATAGAAGCTACACTACGGTCGAAAAATATTCAAACCCTATATCTCGACAACGATTCAATTGAGTTTCCATCGCGTCGCTTTGAGATTACCTACCCAAGTACAATTAACGATGAATTCTTGTTCGGGTCTGCAGCGAAGTCCACTTTGATACGTGCATCCACAAATGGTTGGATTATTATTGTTCATAAACTGCTTACAATTGTATCGAGATTTGATGATCGAACCCTCGATGAATCTCTGCTCGGGGCAGTTAAATCAAACCACGAAAGCCTTACTTTAATGCTGCTTGATGCTGGAGCAACCCCGAGCGCAGATTGCATAGGAGCAGCGCTGGATACAAGAAACGTCAAGTTCATCGAATATCTTCTGGATGCAGAACCTAGCCTCAATAAAAAAATTGATTTTAAGTTGGAAATGGAAGGCCCAGCTGGCGTGGTTTGGAGGGCAACCAAATTGGGTCATTACTCAACCCTCGAAAGATTGATTGCATATGGCGCAGACGTTAACGAAACAAAGCTTCCAGTTGACTTCGAGATTCATGGAAGACTTGGTACCGACGAAGATGACGAATATGAGACAGCACTTGTTGTTGCTGTGAGAAAACGGGACATTAAGTTGGCTCAGCTCTTGCTTGACAATGGGGCTGATATAAACCTCTGTGCCAAATCAGGACGTGTGACACCTTTAGCAGCTGCAATCGAACAAGAAAATATTTCTATGATCAACTTCCTTCTTGCCCAAGGCGCTGATCCGGCCGATGAAAAGGCTTTGTGCACGAGCGTGCTACGGAGTCATCTACTGACCGAGCACATAATTGAGGCGTTTGCAAAACAATATCCTCGTGGAAAGAAGAATTTAGGTTCTAAAATGCTGGTGGGATTAATCTAGTAGAGAGCCTTTGATATCATCCACCAGCTTCTAAGGCTGCCAATTGATTATAATGGTCTTGTTCCAGAGCGGAAGATTGAAAAATACCGGGTGACCCCACTTGGATCGGCAATTAAAGAGGGCGAAGGAGTACATCTCAATATAGTCCAGATACTCTTGGGTGCAGGCGGTAACTCCAACAGTATTGCCTATGAACAGGAGGAAATTAACCTTACTGACCATACCCGATTTTGGGCTTCGCATATCAAGAAGACCGCGCTCTTGGTAGCCGTCGAGACTGATAAGCTGCCAATGGTCCAACTTCTTATTGATCATGGAGCGAAGGTGAATCGCCCGGCCACTATGGGCGTTAGGCGCACGCCACTACAAAAAGCAGCTGAAATTGGAAATTTCGACATGATAGAATACCTTCTGAGTAAAGGGGCGGAGATAAATGCTGTGCCAGCTCGCGTTGGAGGTGCCACGGCGTTACAACTTGCGTCAATTAGAGGCTACACCGGGATTGCAGAGCTGCTCTTGAACCAGGGCGCAGATCCAAATGCTCCAGCGGCCAAGTCAGAAGGAAGGACTGCTATTGAAGGAGCTGCAGAATATGGTCGTATGGACATGTTGAGGCTACTAACAAATGCTGGCGCCAGGATGGATCAGCGACATTATGAAAGCGCTGCAAGGCTGGCGGAGAAGAATGGGCACATGACAACTAAGAAGTACTTAAGGTCCCTTTATCATGAGAACCTTGCGGTTGAGGAGCTATTTGACTAGTTCTTAGTTTCAGCTTCGAATGTATGGGTGTAAGATTGTTTAATCCAAAACCCTCTCTTCCTGTAGTAGCAATTTGAGCTCAATTTGGTATAGATTTCAATAGAATCAAGAGAATAATTCCACGTACATTCCGAAACAACAGCAAACCCTATCACAATTTGGCCTTAACATCAGCTCCTGCAGCAGCATCCATCCCCCAATCACTAACAGCCATCATCGCCTCCGCCTCTAAAAGAAAAAACATATACCCCTCCATCCCAACCTTCTCCGGCCCCAACACCTTCACCCTCGCCTCCTCATGCGCCTTCTCATCCACCCCATGCGGCACCATCGGATTATTCAACAACGCTCCCAAAGGCTTGAACCCCTCCCCTTTCCCCTCATCCTGGCTATTAACTACAACACCAATAAACTCACTCATAGTATTCCGATGGAAATACGGCGGCCAATACGTATCCTCCATCACATACCATCTTGGCGGAAAGATGGCAAAATCCACCACCGCCGTTCCGGGCTCTCGATGCGAAGGCGCTGTTAAGACGGTAGAAATGCTGGGGTCGGGATGGTCGAAGAGTGTGCTTCCGATCACGCTGAAGCGGCCTAAGTCGTATTTGTAGGGGTAGTATGTACCATGCCAAGCGACGACGTCGAATGGGGTGTGATCCTGGGTGCGAGAGTATAGTTTTCCGGCGAGTTTGATGATTACGCTCCAGTTGGAAGGTTGGCAGGTTGCTATTCCGTTCTCGATGCTGCCTTCGAAATGAGCGGTTGGGATTTGGAAATCTCGGACGTTTGCAAGGGAACAACCTGGGTCTATCAGTACTATTGGATCTTTGAGTGGGGAAGTTAGACTTACTACCAATAGGTCCCAATTCTGGCAACTGAAAATGTCCCTGAAAAAGCTCACAGATATACCCTCTCGCAGGACCATTCGGAACAGTCACCCTATATCTGATACCTCTAGGAATAACAGCAATCTCATTCTGCCGGACAAGAAGGCTTCCCAGCTCAGTCTGGATATCAAGCGTCCCAGCATGTGGGATGATCAAGTAATCACCATCAGCTGAGAAGAAGACGGTTTGCGGATCCATGTCTTTGGATGCGGAATATACAAGATACGCCAAACCAGCCTTCGTTGCAGGATCTCCAGATCTTGCTAGTGTTTTCTGAGAAGATATCCAATCATGGCCAGGTTCCATTGGGAAGTCATTCCATTGCAGTGGATTGGGAGAAAGCTGAAATTTTGGCGGATTATCTGTTGTGGATATCGCTGAGAACTTTCCTTGAGATAGAGAAGGATGAACACGATACATCCATGTCTGTAAGTTGGTTGCTCTTGGCGCCGTGAACGAAGTTCCTATTCTCAAAGTCAGCGTGGCTATTTCAGATACTCAAAGCCCGAGCATGTTTTAGAAGTGGAAGGACATTTTGAGTATCAAAGTCAACCCTCAAAACACAACTCACCAGAAATCCTCTCAGTACACAACCCAAAACCCGGAACTTGTGGACTATTAATCCCCACCGGATTCGCGCCCCTCACAACCTCCGACCTATATCCCATCACATCTTATCAGCCTCGTCTCCCAAATCGCAAACACTCTATTTCACTTACTGATGATACCCTCCAAACCCCTCCAGGTAACTATACTTCTCCTCGACGCTGAATTTTGTTGTTGGCATTTCTGTTTCTTTTCAAGTTTGATACTTTGATAAAACCGGATCTCTCGTTCAAATTTAATACTTTGATAAAGTCGGCTCTCTCGGACTTATATAGAAAATGAACAGATGCTTATACCGCAATATCCGCAAAAGCCTTTCGACGATCCGTGAAAGGCTGTCAGATCAGAGATGCGGGGAAGCCACCTGCACTTACCCCACATCCCGAGTCACGGGCCGTGCCGAAGAGCCGTCTTTCTACACATGTCTCCCCATTTCGTCTCACCTCTGCAGCTTCCTTTCATAATCAGAAAAGTATCCTTTATCGCGTTTTAAATCTCAACCCTCCAAGATCTTTTTACCGGAAATTCGCAAAGTAAATTATGAAACCCTACGGGAGTAATACGTCCCGGTAAATCCAGGAATTTCCAAGGTGTAGCTAGGATTTCTGGCCTTTTACTGGAATTTATCCTGGAATCCCTTGAATTTGAAATTTTTTTTAATAATCTAATAATGTTCTTGAATCTGCTAGGTTATCCAGGATCCTCCAGGAATACTGGAATTAATCAAATTAATGAAGGAAAATCCAGTCAACTCTTCAATAAAGTTAATGTAAAGCGCATTATTCCTAGCAATCCTTTTGAATTAGTCCTCTCCCTTCGATCTCTCCCTCAGATCTCTCCCTCAGAGTAAGTCCCTCTCTCTAGCGTACGTTTGAAAGCGGCGAAATAAAAACTCGAAATCAAAGTGCATGCTAAAATATATCAAAAAATGCATTAATATATTGTATTTTTTAGTGGGTAGTTTTTTTTTGAATAAATTCCTGGAAAAAAATTGAAATTTAATTTTTTGGAAATAGTCTTGAATTTTAAATCTAGGAAAACCAGGATTTGCCCTATAAGGAAATCCACATGCCAATAGAAGAGAATGCGACTTTCCTGGTAAGTCTCTCCGCTATTGTTCTAAGACGACTAGCTAAGAATAGAGGTAGATCACAGCACGCTGTCGAGCTTACTGCAGATATGGAAAGTTACATCAAAGTGTCTAGTTATTGTTGGTAGAGTGATCTCCTATGTATCCATGATTTCCTGTTCCCAATACAATCATTAGAACACCTCACCAGCGTTCTCTAGAACGAGAAGAAGATGTTGCTGTCATGAGGAGCACAAGACACTTGCCTGGCCCACGGAAAGTTTCTGACAGTATGCGGATTGTAGGCCTGCTACTTTGAGGATGATGAGCGGAGCGAGGAGAGCAAGAGCGTGGCGAGGCGTGAGTCTGATTGTAATCTGTACAGGTCTATCTTACTGATACTTAGTCCTATTGCTATACGTCGTCGAGGCTTTCCACGCCTTCTCCATCCATTTAGTGACATAGTCGCTCCGATTTCACTCGCATTCTTGCATTCTCCTTCACTTGGCTCTTTAGCCCTCTCTTTTATCTCAACCAGGTTTATGTCAGTTTAATACTGTATCCAACCATCCATAACTTTCATGTCGATCATTGGCTGTCTCCATCTCAATAAGGCTATTATCAGTCTCATCAATCTCAGCTTCTTGCTCGCCCACGGTTGGCTCGACACGTTCAGTCTCAGGGTTGAACGCGAAATGTGGACAAGACAGTCCTAGCGGTCTTTTGTTGTTCAGTGTGTCGATAGCGAACATGTACATTGAAACAACTTCGTCGGGGCGTAGCTTGCGAAGACCAATACTCCGAATACGTTGATTCTCTGACGTTCCGACGATAATCTTGGGAGCAGTAACTTGCCAAACCGATCCACAGTTTCCTACTTTGACGAACTGTAATGATGGACAGCACCACTTAAAGGACCGCACAAGATAATGCGTAACGGTCTCTTCAGGACAGCGAGATTTATGACAACATCCAGGCAAGCACTGCTCTGAAATTTGTGTTCCCGGGTGGAGGTACGTGTGTCTCATAACTAGCTTGAGCTCCTTGAGATGCTTACAATTCTGTAAATACAGGTGAAGTTGAAACTGCAAAACCATTAGACTTTGCAAATTTAAGCGGGTCGTGTTCATCGACTAACCCATTCCGTATTCAGGTCAATATCTATAGCAAGCCGTTCAAGAAATAAACCGTGATCGCATATGAGATCCAGAACTGTCTTCTTCAGCACTCGGGTAATGGAGGAATCATTGCCAAGTGTCTCATTGCCCGAGTCTGAGCTGCTCGAATCTGAGCTAGACGTCTCCTCGGTTTCGAATGCGTCGTACACGGGTTTATCTGTCAAGTAGACCATCTTCAAGGTGGGAAGTTTCTGTTTCAAGTCATCAAAATGGCACTTCTTGGGATCCATCGAGGGTAAAGGTTGCGTGATGATAAGTTCCTGTATCGAATTGCCACTTCTGTTGAGCCAATCTGTTACAGATGCGTCGAGAATCGTAATCTCTAGCTGTCGCAGTGCAGAACAGTGCTTTAACATGTCCCATTGAACATTCAGAGAGGTTGGACGCTGGCCAACACTAGATCTCACGCCACCGTTCCAAACGTGTAGGTTTCGAAGGGATTCAAGATCCACAAGTTTCGCCAAGTAGTTCTCACACTTAGACATGGACGGTAGGAGGTAGGTTCCGTGACCCAACCTCAATGTCTCCAGTTTTAAAGGCTTAAAATCAATACACGAAGAACACTGCAGACACAGCATCTCCAGATAGTCGTCATCCGGTCTCACAATGAGAATGTCTGGATTTTCGTTTTCAAAATGGTGGGAAGGTAGGGTAAGGCTCAGACCAAGTTTCTTCAACCGAGGAGACTTGGAAATGATATGTGCTACTCTATTTAGCAAGGATACCTTGACTTCAGCGGATAGTTCAAGTTCGTAGAATCCATAAAGTTCGAGTGAGGTCAGATTTTTGAATCCAGTTAGAAAATCGATGTTATGGAGGCATTCCCAGTCCGGCTCCTTAACGCTAGTGCCATAGTACAAGACTGACAAATGGCGAAGTGTCTTGCACTGCCAGAGAGCATTGCAGAGCTCAGGTATTTTATCCTCGTATGGGCCCATCATGCCCATGAAATCTGTATCTTCGTAGGCTCGGCAGTCAAATCTGTCACGGGAGAAGGAGACGTGAGATACTTGTAACTAGGAGTGACGTTGATCCATACCGAAACGATTCGAGGTTTGGCATCGATGTGATCCATTTGCTGATGCATATACCAAAGTCCGAGATCACGTTCAGCTTATAATCGAATAGATCCTCCTCGTCGAGGTCAATGCCCAGGTGATCATCATCTTCGAAATCCCATACTAAAACCTCGAGGTATTTCGTATGTTTGATGGTCGACGGAGGGTCCTCGTCGTGCGCGTCGCGATAGAACTCCGGTGGATGGTTAAATAGTCCTATGACGAGGCGCTCATACGCAAGTGCGCTGAAAAGCTGCGCAAAGAGGTGACACTGACGAACCAGCGCTCGAAGCGTTCTGCGATCGACAATCTGCATCTCCATCATTAGCGAGCCACCTCTAAAACACTTGTATCCAAATCTGTCTGGGATTTGTTGGACTCTGAAGACCACTACCCCGACGGTTGACGATGCGCTGACTTTGCATCAAGCATTAAGCACCATGATCTTGCTTCCAGCGGGGAATGAAATCAAGCAAGCAAGAGAAAAAGGAGCACAAACCAAGTCTCCAATCATGAGAAGCAACTCCGTGGGCAAGTCGATGATTGATGGTGGCATCTTGAGTGAGATAGAAGCGATGCTGTTGAGTCCTATTGATGTGTTCGCTGATGGCGATGCGCAAGACTTGGGTGATTTTGCGGTTGTTATTTCGAGAAGAGTTGAGCAGAACGAAAAGCTAGATTAGAGGAGATTGTCGAGAAGGAGCAGAGCGGTGTTGAGACTTCCGTTTTTGAGTCGACTCGTCACGAACTCGGTTTGGAAGGCACTTGCCAGCCCACGAAAAACCCGTTGAGTGAAACTACTAATTCATTTGGCAGCACAAAAGTATGATTAGCACATCACAAGATCATCAAGAGACATCAAGGCAATTTTATATCTCATATTGCTGACTATCAGTCTACAACATCGACATGCCACACCATCTTATTCGAGATCCGGTGCCCATTTTCATCCATCCATCTGTCCACTGTCAAGGAAAATCAGGACTCCTCTTCTCAGCGAAGGGGGGTCTGAAGAAATTTCGCAAACCAGAACCATAACCAGGTCCTTCACCCGCCGAGACCCAAAAACCAAGCGGGCATTCGCCTCGCAAAATGTACAAAAGAAAAGAAAGATAAGTAAACCAGGTGTAAGTAGCAATCGCAAAGTCGAGAGTTTGTCTTTCTTTCATTTTCCCCCATGCAACAACATTTTGTTTGTATCGCCGCCTCGAAAAATCGCGAAAAGGAAAGAAGACAGACATCGTCCCGTGTGTAAATGCAGCAGAAAGGCCTTTCCCAGCGAATTGGGGTTACAATCGAGTTTAACGCCAGTGTCCCATGCAAAATACCCAGCCCAGGACCCGATGACGGTGTCTTCAGTTTCGCTCCGTGAACGCCGCGCTGTCGTAACTTCAAGGAAATAAGATGAGGGCCAAATTGGCGCTTTTCTGACAAATTTGATATAAAATAAATGAGTGAGTGGGGTGCCTTTATCGTTTATCTTGGCTATTATTGCGATGCATGATGTAATCTCCAGGATTGGAGACCACCGATGGTGCTCGCGGGGTTGGTTCTTCGTCCATAGGATCGATTTGAGAAGATGCCGGTCTTGGAGTTTCGAGAAGGTCAATTTCTGAAATTTTGGAGCCGGGAGAGTGGAAGACTTCTGGTGGGGTCAGACTCGCACCAGTGATCTCCGATGCTGCAGGAAGTTCTTCGACTACAGTTGGTGGTGGCTCAATAGTGTCAGCACTGGCACCAACATCCGAACTTGATACCACGCTTCCTCGACTGTTTGTACGCATCATCTCCGTACCAAGCTTAGAACCACGATGAGTCTTTGCGACGCTTCTTGGACTTGACTTCTCGCGAACACATACGTCACCAAGCTCCTCGTCTTCATCGTCACCAGACTCAGCGCATTCATGTCGATGCTTCTCCATCGACTCTCGCTTGGCCTTCATCTTCTCAGTTGATCGTTGTCTGATGGGCAATTTATGCACAACTTCCATTCGTCCCGGAGCAGACTCTTCGTGGAGCAAATGGGGTGGAAGTGATTTCGGGAGGTCGCGAGAGTCGAGGATAGCCTCCTCGTTGCTGATTCCTAAACCAGAGTTCTCGTCCCAGTCGCCCGTAGCCTTGCGACTGATGACCACTGGAATATCTTCGTTCATGAAAGACTCGTTATCGCCAAACATGCTGGAGCTGATAGAATCCTCACGGCTTGATCCTCTAAAGCTGCTGCCCGGCATGTGTGCATACCCTGATGAGCCGGATGTCGGACTATCTTCAAGTCTTAGGCTTTCTTGTCTCAGACCAGATGGTTGTGGATAGCCGATAGGATTGGATGTGTTCTGACCAGCAGGTGGAGCCTTCCACTGACAAAGTCGACACATTGTCTCGCTAAGCTTAGATGTGGTTGGAGGTTTCTCAATCAAGGCATCAAAGTGATGAGGTGTTTGAAGCTCCTTGAGGTAGCCAGTAACAGCAACAATAGGAGTATGCATGTTGGCATTCTTAGTATCTCGAATCATGCGTGCGACATCAGCTCCGTTGATTTGAGGCAATTTGAACTCCATCATGATGATGTCAAATTTGATTTCACTCATAGCATATCGCATGGCTTCAGCTCCGTTTGCAACCGTAATCGTGCGACAACGCAGCTTCTCCAGCAGCTTTTCCATGACCATTCGAGAGACCGGATGATCTTCACAAATGAGAACATCGAGCGGACGGAATGCGGGACCATCAGCAAGAGTGATCTGTGACATTCGCCGAGAGCTTTGACGTCGTCGTTGAACACGTAGAAGAGCATTTGCCTTGTCGCCCTCGTTATCAGAAGAAGATGGTGACATATCGAAGACCTGGCTTCGTCGCTTGCGATGCGAAAACAAGTCTGCCGGGATTGGGCTTCCTTCTTGAGATCCAACAGTTTGTGATCGAGCACGATTGGACGAGCCACTTGCTTGTCTGGGCGTCGAGATCTTCTGTGGTGACAAGGCTAAGGGTGCAGGTGTAGCACCTCTACCTTTGATAGGCGACGACACAGCTGAAACGGCTTTCTGAAGACTGGCTGGCATACGAGGAACTTCGAAAAAGCTTCCAGGTGCCAATGAGTTGCTCGATTGGTGTGACAAACTTGAAGAATTGCTCGAAGTCTTGCGTCGTCCCTCGCCATTCTGGCCTGCAACAAACGAAACGAGCAGAGGCGATGACGGTTGCGAAGCTCGACTAGGAGATGAATTCGATTGGCTCAGTCCAGAGGGAGATGATGGTCGCTGAGAAGCCTTAGCATTCGACAAGGTTCTCTGGATAGGCATTGGCAATATCGGGCTGCCTTCCAACGTGGGCCCTGGAGATAAAGCACCACTCGGTCCGGCGACGGGACTGACAGGCGTAGTATTCTTGCTCTGAGCAGCCATAGCTTCTGCTCGAAGCTTTTGAATCACATCTTTGTTTGCCTTTTCTAGAACTGGTAAGTTCTTGAAAGCAAAGTTACCGAAGTCATCGGCCACTACCGGCTCGCTGAGCCTGCGACTCTTCATGTCGCGCACGTGTGGCGGAATATGCAACGGCATCAAACCTCGCTTGATCGAATTTACTTGAGACCTCACTCGAGACAGTGCATCGTGTGGGCGATCGTGATATTCCGTACCCGCCGTCGAGGGAGGTGAAGTTGCATCTTCAATCTCTTCTGCAAAAGATTGCAAGGTAGCACCACGAGAGTCGAAATATTCGGTATCTTCAGGATTTTCCGGAGCTGGAACGAACTGCGCATCGTCCTCAAGAAGCTTTCCCCAGTTGACACCTTCGAACCATGGATGGTTTCGGATCTCTTCCCCGCCGCATGAGAACTTTTCGTCGGTATTGGCACCAATTCGACCTCGTGGATCAAGACACAGAAGCTTGTTCATCAGATCTTTTGCTTCGGCAGAAACTTCGAAATCGTTATCATCCGGCCACGAGATACGCCGAGCAAGAATGTTCTCAAACACTTCGTCGGGAGTTCCTGCATGGAAAGGGGGATATCCGTATAGGAACTCAAACAAGATGCAGCCCACAGACCACCAATCGCTCATCTCATCCTGACCGACACCGTTGACAGTCTCAGGAGCTAGATAGTCAGGTGTTCCCACGAATCGACGATTACTGTCATCAGGGTCGAAGAGAGCCATTGGAGGAGGCATCATACTCGTCTGTGGAGGCGTGTTTCTCTGTTCGGAACTGGAGTGGCTGGTGACATGGTTGAGCGAAATGAGGTCTGGGGAACCACTGCCTTCATTCTCACTCATCTCTTCGATAGGAGACTTTCGTGCGGCCATTTGTTGCCCAGCGGATTCATTCAAGGAAAAGCTGCTAAACATCTGATTCAACGCTTCACTTCCACCGCTATCGCTGCGACCTGAAGCTCGCCGGGCTTCCTTGTTGAGTGTGGACTCTCGGCTGAGATTGAAATATGACGGCGTAGATAAGCTTGCAGCAAGATCAGGGGTCATCTGTGGAGTCGAGCCAGGTGAGTGGTGACCTTGGAAGTCAAAGGATGTCGAACGTGATGAGCTGATCGATGTTGTTCGGGCAAACGGGCCTGATTTGAGAAGGTCTGGAGCAGATTCGTTGGTTTGGCTATTGAGAACACGCTTCTGTCGGCCGATCAAACCCATTCTTGAAAGACCGAAATCAGTAAGTTTCAGATGGCCTTTCTGATCAATGAGAAGGTTATCGGGCTTCAAATCTCGATGAACGATACCTCGATTGTGGAGATGCTCCACGCCCAAGATAACTTCACCAAGATATTTCTTTGCCCAATCTTCTGGAAGACCACCAAGAACCTTGATGAGGGAAGCACAATCTCCTCCGTTAAGATACTCCATGACCAGATAGAGGTAATCTTTGCTGGAGAAAGTCCAGTACAATTTGGCAACGAAGTCACTTTCACCTTGCCACATCATGATAGCTCGCTCGGCCTTGACATTTGTAACCTGATTCTTAGCAACCATGTCTGCTTTCTTTAGGACTTTGATAGCATAATAGTCGCCAGTAGATTTCTTCTTAGCGAGGTAAACACTCCCGAAAGCACCTTTGCTAATTGGCTTGATGATCTCGAAGTCTTTGATGGATGGTGGTACAGCTCGAGCTTGTGGGGCATTAACAGATGTCAGGCGAGGTGATGGTGGTGGACGTGATGGATCGGATCCTGCAGCTGATGACTGTCGTCTGTGGTGGCTAGGGACCAACGCAGGTGAGCTGAACTCGCTACCAGGTAGCATTGGAGAAGCTGTAGGAGACACGATGCCTTCATGAATGGGCAGCGCGCGAGGTTTGGCGATTCTCAGAGGAGATGATGGTTGAGGCATGCGGACAGGCGACTCTTGTCTGCGAGGCGAGACGGCACCTGGAAGAATGAGACTTCGTCTATGGCGTTGTCGAGAGCTTGCTGCTCGTCGCAGATCACCAAACTCGGATACTGGAGACTCGGTCCGAGCAGGACGGGACATAACTGAAGAGGATCTAATACTGCCATCACTGTTGTCACCAGCATCGCTCTCAAAAAACAAGGATTGACGGCGGGAGTCTTGAGATTGCGAGAGAATGCTCTGATGACCTGTATGAGATCGTGGTGTGGGACACTCTTTTGGGCTACTCGAGCGTGTTGACACAGCAGTGGATGACGATCGCCTATCACCAGCTCGGCCCATTTCAGCTTCCCGGAGTGCCATTGCGAGAGAAGATGGCCCATCGAAAGATCCACTGAAGAAGCCATCCTCGTGAGCTGGAGTTCTCTCCTCATCATCCTCGGAATCAGTGAGGTGACCTGCAGCGATTTTGGTAGCTTTCCGTACAGCCTCATCAATGCAATCTTGTACAATCACCGAGAATTCGATACGGATGCGTTCGGAGTATTCGATGATTCTGCGGTGACGAAGAACGGCTTCGACTTTCGCCTTGGCTGCTCTCTCGCTGTCAGCACAAAGCAAAGCTAGACCCTGCTCTTGCTCCAGTGTGTTAGTACTGGGAGATGACCATTGCATAACCTGAGAAATTCGTGATTCGGACTGTGGAGATTGCGTGCGAAACTCGCCAGGAGCTTGCGATGGTGCTTCCTTGATAGCAGGTGTATTGATTTCGATAGAGGTATCGCACAAGTCCAGCAGCAGTTCTACGATTCTGGCCTGGGGTCGTCGGACCGCGAATGATCGTGCTCGAGCATGCCCGAAGCCAGTTCTGGATGTGTCTCTAGATCTACCCTCGGGTGTACCTGGAGATGCAGTGCCAGAGGAAGATGAGGATGTCGCGGAGTTTGGTCCAATGGGCATACCTTTGTACTCTGCTTGTGGAGGAGTCAAGATAGCCTGGTCACCAGAAGTAGGCCGGGCTTTCCGGGCTTCAAGAGCGTCGAGGACCTTGACTATTGCGTGACGGTGCTCAATCAGATTTTCGTGGCACATCTGAACCTCCATCTCGGCCTTGTGTTCCTGCAAACAGAGCTCGGTGTGTTTCTCGAACCACCAAGGGGGAATCTGGCGTTCACAGATACGACACAGGACTGGCAGAGGTGGAGCATGATTCTGAGGGTCGTCCAAGCCAGTCTCAGCCAATGTAGTGAGGTAGCTGGCAAGGACCTCGGCACCAGATCCTAGAGAATCGACAATGACGGCTGGCAGGTCAATTTGGATCTCACGCGGTGCTATCCAAGGTCGAAAACTCCACATAGTCTGCAAAATATATTAGCATTAATCCGAGAACATTAGTTTGCACAACGTACGTGACTTTCTCCGCCAGATGATCGGTCGTAGACCATGATGCCTTGTCCTTCCAGGTCAATGGTGAGAGGTTCGTCTGGAGCAGCAGCCTCTTCATCGCCCTCAGCCATGAGCTGATCTGGCATCTGAAGAGGCGCCAACTTAGAAGCAGGGCCTAATTGCACCGAGAACCGTACTATCTGACTCCTCGAATCATCCTTCTTCATCGACTCGACAACCTCCGCAAAGACTTCCTTGTTGTCGCTGACTAGAAGGTCTTTGATTGCTTTTCCCTGGACTGACTCGAAGGTTGTCCCGATAACGTCGGTCCATGAGGGGCTAACCCATCTGATGGTGCCATCGAGACTCAAGTCCATGATCACATTGAGAGTCTGTTCAGCAGCCTCCCGCAAGTCCTCTCTCTCCTCCCGAATAGCTGCACTGAGGGAGCGCTCCATCAAACCACCAGCTTGTGCACGCAACTGCGACACAACTGGTGGGGCCAGCATGTCCTTATTGTCCTCCATTGTGAAGTTGATTCCGCAGAATCAATCCCTGCGCCAACATTGACCGTGTCTGCCGATGTCCCGTCGTAATCGCTGGCTCAGCAGAATCACGATTGAGGGCATTCGCGTCGTTTGTTATCGGTTATCGTAAGCTGGAAAGCGTGTCGAGAGAGCGTCTGCAGAGCAGTCCGGCAGGGAGCCCAAGACTAGCAAGTGGTGACTGAGCAAGACATCATGAGGATTGATGCTGATGTCTCTGTGTGTCGTGATGGGCAAGGTAAGCGCCCCTGTGGAGAAAGTTGCCGGCGTTACTGTCTGTCGACTCTGGTCGTTCGCAGGTGGTTCGGGGACAGGGTTGAAAGTGAATGGACGGGGTCGAGAGTGAAGGTGAGCCCCAACTCTATCGATCGTCAAGAGGAGGAGGAGGGCACACGTCGCACAGGGCCGAGTGCTCGCAGCAATGGGTGGGTTACGTGTCGGAGTTGTCGTCGAGGTCGAGAAAGAAAATAGCAAGAAGAGAGGATTCGGATTATTTGGACCCTGCGATAGTTGATTGTGAGATCCTGAGGCAGCACAAATCAGCTGTGTTGGTGTGGGAGAAGCGGGGGATAATTGCAAGAGGTAACGGGAAAGACGAGACAAGGATATTTCTGGGCTGCACGAATGCTGAGCGAGGTCCGTCATTCACCCAATCACTGTACCAGCACCCAAACAAAAGAGAAGATACCAAACTACAAAGGGACAAGTCGACGAGCAAGGACGAGCATTTTGAATAAAATTCTTGGTTTGGCCTGCGTCCTGGCAATTCATCGGGATTGGTGCCGAGAGCTTGACAAGTATGCAAGTCTGCAGCAGCAACAAGCAGTAGCAATAGCAACAGCAACACCCAGACTCAATTCTATTTTGTTCTCGTTGCGTCTGCATTCAGTGAGTAGTGCTTGTGTTGCTGTTGGTTTAGCTACGGCTACGGCTGCAACGGTCATGTCTGACTCTGACAAAGGAAGCATCATGCGCTTCTAGATCCTGCGATCTGCGTTCTTAAAGCCGTCGTCAATACTTTCTTCTTTCTCCTCCCTTCCCTTACCACTCCGTTCACTCTTGCATTGAACCTTTCCACCCTCTTCTTTGCCTATGGCCCCAAGAACACAATTATGATGAAAAGATATGCATAGCATCCCTTCTATTCATCATATTCGGTTCTTTATCGAATAGATATCCTTATCCTTCATGGAACGAGCAGCGCGTCATTGGGTCCCTGGCAATCACCTGCACGGCGATCAATTATCCAGATTGAGGCCTCTGAGCTGCTTATCCATCGTCAACTCAACACTTCTCAGGTATCACCAAGTCAATTTGTGAGTCGACTGTGTGAGGGAGGGAACAAACTCGTATGCAATCGTAATCGTGTGTACGGTGTATCCGTAGATCGATGATTGTGGGAGTCTTCTGGAGTCGGAGTATCTTAGCATTCCGACACCAGGGGTGCTATATTATTGTCTGGGGGTTGTCATAGAATCCGCCAAATAAGAATAACTCCCGCCGACGCACGATGTTCTGTCGGCCTTCTTTTCTTCATCCTGCATCCTGGTGGTTGTACTGGTGATACTGGCCATAATTTGCCACTCGGCAACAACCCCTGAGTATATCAGTATCCGCTATGTGTTTTGTTTGAACTCCCTTAAACTTTCTCGTCCAAAGCAAAAATAATCAGCATCCCACACACTCTCCCTTTCTTCCCTCTTACCACCCTCTTGCACACTGCGGCCACCCCTCTGCTGCGGAAGCATCCCTCCTCCCACCCCGTCACACCGCTCCATCTACTCCAATCGCACAGCGTGCATCTCAGCAGCATGCCAACCCCTAGCAACAACGTACATACATACATACATGACGAGACAACCCTCAGCGAGTGTCCCCACCACCATCGCCCTGCACCTCTGATTCCCGCATCTCGCTGCCCCCAACGATGAATACATTGACTACATTGGATAAAGGAACTCGCCCAGCACGTTCAAGGTACCAAGCGACCTGTCGTCTCACCACGTCGGGGGCCAGAAGAGGCATGCGACCAGCCGAATTCTCCGCGTGCCAGTCAGCAGGTCGCAAAAAGCCCATCGTTCGGGCATCCTTCCCTCGATGTGGTAGCACGTGTGATAGGTCCAAAGGACGCACGGAGGTGCAGCGGCGCCCTTGGGGGTTTCCAGCAGTGGGGTGAGAAATTGGATCCCGCATCACACGACGATGACGGCAATGACCAGAACTGCCTTTGTCTCAACACGAAATGTCTCGACACTAATCGAGTCATTGTCACCCCCGGATGCATGTCTCAGTCCCGGATTGTGGGGTCGAAGCTTTGCGAAGTGGCCGTAAACGGGTCAGCAGGGCCATTTCCCGTCACGTGATCTGCAACAAGGTTGCGAATTGCCGTGGCGGTGGGAAAAATGGTGCGGTCTGTGAGGGCTTGGATGCATTAATGGTGCATTGGGGCTATTGACTTTGATTACCTCGTTTGTCGAGTTGTATGGTAGCTCAGTCCACTTGCGCATCTCTGTCTCACTGGGACCAACAATCGAGATTGAAAGCGGCAGCATCCGAATCATGGAGTCGAGGTCACATGCCCGTTCTTTCTCAAACAATGGCTAGCGTTAGACCCAAGCCCGGCAGTCTAGGGCTGCATAATTTGTTGTTCCAACGTCCTCGAAATTTAGCCTTGGAAATGTCTCAAATGTTGTTCTTGGACTGAGACAATTGGCGTTCGTCCAAGTGGTTGGAGAATTTCCTGCTACTTCGGGGAATGCGAGTGACTCCAAGATCTTTGCTCATCACCCCACATTCCTACCCCAAGACAGTGGTCGTGGTACAACTTAAGGGCAGGGGATCTCCATGCGAATTCGCGCACCCCTCAGTTCATGACCGTTTGATCTGCATGTCATTTCGTTCCTGAAGGATCCGAGGGAGAACTGTTTTTAGAATTGCCGTTCTCTTCACGAGGAGGACAGAGTTTGAACTGCGAAGCCAAAATTAGCTTTCTTTCTATGTGAACTTAGATGGTGTACGAGAAGTACAATTACCTTGGCTTCCGAGTACGAAAGTCTGCTTTATCATCTCCTCCCCGAGATGCAGGATTCACTTTCTCTATCCTGTCCAACTCGGACGTTTCAAAGCTTCCGACTTACCTGTCTTATCAGTGCATGGAATCCGAGCTGGATAAAGTGTTTTCTTGTGTTTCCTCCAAGTCCCAAAACTGAAGCTCTTCTTCTTTGTGTGTTGCCTAGAAACACAACGTTATTGGCTGTCTATCCAAGAGGCCAAGATCTAGACTCTGTTCTGCAGTACAAGCATGGTATGCAGGAAGGGCTCAACCCTAGATGATTTCCTGTACACTTCTTCTTTTCCATATTATCCAAGTCAGCAGTTGCACACCATACTGTCGTGCAACAGTATCCCGTGTGCTACCACGGATGTGGGGCGATTTTGAGGGAACATGAAGCTTCCCGTTGTGTTTGTACTGAGGTAAATTGCTCCCAATTATGATCTGCTCTTGCAGAGTTAGTATAGTCCCATGATATGTCGGGTCTTGAATCTGTACACTTGGCAGTTTTTCTTTCATCCGAAACTCGAAATTTAGACATATACCAATATGAGAATGTGGATTGTGGAAAGGGAGCAAATTTCTCAATTTTTGGTGGTAGTAATGATTAGGATGGAAGAAAAATGTGCCAAGTGAGAGGAATATCGCTGAACCCTGGCTTAACACGTGATAGTTGTCACAGATCCGAACTACCGCTGGTCCAATCTATCTGCACTTCTGTGGTTTCTGACTCTCTTGACCACCAAATACTGCTTTCCGACTATCAATCTAAGGCAACCTATCGTTAGTCTCAACTCACTTGAAGTTTGAGAGAGATATGTCACGTGCTGCCCAGCTCTTGCTCCTCCCCCAGATAGCCGTAGAGGAGCTATACTTGAGTAAAATCTGCACTGCCTATTCGTCTTTTCTCTGATTCTTCCAAATCTTAAGACAAGCGGAACATCCTCATCTCTCTCCTTTTCCTTGCCGTGTTTCCCATTATCCTTCACATGATCCTGTCCCAGATCACTTGCAGGCCCTTTCACTTCATCACTTGATGCTAAAGTTTACGGACTTTGAATCACTTCTTCCAGAAGCTTCTTGATGGAAAGAGTCTCCTCGTCTTCTAGTTCAAACACCTTCAAGTATGGCTGAAGGGCTTACTACAATAGTTCTTACCACATTCGCCGAGGTACTGATACTGCTCGTGGGATCTTCATCTTCTTAATTCGTTCCGATTCTCATATTCGCTCTGATATGCTACTGCGTCTGCATGTTTGCCTCCTTCAGGGAGGATAGCCGCCAAGGAAGATCTAGCAATTATAACGTCGAGGTCTTCCAAGCTCAATTTCTGACCCGTTATTCTCCAGTTTTCTGCTATCAGCTCTTCAGTGAATTCAAATTGGCCTTGTTTTCTCGAACACTGTGCCATGGTCCTCTGATTAACAGATCTTGCCGTAAATTCTACAGTGATCTCTTCCAGATGTGCAACAAAATATTATTCAAAGAGCTGATTAGCTATTTAGTTCCGCACTGAGAACGTCTCTGGGTTCCGATTCTCGATTCTATCTTTTGCTGCTATAGCAGAAGCAAGAAATGGCTTTGGCAGCCTAATCAGCGATATCTTTGGAAGTTGGAGACATGCTGGGCATTAATTGCGGCGACGGTTGTTTTGAGGGTCGGGACTTGACAATTGGGAGTCAACCCCTCCCGTGGAGCTTCAAAAGAGGCCTCGTAGACGTGCAACAAAATATGTCCCTGGAACTTGATTGGCCAAATAGCCTATTTAGCGCAGTACCATAGCTAGATATGAGAATTGACTTTCGAGTTTGTATATTTGTAATCTACTTCAGAAACAAGAAACAATTTGGAGATAGTGTAATACATAATACACTCTGAATTTGATCAAACAATTAATAAAGTTATAGTAACAATACAGAAATCTGAAGGCCGACACTTGAAGTTTGACCTCCCCCGACTGCTCAGATTTCGCCGTCAAGTCCCCAAATCAACTCTATCGGCTTGTAGATGTGCAACAAAAATTATTTTTCAAGAGCTGATTGGCGGTAGGTACTTAGTGTGGAGCTCAAAACAAATAAGTATACTCGATACTCTCTATGTTTGCTATTCTGCTGCTATTTACTATGGAAAGCTCACATATCTTCCAGCGAGTTTGATTTGTTACTATTGTTCAATTATCGTGATGTTTTGAATAATTCAGGGTTACTTGAAAGTCAGACTTCACCAACTGCTTGATTTCTCCCGTGGATGTCTGTCCCTGGAAACTCCAAGTCCTCGTATTCATGGAAGCGACACAAAATGTTACTTGACGGACTTTGAGAGCATCTCTGATTCGATACGGCTGTGCAATCGGTACGACTTAGAGGGCGAAAGTCATAAGATAATTATGATTTTCAATGATTTCGCTTTTACATTTGCAACAAAGCTGTCCACTTGCTGCTGGGCTTTTGTTGTTTGCTGTTTGCTGATAGTCAAAGTTCATGTTGAATTACCTAGGTAGACAAGGCTGTCAGAATGAAGAGAGAAAGGGCTACTGCTCGTCTAAATTGCTATTTTCGTCTTAGAGTGAATGCTACTCTAAGCACAGCTGGAGTCTTCAGCGGGCTGATTTGGAGTTGTGATCTTTTCACTGCTTTACAACTTTATGGAAGGAACGGAAGCGATCTATTCAATATCGCGTATTCGCTTCGAGCCTTCGTCTCTTTTCCTTCGCGACTCACTTCCTTCGCGACTCACATCTTTCGCGACTCACTTCCTACGCGATCCCTTTTGTTGGTTCCTAGACTTCTCAGCCTACCTTGGTACCGGGTACGGCGGACGCGTCCAGTTGAGAGACAGCTTTCAGGAACGAAGATGACCACGAGAAGGTTCTCCGTAAGCGACCAGATTTTCCAGGCCTTGATAGTATACAACGAAGATCGGAATAAGGGAAGCCAGACGCGTTACGCGACGGGATCACTTTCCCGACGAAGGAGGCAAGGTGGACATAAGCAGCGTTTGTGAAAACCAAAGAAAGCTAACACAGAGACAACAGGATATCTGAGCGAAGATCAGCGGAAAACGATTGTGAAAAGAGGAAAACGCTGGCGTGGCTCACAGGTGAGAGCACATTGTTTCTGGAACTTCATTTGCTAACTGCATACAAATGTGAACAACACAAGAGCAGTAGAAAGAAATTACGCCGAAATATCGGCCAGCTCATCTGATCTCTGTCAGATCTCATTATTCTCCAACCCACCAGACCCTCAAAAGCCCACAAAGACAAGGAGCTTGCGCTACATGCAGCATCGACTCGGACTTTCTACAAACAAACAGCAATCAGTAAGACGTTGACTTGACAAGCCAGGAACTTGAATGAACTATCGCCGGCACAAGGCCATGGGATTCGTTAAGTCATTATGAATCGCCAAGGAGCCCCGAAGGATACTGGCCAGCAGTCTGTAGCTCCAGGTGCTATCCAGAACATCATGATGAATCTGGAAGTTGGGAGGGAATTGAATAGTTGTCAGCCAAACTCCACCCATCTTTTCGTCCATCTTCTCCTCGAACACAATCGACCACTTGCACAAACACGATCAACTTCTTCCCTAGACATGATCGTTTCGCTCTCCTTTCTTACCCGAAGCGAACGACTTCTTTACCATGAGCATGATCGACTTGTTCACTTGAACACGATCGTTCATTTCCCCTGAACACGATCAGCAGTAGCAACAAAGGCGAGAAGTTCAACCTGCCAAGCATATGGCTCACTTAGCACTAAGAATGAAGCTCCTAGCAAGTACTCAAAAGCTGATGGAAGTGTGCTTTCATTCTGAATCATGTAACATAAATAATTTATAATCATATGCCACTACTTTCTGCAGACTTTGTAAAACTATGAACACTCGTGATTCTAGATTAAAGTTGTGTTTCTATGTTTCATTTGGTCACAGTGCGTTTCATATTGCTCTACAAGCCTGAATCTTACGGTGAACTTCATGGTAGTGGATAATGCAGGTATCATCTCATAGAAAGTCAGCATTAGCACCCCTCAGAGCAAAGCAGCACCAAGCAATCGTTATGAAAGGCTACTTGTGCTGCGTGTGACGTCTGAATAGTACAATTGGAAACTGAGTTGGTGGAAATACAATCATGTATTATATTTGACGGTATCGATACAAACACCTCTGCCACATCCTAGCCCTATTCCTAAAATTGGATACAAACATATTTCTGTCCCAACCAACTCTGGTGTAGACCACCTTGACCACGCGCAGTTGAATCCTTGGTGAATGTACTAGATCGAGTCAATGGATTGGTGGGAACACGTTCACCCGTCCCAATGAGGTTATTGAGATAGCTGGCTACACAAGAATCAGATTCTAGCCTTCGAGTCAAGCACAGAATGACTTACTGGTATACCAGACTTACGCAACTGGGTCACTATGAAAGTCTTTCCATCATGGGAGCTGGAGTTCCATGCCAGCGGGAGCGCACCAACGCACCTCCATGGCCCTGAATATTGCTGCTGCTTGAGTATTACCAGTATGATCGCATAATGTCTGGATCTAAAATGAGCCTGAGACTCTGACTAAATGTTAAGAGGAGGGTAACTGACTTTTCCGTGTTGGTGATCCTGCCGTGCGACCAGAATGCCTTCTATTGTGAATGTTGATCTAAGACTTGTTAGCTGAGCACTCGTTACAGATCGGCTAAGCTAATTACCTTTCCTCCGTTTTTCAGTAGGAAGACCTAAAGGTCTGGTGGAGATCATACATTCTCGGAACTTCTGTGATCCCTTAGCTATACGAACTTGAACGAGAGAGCAAGGATGATAACTTACAAACAAACTTCAATCGCCTAGATTTTCGGTCTCAGGTTCAGACATGAAAAGTGTAAAAAGCAAATCAATGTGTTGCGCGAGTCTTTACGATGTTGAAGTGGAGACGTTCTTTCAAGTGAAAATAAGTGCAAAAGAAGTGATAAGTGCGGATAGCGAAGTCGGATGCCTTAACGACTTCCGGCTATTGTCGGCTATTATAAGGCTATTCTCGGATGAACATATAGCGTGCTAATTCCTTGCACCTTACTGTTCAAATCTGCCTAGGTTTCTTCACATCTAAAACGATCTCATTCACAAAAGCACCAAATTCACAACAATGAAGTGCCCGTTACCCGCGCTTGGTTGAATTTCTTCACTTTGACATTCTCTGTCGCGCTCTTGGAGCAGAGGCAGTTGCTGTCTTTCTGGTGAGTTTCGGACACCCTCTCCCAACAAAGAGACGCGTCCGGTATTGAGCTAACTAACCATTCCGTAGCAGATTTCGATCTCGGACGGTAAGAACTCCCGTCCCTAGACCGAATCAAGATGATTTGGAAACCAGACCATTCTTGGTTTCGATGAGAGTGACGAAGTTGAGGAAAGGGACGGGTAAAATGACCCACATTGATGACATATTATACAGAGATTGTGAAGCATTACGGAGGTGACTTTAAGAAGGATGCCATTCGAATGCGCATCCAACGAGATGTCACTCCGGTCGCAAAGGCTATGGTCGCTGCTGTTGTGAACGGAGAGGATCAGAGCGTGAATCTCCACGGAAGAAGAGGAGAGGAGGGAACAAAGAACGGCGGACGAAAAGACATTGGAGGAAGCAAGAATGTCAAGTGAGAGTAGCACTTTAAAGTTTGCTTTCAAGGAGTGTCTGACATGACATGGAAGAGCGCCATCCAGTGAGTTATACACATGCCTTGATTGAAAGTAGCGACTAACAATTCAAGGACTCGAGCAAATGCAAGATCAGCAAATCAAGGACGCTGTTTCCTTTGGGCTTGAAGTACTTTGGCACAGATTCCACCGATGTCCTCAGCCCGGATCAGCCCGCGAAGGACCTTAATGCCAAAGGGTGCGGTATGAACTATTCCGTTTCACCGCTACAAGTTTGCTGACACACTTTTTCTAGAAAACATGAAGGTACCGGGATTCGAACAAGCAACAAGGATCGCCAAAGCTGAGGAATTACCTGGGACCTTCTGAGAAGAGAAGACTGGATGTGAGAGGATGTATAATAATGTTCAAGTATAACTACATTTTATTGTTTGGATACATTCTCGAATTCTTCCAAGAAACTGCTTTGAATGTTCCATTTTGACATGCCCGGTAGAGCCCTACTCGCTGCCGATGATGGACACTCAGAGCAACAGAGTATATCTGCCCCATTGGACGCTTGCAGTCTCACCGTTTCCCCATGAGAGGAGTAGCTGTGAAGTGACTGCGAACATTGTGGTACTTCTCTTCATTCTAGATCCCGAAACTTCCACTCTCTACACGCAATTCACCCTGGATAAAAGTTTGTAACCTGCCACATTCTCATACTCTCCAGTGTTAATTGTGTTTCTAGCTGTCATGTAGTCTATCTTTAGCTAATTGTGTCGTGGAAATATTTCCAACCTTTGTCGTAAGTCTTCTTTTCTTCGATCCATTTAGAGAGTGCAAGTGCCCAAACACAGACGTTCCCGTCCTCCGGACTCACTACCATTTGAAGTTCCCGGCTAATTCATTAATTTAGACAAGTCAATCGTCGGGTAAGGGAGACAATTTTTTTGTGGTCATACCGGTTGCACTTCACAACATCTGGCTTTATGATTCCCGGCCAACGCTTTGTTCAAGAACTGAATATTGAAAGATAACTTTATTCATAAGGACGGTATTGGTCTCACAGACCCGTGCCGTTCTCCACCTCTTCCCGCTAAAATGATGGCTTCTGAATTCCAATCTAGCTTTGTTTGCCATACTTCACTTCAAGCAACCTGTATTATCAGTCTGCTGTTACTAATATAACCAGCAATCGCTACGAGGGGAATTATGCTAATCATCATTCGTGAGCCCGTAAGAGTAAAGCTTGGTAGAAGGAGCGCCAGATCTGTTGAGAGCACATCTGTGGAAACATTAGGTTTTCATGTATCATGTAAATGTCAATTCGAATTATCCGATATCGTTTAAACTCTAAGTCGTTGTGCCCTCTCTTTGCATTGCAGAGTCTTCAATATTACCCGACGATTGCAATTTAGTGAGACTCTAATACTGTACATCCCTTGTGGAGCACTTCCCTAGGTAAGGCGGAAGGAACAGGCAATTGAGATTCACGTTCTGTAAGTAGATTAGCGTATTACAATAAACTGTGGGAAAGCCCACAAAGAAGCTCACATTCGCGAAACTCTGAGTCGCGAAATACAACTTCGCGATCTACGGAAATCTCAAAATACAGCACTCGACCACACCTACCCACTGTCACCTCAAATCTTTCACAGAATGCGTCAGGTATGCTTCACTCGATTTATTGTGAGCCTCTGTTCTCGCTCTGGTTTAATTGACTCAAGTTTAGTGAGCGTGATAGAGAGACGCGCGTTCTTCTCTCTTCCTGGGCGAACCAAATCCAAAGAAGGCACCGATGTCTCTGTGGATCCCTGTCCTCCGCCCCATGGAAGCTGCTTTAATCCACCACTACAAAGATCTTGATCTTCGTCCAAATCCAGATCTTGGACTCGTTGTCGAAGAATAAGGACTACCAGGAGACAGCATATCAAAAAGTTGAAAGCTCTCCATTTACTGGAGAGCCTTTGATAAAGTGCATGGTTTGTCTGTGCTGAGACGATGATTGGACCTCTCAAGGTCCTCGTTGCCAATCTAAAGGCAAACGACCCTCCAATTATCGTCTCAGCACAGACAAATCATGCACTCGATCAATTACTCAACCATATCATGAAATTCGAGCCAGTTGCTGCTCTTTGGACCAGCACGAGCGCTCTTAATAAAATGTCACGAGAGTCTGGCTCGGACAGTACAAAGATTCGGAAGCGAACCTTAAGGCTCAGAGAGCACTTCCTGTGAAGCCGGACGGACATACTGTTACTGCCGATGGCAGAGAGATCGTTCTCGTTGATGCTGCTCTTTGGACCAGCACGAGCGCTCTCAATAGAATGTCACAAGAAATTGGGACAATTCAAGGAGTTTATACCGTACGTTCACCTACAACCGACCTTTGCTCTTACAGTGCTAATAATTCTCTGGAAGTTCTTTGCATATGGTTACGGTGATGGAACTGCCAAAACAAGAATGATCTACATTACCTTGCCTGTAGATTTTAACTTCCAAGACTTCCTAGGTACGTTAAAGACTCCGTTGGCAATGACTCCACTTTCTAATCCCATTCAGACTTCTATGTCCAAAATCACTACTTTTTCTTAACTCCCGGAAGACATGACACACATCAGAACGATTGATGGCAGACTGTTGGCTTTGGAGGATGTTCACATGGGTTGGAAATTGAAGGATCCCTATAACGTAAGTCCGCTAGTATCTCAGTGATGGTCTCTCTAGCTAACAACTCACTAGAATGACTTGTCGTATAACCCCATGATGGTCTCGACCGGGATATGATTAGCCTTTACTTACACTGTATTATACTCTTCTGTACTATTATTGTATTATTAGAATCTATGCCCTTCCCACACCTCTTTTCTTGCACACTGATTGCCCATGATTACGTTCGATTGACTACTAACAAGAAGGTGGTCGAAACTCTTTTTTCTTGCAATTTGTGAGTTTTTGATCACACTGCCTGCAGCAGCATTTCGTACTGACAGCGTGCAGAACAAAGTCGTAACTACCGCAGATGACAAAAGTCGCACTGGCAGAATCGAAGAACACCTTAAATGCACCCCTTGTCGAAGCAGCTCTTTAATTATCGACTTTCAATTTACTCCTATTAACTTACCACTTATTCCGCCCTTCTCCCCCGCTTACTTTCTTCCGTCTACTAACATATTTGTTGATTTAGTTCCTGCTCTTCATCTCAAAGCCTACCTGCTTCCTCTGCCTCCTCGCCTCCGATACACACAACAGCCTATACTTATTACTCATATCCCTACAATCATACATGATGGAAACAATTGTTGTGAAATGCTGCAATCCCATGATCTGCGCATTGTGCGCTGTCTGCACTGTCTGCACTATCAGCGCACTCAGCGCACTCAGCGCACTCAGCGCACTCAGCGCACTCAGCGCACTCAGCGCAGCCAGCGCAGCCAGCGCTTACGCGAACTGGAAAGGGGCAACAGACCGGGGCGCCCCGGTCTAGACTCTCGGCCACAAATATGGGTTGGAATGCGGCCAATGACGCCTGATGGTGTAGCGAGACATCCCCGCAAGCCACACGGGCGGTCGAATAGGGGTAAGAGGAGAATGTCTTTGAGAGAGGAATTGGTGGCATACTGGGGAGCGTTGGATGTGAAGCAAGAAACAACATATACTAGCAGCAACGAGGACGCAGTTGAGTGACATGGAAAGGAAAAGCGTCAGGGGAAGCGGAGTCCTGCAGCGAATGAGATGCAGTCGAGAAGCGGACACTGGATTCAGGGGAAGCAGGGGAGAAGGGAGTACAGCTTTTCGGTTGTGACAATCGCTAGATGCCAAGACTGCGACAGTATGGTCTCTGAAGGTAGGCTTGTAGAGTATGGCTGACAAGCCGATTTCTAGTGGAGAGGAACAAAATAGGCCCTGCATATCGTGACTGCATTACGAAAGTTTGAGCATAGCTCCGCTCCAGAGCAGAAGAAGGAAATGAAGTGCTGCGTTTATGAGGCGGAAACTATAGATAATCAGAGTGGTATGAAAGAGTCACAGACGAGAAGAATGACACCTGGAGGTAGCTCAGAGAATGTGAAGGCTAGCTTCAGAAGAAGACTAGATTTGGACGTGGAAGCTTTGAAAAGGAAGACTTGAGCGATATGGTAAGATTTAGCAAGGCTGCACATGCGAAGATGTATGAAAAGCTCAATTAGGATTGCAGTAGATGGGTAATTCAGTTAGTCAATGAATGTCGGCCGCGTCACATGGACTAGTCTCTGTTAAAGTTCCGTCCACCTCGTCCACTAAAGTTTCTATGCATTGTCTGCTTGTATTCCTTGGTTACGTTCACACCTCTTCTTCATTGAGTTCTTCCACTTCTGTTCACAAGCCTTCTATTCTCCCGTAACAAAGAGTGTTTTACACAAGCTTTTTACTCAACACTTTTCTTAACGGTACTGGATTCTTCTTGGGTCAAATAAAGTCGTGAGTCAGTGTTCTCTCCTTCAGTATAGATCTATGACTATTCAGAACAAAGCAAGAATACACGCTGACTGTATTAAAGAGGCAGGGGTCTAAGACACAAACTAGAAAGAAACGAAAGAACTTGCACCTACCTCTCGCACAGTACCTTCTTTCGTACAACTCATATCCCCTTGATTGCTCTTTGGCCCAGGTAGCGTGGATCATTGAGTGGGCCAGGACCTGGAAATCAGTCTCGTATACAGTCTTGTTCTTCCTCAACCTCACCAAAGCAGATGGTCAGCTTCGTCAGCATAGCCGATGGTTAGTCCGCATACATTAGATTTCCCATCATCCTTGGTCGTCTGATACTACCCGACGAATAGTGGTTGAACCACAAGATCCATCCTCAAGAGACTGATACAGACCAAGTTATGTTTCCACTAGTTGGTCTGCCCAGTAGCACGATACATAATTACATACCCGAAGAAATTTTCCCAGAATTTAAGGACGTTGAGGGTGTAGGATATGTATGTAGTTGAATCCGATAACTTTTCATTGCTATATTCAACATCCGGCATGACCTTCCGATATCTTGCTAGCTGCCTGCTTAACTCTTTCGACTCCTTCACGCTTCTCTCGATCACTCCCTTGCATAAATGATATACACTATGAAGGGATACAAAGTCTTCTACCGTTATCTTTATTTGACAACCCCAGCAAGTCCCAACCACTCACAGCTCATGGCACACAGGAAAGTGTCGTGGCGCATCATCTCGAGTGTGATGGCTGCTTCCAAAGCCTTGTCTGCACGAACTGCCTCTCCTCCAAATGCACCGAAAAGTCTGGAACTCTTCTCAGCGAACGTATAAAGAACCAGATAGTGCTTCTTCGATGATCGTGAGATGTGTCCGCTTCAAGCTGAGTTGTGGGGGAGGAAAATAGAATGGGGATAGCGAAGATCTTGAGGGTAGCTGCAGCGGATAACTTGAACGGAGAACGAGTTAGCAAATCTCCAGGAAGAGTCAAGATGGGCGTGAAGAACTTGGCCAAGCATCTGTGCGCCGTACTTTTCGTCCCAAATATAACTCAAGAGAATGGAGGAATGACTGTGGAGATGCTAGCGATCTTTGTGCTTCCTGGTCGTTCTTCTGGAAATCGAGAGGAAGAGAAAATGTGAGGTTATCGGGTTGGACGAAACGCGTCTCTTTCTTCATGAATTTCGAGACTAGGTGAAAAAGGGCCTGCCAAAGCCACTGAAGCTTGTGTTTGGGGCGTAAATACGAACTTGTTATAGGTAAGAAGTCTTTGAAGTGATGATCTTGTGAAGAAAGGTAAAAGGTGACCCTAGTTGGAGGGCTCGTGGTAAGTCACAACACCTGCTCACAAATCAAGATAAAAGAATATGAATAGAGATTTGCGAAAAAGCGTTGCGTCAATCACTGTGTGCTGAAAAGAAAGAAGCAAAATTGATGAGGGTGTATGTGAGTTCATTCATCTCATTCTCCAGATTTCAAACATTACAGATGTTGTACAAGAATCCAACCACTCCCAATAACCCCTCCCTCGCTCCCTCCCTCCCTCCCTGCCTCCTTTCCCTGATGTCGAAAAGGCGACCACACAATGAACCGTTTGCCGCAACCCAAGCACGCACGCACCCGTCGAAGAGCCCTTCTCATCCGTATGCCATGGGAGGCCCTATCAGACCAGTTAGAAAGGGGACCGAAGCCCATCAGATGAATGACTTACCGAAGTACAAAAAATTGTACTTCACTGCTGCCCACCTCACTGCTGCCCACCTCACTCGTGAAGTAGCCTGGGAGTCAGGCCCCTTAGGGAGCCCCGGGTTTCCAGGTGCTCAACCCAGGAGCCCGACTCCGTGGTCTGGTTGTGTCGGATGGGACACAACCACCACAGCTGGGAGACGCGTTAGCCAGAAATTGTGAAGTATGTGCGGTCGAGATACTTACGCTAATTCATGATGCCTGGGATACCGGAGCCATCACCGGGCCACAGGATACAAGACGCGTGGAGCGGCCGCGGACCGCGTTATGGTGGTGGTGGTGGTATGATCAAATACTCAAATGAAAACTTTGAAGAGTGAAGACTGAGGGTTTGTCAGTGAGGTGTGTGGGAATGGAAGGTGAAGGAGAACGAACTTTTGTTGTTCTCAAAGAGAGGAAGAAGAGAGGAGGAAGAGAAAGAGACTTGAAGGTGGAAGTTGCTCTGAGATGGAAAAAATTGGAAGGAAGGTGTGGGAAGGAAAGTATTTATGCTCGTCAAGCGAGCGCGCCCCGAAGCCAGATCACTCACTTCAACACTAATCTCGATTGGGACTTGCTTTCTGGTTTTTACGCCCACCAATGGCATTACAGAGAGCTTTCAGTTGAGTTGAGTTGAGTGATTGCGTTTTGGCTTCCGAATTCGGCCTAGTAGCCACAACGCTACTGCTCCATGCATCACTTTCCCATTGCGCTTCTGCGCGGCTTAGATGTAGGCTGCAATTGAATATTCCTATATTCATAAGCTCTTCCGCCCTTTCGCACCTCTTGATACATTTTCTTCAAGCAGCAGGAATAGGTAATCTCACTCCATCCTCCATCGCCGCAGCACTCCTCATCATCCCTCCCGCACTGACACAAATAACCACCAGCCCAACCAGCAACGTGCCTACCCCAAATAACGCCCCAACCTCGAGTATCTGCCTCATCCTCCTCTTCTTCTCCCTCTTGCTTTCTGTGTAACTCTCATCTCTCCGTCCTGTCCACTTACCCCTCTCTTGCTCCTCCATCTCCAACTCCACCACTTGAGACAACAGGCCTTCGTCTACTGATACAGTTCTTGCTTTTGGAGGATCCAAATCTCTTCGTGATTTAGATTTTGACCAAACAGAAGGGTACGTGTTTGATAGCCAGTGTTGAGACCATCTAGTCTTCGTCGCGTTTGCGAGGTTGGAGTGCTTGGGTGGGAGATGAGAAGGTGCTGTGCCGGGCGGCAGACGAGATGTTGAGGTTGTGAAGGGGAAAAAGGAGATGGAAGCTCGAGTGTCCATTATACGGTCTTGGACTGAGGAGGAGTGGAATGGCATATTTAGATTCAATGCATATGAAGATATCAGATGGCTAGTCTTGGGAATGCGCAACTTCCGTTGAGGTTGGGATTGTGGCCCCGTATTGAAATGTCAGCGAAGTTCGGAGTTCGCTTTCTTTGTTCGAATGCAGAAGTCACGGATCCGGGATTCAATACAGACTGTGGAGATCTTGAGCTACGCTACAAACAAAGGAAGAAAAATTCCACCAAGGAATGACAGTGTGAAAAATATACACAACAAAGAGAATCTAATTTACTGTGACTGATCAAGTCTACGACGTAGAACTGCAATAGTATCGAACAACAATATCTCAGGACGGAAATGACCCCTTCCAGAGCCAATGGAAGAAATCATCCACGAAGTAAGATAAAATAATTGGAAGTCATTGTAAAGAGTATAAAAATGTAGAGCAAAAGTTGGTGGGAGACACGGGCACGTTACCTAGGAACTGTAATCTTGCCATGACGCTCTTTATATGTGAAATCTTCCGCACCAAATCAAAGCTCTCCAAGTCCGGTGGATCAAAGAAAGCAAAGCTTTTTCTAAAAGGCGAGATTATACCACAAACCACTGTTGTGGCCTTTCTAAACAAGATCTGCAAACATTAATCTACAAGTCATGCTAGTAATTCTGTTCCCGAAGCCGGTATAGAGCTCACACACCGATTAATTGCCTCAAAAAAGAACCATGGTCAAGAGAACAGATATATTGAACCCGAGCATCACAACACGGAAACATAAATTCTACTTTGACAGGATTCTAAAACAACTAGTGTCTTACAGGTGGTATAACCAGGGTGATTTCGAACCACATACAACCCTCAAATTTTCTTCAGATCTACGCCGTTGACTTTTTCCGATGCTGCTGGTGCTGGTACTTCCGCTGCCGCCGCCGCTGTCACTTTAGCATCAGCAGCGGATCGCTCACTATACCGATCGCCAAACAAGCCAACATGCTGCCTCATGATGATCGTATACTTAACAAATTCCTCCGCACAATCAACCAACCTGTCCCTATTTGGACCAGCCATCATCCTCGACACACCAGATTCATTTTCCTCATCCTCCACACTCTCCTCCGTGAACAGGGTATAAGCTTGTGGCACTGAACTCTGATTAGGAATTGTGAACATCCGCATCCATCTTCCCAGTATTCTGAGACTGTTGACAGTGTTGAAAGACTGCGAGCCTCCAGACACCATCGCAATACCTAGTGTTCGGCCTTGAGTAGGACGAACCGAGCCGGTGCTGAGGGGAATCCAGTCAATCTGGTTCTTGAAGACAGCGGTCAGGTTTCCGTGTTGCTCAGGCGAGACCCAGAAATGGCCGTCGGACCAGAGAGAGAGGCTAAGTAGTTCTTGGACCAGTGGATGGTTGTGTTTTCTCTCATCTTTCATGGGGAGGCCTTCCGGGTCGAAGACTCGCACATCGCAACCTAGGCGCCAGAGGATACGGCATACTTCGTAGGCGAGTAATCTTGAGAATGATCTGGTGATGATGTTTAGCCAGAGCTCATCAAGGTCAATCAAGGTCAAGAGTAAACTAAGCTGCAAGCAATTGCAATCTGTTGACTTTATACATATCGCAAGTAAAATCACAGGGTACGTGAATTGCGAAAGCCAAAAACAGCAGCACCAAAACGAGAGGATATAAAAAGACCAAAGGAAAGTCACCGTTACGTACCTGTGTCTCAAACTCCCATACAAGACCAGCACTTTCAGCCTCTCTCCAGTCTTCTCAAGATCCTTCTTCGCCATCTCCGTCACAGTCGCTAATTCCAGTTCCTTCACCCAATCCTCGGCTTCTGCAGCACCACCTGGAGCGAAGAGAAACGGGCGGTACCAGAATCGCACGGAGGGATCGTCCTCTGTTTCTGGCATCGCTAGGGATAGATGTGCGTATTCCAGATCACGTTTTGGGGGCTCGACAGCGGGTGGTGGAGGTACGACTTGTTGAAAGGGTGGTGCAGTGGTTATCCTGATAGGACCTCCACAACTTTGGACTATATGGTACTTGTGGGCCATGGCGAAGTTACGGGAAGGTAGAATTCCTTTGATTGCTGAAGGAGATGGACGGCGTATTGTTGAGTGAGTGTTGCAGACGGAGACGGGTTGGAAGAAGGAGAAATTGCGAGTTTTGGTCAGGAAAAGCGGACCACGCTCATACATGAGGTACAAAGATGTTTGAGAGTCCAGAAAATATGACAGAGACTCAAATGTAATTCCAGACGCAGAACTTCGACTTTGTAGTAAATTGTAGATGGGCGCGTTCTGAAAATTTTGGGGATTAGGGGGTGCTGTCACTCGTCGCTGTTGATTCGTCGAGGTTTTAGGGTGCCGAGATGCTGGAACACGCCCAAATAGCGGGACGAGTCCTAGGGGACGCCACTGCCGTAAGCTTGCGATATCAAGCTTACCTATCATTCTCGGATGATGGAAACTTCTATTGTTATTTCATGTCACACTTCCAATCTCCAAGTAGTTATCTGAGCGGATTCTGCTGATTCAGCATATCAATTATTGTCGGAGGAACCACCCCAGAGCGAGGATGCGTCCACTGTTGCTATCAATACTCATGTGCAGTCAACACCCCCACTACCGGCCCTGGAAAGACAGTTGCCTCCTATTTGGCACAAACTAACGAGATATGTTAATCAGAGCAGCACGGATTACGATGGAAATAATACAAAGAGGCTCGATGCAGCGAGGGCCACCTTCGTCTAATTACTCCAATACCCACCTGGCTCTTGACAACAACACGCTCAGTTATGTTATGAGCAATTGAGTCCTCCATTGAGTCCCAGAGGATCACCGATACCAACGCTAAAATCGGAGTTATAGCCATCAGTTACAAGGTAGAAGGCTGTTACTGTTATTGAGGCTGATGCAGTATATGCACGACTGATTGTGGTTGCGGGTTCTTTCTTTTCCTAAGTGGTTAGGAGTGTAATTACCAATCTTTCCATTTTATAATAAGTTTACGTAGAATTTTTGAAATCTGAATTCTCCCTACGTATCGATTCTCTCGAGGCTTGTCCCTCCAAATATATATATGGAGTACCAGAATTGCTAGGGATGTGTTCGGACATCTCTCCATCTCTTCGCCTTTTACTTTGATACCAAAACAACATACCTTACACATACTATCTGGAGATTGTGCACTGTCAGAACTTTACAAAAGTCGAAGGCTATCTTTACTAAGCTTCCGTACCGGAAAGGAACACAGGAACCTGCATTAATCATTCTGTGAGGCCTAGACATAATTGATCAGGCTGCCACTAAACCCTTTAAGGCATAGCGTCAGCTGCGTCACTACTACACTTTTTTATTTCAGAAGCAAACTTCCAGTCTTTGTGCCATGCACTCAGAACCACATGTTGTCAATATCATAGCATCAGCAAGCATATCGACAGATAAAATGGATGACTCCAGCAGTAATGCCATAAACCAGACCAGCACAGCAAGCCCAGATGCCATTGAGGTGAGCTACCACCCCAGCACGACTTTACGCACATAACTTCTCCCAAAACACTCTTCTAAATCTCAACAGCGAGCTCGACTTCGTCGCAATCAACGGAACTCGCGTGCAAGAAAGCAAGCCTACATCCAAGATCTCGAGCAACGTTGGGGCAAATGCGTTGAGCTAGGAGCGCAGGCAACCATGGAGATGCAGAAAGAGGCTCAGAGAGTGCATGAAGAAAATCGACTGCTTCGGAAAGCTCTGCACAATCAGGGACTTGATGATGCTACTATTGAGCGTGCTCTTGAGGCGGCGAAGAGTGCTTCTTGTGCTGTTCCGGCGCCACCGCAGGTGAGGGAGGGTCTGGTATGTTTACTTTCTCCCATGACTTGAACACCAAGGGAGGTCAAAGGCTGATATGTCTCAGATCACGGATGAACTACCAGCTGTCAGCTGGTCGAATATCGACTCTGCTGGAGAGCATCCGTCAATGGCAGCAGTCCCTTCTACGGGAGTCGAAAATCCCCAAGTCGTGGGAGAAACAGATATACCACAAACTCTAGATCTCTTCGACTGGCTTGACAATCTTTCTCAAATCAAAGACGCATTTGGTGCAGAGTCATTTGTAAGTACCCAAAGCCTCCTTCTTTCGAATTTCTTCTGACACGGTTGTGATAGGATGATTTGTTCGACTATTCAGCCGTTCCCTTGGAATCTTCGGATTTTATCGGCTTGAATGCATCTATGGATCCATACGTCGATTACACTCCTAGCTCGACTATAAGTTGATACTCAGACAGACGATGTTAAATGGAAGTCAAATTTATGTACTTATTCCACGACTTTGAATCTACTACGTGGCAACTCCTGGAATTTGCCCCTGAAACCGAAGCGAGGGCCCTAAATTTAGCGAGATGTGCTAATCCCCCCTCTACTTCAGCCCGAATTGGAAGAAATGCAATCAGCATAGCATTTGTTTAAGAACTAATATTGCAATGTACTTTCCAAAGACAAAGCTTTACAACCCATGGAAGTGGGTCAACTTTGAACAATTTCCTCACCACATCTAACTGCACAAGACTGGAAGTCCTCAGAACTGGATTCAATGTACCCTGAAGCTTGGTGGCACTTCAACTGCAGAGAACAGGTAGCTTTCTTGAGATACCAGAAGATAATCACGTGAGAAGTATCTGTCGCTGCTTTGCATTCTGCTTCATATGCAGGTACTGACGATCATCTTATCTTCTCCCAAATACCACGCAGCGGCAAGTCAATTCTCAAGGTTTAGCAAGCCACCATGCTACTTCACCATAAATACACCAATCACAGATATACTTTCTGATGGTGGAAACCTAGTAGTGCCGGCTGTCATGTTGATTCAGGCCCACTGTCCCACTTTTGAGGCTCCACTACCTCAAGTAGGACATAGAGAGCCCATCACGGCAATGAGGGGCTCTTCTGATGTAGATCTGGTCATCTTCGCTTTAAATCTTCCCTCTTCTTTCTAGCTCTTGTCACTGCGCTTTTTTCCTCATGCAAACTTCTCTCAAAACATGTCTCTAAATCCGACTTGCGCACCTACACCTCCTCCTCTAGAACACACTTCACCACCTCTCAGCCCAAACGCCACACCTCCACCACCGGACGGAGGTTACGGTTGGATATGCGTCATATCTCAATTCTTCATCAACGGCTTCACATGGGGCGTCGTAGCCGTACCTTCCCCTCCTTCCATTCCCCTCTCACAAACAGCTAAGCCTTTCTCAGAGCTACAGCGTCTACCTGGCCTACTACCCCTCCCACAACCTATTCCCCGACAGCAGCCCCCTCGACTTCGCATTCATCGGCGGCTTCAACTTTGCCTTCGCCTTGCTAATAGCCCCCATCGCCACACTCCTCACGAAGCTCTACGGAGTGCGGACTCCCATGCTCCTCGGCATTATCCTTCTCCCCAGCAGTTTCATCGGTGCTTCGTTCGCGACTAAGATCTGGCATCTGTATTTAGCTCAAGGTATGGGCATCGGTGTTGCAGTCGGGTTGATCTATATCCCCGCCACGGCCATCATCCCGCAATGGTTCCTCAAGAAACGAAGTCTCGCGAGCGGAATCTGCTCAGCTGGATCTGGGATCGGCGGACATATCATTTGTTTTGCTACTGAGGCCATGCTTCAGAATGTGGGTCTGGTGTGGTCACTGCGGATCACTGCCGCTGTCGTATTTGTTGTCAACTTAGTCGCGACGCTGTTGATGCGTTCAAGAGACGAGGAGATCCGGCCTAATGAGCGGATGTTTAATTTTCGGTTGTGGAGGAGCTATGAAGTTAGGTTGCTATTGGGGTGGAGCTTCGTGTTGATGTTTGGGTATATTGTTCTTATGTTCTCGTTGTCGGATTATGCGATTGCTATTGGCAGGTCGAATTCTGATTCTGCTGTTGTGGCTGCTGTTCTCAATTTGGGAGCTGCGTTTGGGAGGCCGGCTATAGGATATATGCCAGCGATCGTTACGGAAGGGTTGAAATTGCTGGCACTCTTACATTTGTTTGTGGTGTGTTGGTTTTCGTGATGTGGGTGCCTGCAACTACCTTCAGCGTTTTGGTCACTTTTGCTTTCCTCAGTGGAGCAATCTTGGGCGTATTTTGGGCTGTGAGTTATGACTTCTTTCGAAGTGAAGCTTCTCTAGCTAAATGCTACAGAAAGACCATTGCACCTCTCGCCGCAGATGTCGTGGGACTGAAAGAACTCCCGGCTTTTCTCTCCATAATATGGTTGTCAGTGGTTCTACCCACAGTTTGTAAGTGCCGATCAAATGTATCCTCTTTTTCGTGCAGCTGATTCTTGGATGAATAGTCGCGGAAGCCATAGCTTTGAAATTGAGGCGACCTGGGCTTGGTGCAAGAAGCTATCTGCATGCTCAAGTTTTCACTGGATTATCGTATATCCTGGCAAGTTTCTTGCTGTTTGAGCTGGGGAGATTTCGAAGAAATGCAGTTTCACAGTGTCAGTCGAATGAGGAAGACTTAACGGACATGACAGAAGTTTGAACGATGTCATCCAATGGAGGAAAAGTATATAATAATTTATGGTACGTACGGAATCAGCTTGGTTCTGGCATCACAATGTCTAACAAAATTTCCAACATTTTCCAGCATCAACAAATAATCCTCCCATCCACCTCTTCCGACTCTTAGCATCTAATGAATGCCGCTTTAGCACACATATTCTCGCCTCGAAGCACGAGTGTATCCTGGCACACACGCTAATGGTGGTAGTGCATGACAGATTCCGGAATTCGAAGATGGCGCTATTGGTGACGCATCACTGCACGATGATTCGTCAATTGCTACGCGATGTTGGATGGGAAAGCTATGCTCTTGACGAATGCGGAATATGGTTTGCATTAGCAGCTGCATGTCGAAGTGCAACAACGAGCTTGTGGGCAAAGTCATGTTGATGTTGGAGGATTCGAGGGCGATTCGCGTACAAGGTCCGGAGACTCTTACGAGGATACAAGCGTTAGATTGGGCTAGGCGGCGAAAAACCTTTTGCCGCATGAACAATAGTTCAATTCAAGCATGAAGGAGAATACTTCCATTCTCAACAAAGTGAAGTTCTTGGTGCATCATTTTGTATAACCTCGTTTAATTGCACCGTTCACTCGAGCACCATTTGGCTAAGTACACAGGGAAATTTCAAAAACCCGTGTATGCTGAGAAGAAAGAAACTAGAATCCCTTCATTTCGACCTATCCACTATTCTTCACGCCGTAAGTGAAGAGTGACCTCTGGATAATTTCTCGCCTTACGAAGGAGGTTTCGTGATATGGCCTGGACTGAGTACCCCACTCCAAACGTTTTTGCGCAGATAGTTGAGTCCAATGCAAGTGGCGGCTACAGATCTATTGACATAGTCCTCAGTGATAATGTTGGGGAATTTCGAGTTAGGTTCAGCAGCGGTGACAGCTGATTGTGCGAGCCAGCCATTGATATCCATTGCCAACTCCAGAATTGTGTCCGTAAGGGGTACAACGTTCCAGAAGGTCTCCGTGCAACACCAGTATAATGTAAACAGCTGGTAATCTCCATCAGGCCCACTAAGGTAAAGCGAGTTAGTTGACTTGTGCAAAACTAGATACTTTACATAACATAAAGCCCAGTAACAGAAGGAACAATTAGAAAATAGTACATACCCCCAATTTCCCATCTTTGTGATCTGATCAGTCATAACAGTATCCGGACTATTACTTTCCGCATACATGTCATAAACAACAAGTCTGGCTTTCGGGTAGATTCCCTTTAGGATCAAATTTGGTGGGGGTGTGTAAATGTCCGCTTTAACGTCAACGATTACGATTGATGCCGGGTGACCGCCATTAAGACCAATGATATCTTTCAGGTTGATTGTGGATAGATTTGCGAATCCGGTAGCAAACCCAAAAGCTAGGCCGGTGAAAATACCCCAAACCTCGCTCCATTCGTCACCATTCAAGTCTCTGGTAAGAACATGCGAATTAGCAGCAGTCTAATATATCGATCCATGGCCACTTACCGAAATGGATTAGTAGTATCATCTCCATTATAACCATGGGATAAGCTCACAATGACCAGTTCCATGTTCTCAACAAGGAAATTATTGATCTGTTCGACATTACAGATATTGTTTCACCAGATCGTCCTTGCCATCCGGCGATAGATTTACTATAATGCCCCGAATACCACACTCCATCTAACAAGACTGGGCGGATATCAAAGAATCGAATTTCTTGTACTAATTGTTGAGAGATATCCAAGGATTGAGTCTGGACATTCCCGTCGGTAGCCCTTGTTGTTTCGCCATTGTTCACTGCCATTGCCGAATCATGACGTCCTGCAATCGAAATTTGAGATAGAGTCATGTCTCCGATGACACTGAGAGTATTTTGCATCCAGCTGGAGAGATCACTATCACTGGTCCAGTAGACGCCATCTATTGGGCCTGACACAATGTGCTGTACAGCTATGCCACTAAGTATCGTCAGAGTCCCAGTTTGTAGCGTTCCCTGCTTGACTTCAGTCACTACTTTGATATTTGCTTGCAAGACCGAAAACGCTATGTTAATTTTGACGTAGCCCCAAGTTTCTCCAGGCTGCGTGGCATATTGAACCATTCCAGTGCCGCCGGAGCCGTTGATACTGGAGACATTGGCACTGTAAGTTTCGCCAGCATTAATCGTTTTGGGCCAAGTCCAGCTTGAGTCAGGGGCTTTTATGTCTGTCAACTCCCAATTGAAGCAGGTTGCATTGGTCAAGTTGATAGCGCCAGCGTAGGACAATGACATGATCAATTTGAGTAGGGAAGGACTTCTTAGTGATAGTCAAAATGAAGATAATTTGATGGATGTTGGACTTTAGTATCGCTATCTTGGAGCTATTCCACTTCACTTTATCCTATGTCAAGGAATGATACAAGAATAAGAGAATGTCAGAGGCGTTCTGCAATCCGCAAATCCACATTTTACACAACCAAAAATATAAACATAAACATAAACAACAATGAATTGACAAGCAATGCGGCACGGATATGGAAAGGGCTATGAAGTGGCCGTCCCGGGGAATGCACTACCCTTGCGTTCGCCCAGGAATGATGTAGTTTCCATGTCTCAGCCTCTCTTGAGACGTCATGTAAGTTCACTTGAGCAAATTGAAAGTGTAAATTTGATTTTGATAAAGTACGGCCAAGAGAGGGAATAGCTCTAAGATCTTTCCACCTTGAAATAGCCCAACTCTGGGATAAAAGATTCGATGCTTCTTTTGGAAAAGATTCTAGTGGTACTTGATAACTATTTACACCTTCGATTAAGCAAAATCAGAAACATGAATACCACAATCTGAACGAAAGAATGCAAACACGTAGCTGCTACAGTAAATCACTTATTCTACCATAATTTCATCCACATTCTCAAACCTGCGCCCAGATAGCAACAGCAACATTATCGTCAGATGTATCAATCTCCAGCCAACCATGTGGACAGTTCTTTGGAAAACTACACATTCCTCAACCATGCGTCCAATACTAAATGCGATGCTGGAGAAGAGCGGCATACGGCACAGCTGATTAACAACGAGAAGGGTCTATTCCAAGTCACGCAACATGATGCAGAAGCACAAGCCACTCCTACAGCAATCTCACTCGATCTCTCCAACTGAAGAATGTGTGCAAGAGACTACCTCCGAACTTTTCGTTCTGCCTCGATATGTCTCCCTTGCTAGATTTATAGGTTCAAATGAAGCCAAATAATGAGCATTCTTGTAAAGACAATCCTGAAATTGAGACTTTGGCTGACAACTTGAAAGCCCCTCATCGAGTTTTCTTTTGGTCGTTTTTGAGCCACACATCTTCGGAAAAAAGCGCCAGATGACCCCTGATCATGTGAAACTAGCTTCTGCTCGAGTATAAGAGCTCGTTTGTACTTAGAATCAGCACCTGGAACTTACGGATTAAGTTTATACTGATCCACTCTGATCTTTACATGAACCCCTCTCCTGCGCCCGATTGACACACAGAAATAAAAAGCGAGTATGTATGAATCTGTAAGAGTACGTAAGCAACGTAAACGCTCTCAAATTCGGCTTGGTGAAAGCACACAACGCAATACGAATATTGCTGCAACAGGAGGAACAAATTCCAATGGGTAGCTCACTGGACGTGGGAATAATCACTGAAAGTTGTATGAGGATTGGAGATATTGAACAGAGATATTTTGACTAGTCAAGAGCTATATGAGGATCTATATCTACCTTATCTATGCGGAGCCTCTCTATAAATCCGAATGGTTCCTTTCTTCGCAAGACCGAGGAATACGACATGAGACAAATAGAGACTCGATGTCTAGAATAGAGCCGCAGAGGGCAGAAAGGAAGCATGCTGTCGTAAATCATCACAGGCGTATATTGATATGATCGGTCTTCGTTCTCATCCCGTCCCCTGTTTTCTTATGATCTTGCCCACTCCTCCCTCTTTCCCTCCAGATATTCTCCTTTCTCCACCCATCGTGTTTCCAGCCACTTGGCCAATTCAGCGTCACTCTCAGGCAAATCTGCCAGAAGATATCGCTGGACGTGAACGTGGAATTTATAGCCCTTCTTTCCACTCAGATCACCCATGGCAAGCGATTCCCATATCGTAGGAGCTTCCAGAAATTTATGATTATGTTCGTATGCAATCGTCATATCGTAAACAGCTTTCATATGTTTCGCCTTTCGTAGATGTTGAACCGTGGTTACGAAGCCTTTCGTTCGCGGGTAGAGAAGGTGTTTGGGTACAGGTCGATCATTTGCTTTGCACCAGATCTTGGCCTCTTCAGCTTTCTTTGGGGTATATCGAGTCGCTTCGCTGAAACTGATGAGCCCTGGCAGATATTAGCATAGAACATAACATACGGTGTTGGTTTCTTCTTACAAGTGGGCCACTTCTTCTGAGTAATGCCAGCAAAGACCCGATCGAGTTCTTTCTTATCTTTGGTCCATTGCCGGCTCACCATAGGCATCCCCATTGCCCAGATTCCCCACCCTAGCAGCGGAACCCAGCGCAATTCAATCTTAGAGAACCATCGACATCTGCCAAGCATGCCAGAGCGTATAGCGAGTGCCTGAATCATGTAAAAGTCTGTCCAGCTTACATGATTCGAGATCACAATAGCAGACTCGCCTTCAGGAAGCTCGTCTCCCGACATAGTGATCTTTCCGCCATTGAAGACCTCGAATATACATTGAATCCAATTCCAATTTGTGAAGGCGACGAAAGACGAGGTGTCATAGACAAAGTTGGGAAAGAAGAAGCTGAACGGAAGGAGAATTGACAGGATCAAGTCCATGACAACCAGATATAGAGCCCATGGTATAACGATGAGAGCCCCTCGAACACTGGTGAGAAGGCCTACTCCCGCCATTTTGAAGTCGAATGGAGTTTGTAGAAGAGGAAGACCAAAGCAGCGGTCTGTAACTTACAGAATCTCTAGCCCCACGGTGATGCAGATGTGCATCATGCACGGGCTTGCTTCCAGGTGATCTCGCGGGTTCTACCGAGTCCCAGAGCTTTGGCTCCCGGTGAAGAAACTCGTGCGAGCTTACGTTTAAGCTTCTGTCAACGTGGAATCGGGCTGAGATGGAGAATTGCGCAATTCTGGCAAAAGGATAATAGAGTCTCTTAATATCCGCTGGAGTTGTTCGTTGAATATCTGTCGAGGGGTCGGCATTTGCAATGAGATGGATGGGTTCGGCAGTGCATGAACGATTCTCGACCAGCTTACTAGTCGCCGAGAAGGGAAAAGTGCGACTGAACCGGCTCGACAGGAGTCTAGGACTCGATAGGAATAGAGTATGAGAAGAGAGACAGGGGACGCATACGACGCATTGTGCAGCAATAGGGTTGCTTCACTTCCGCGAGGGACAAGGACCCGTCGAGGGGCACAGGGAGAGAATCGCTCCCGTACAATAACCTTAGTAGCTGCATCCCAGCCAGCTGAATTTGACGACGACGGCGACCCGTCTTCCTTCCATCCCCTCCCTCACAGCCACAACCTACCTTTCCATTGCCCTCAAAGATCTCAATCTTCACCTCTTGCGGCGTGACAAATAACCAACATTGATTGCCCTTCAATTGCATTGTCGAGCACTGCCCCAGACTTCGGATTCGGTTCATTCACACTGGAAGCCGGCCGTTGCGGGACCTGTCTTACATCAGTTGTTACTCTTCCGCCGTTATCCCTTTCCCGAATGCTGGACCACTTCTTCTTCCCACCATATATCCAGAACTCAACCCACGACCTGCAAAAGGTACAGTCCGAATCTTGAGACGGTGAAAAAGCTCTCGAAGTCCCAATTATCAGTCGGTTCCCACGCGGCTCATCCCTGCGACGATCCGATTAAAGGTTGTTACTCATTGCGTCTGCTTGTGGCCCCCGACCCGACCTGTTTATTCCAAATACTTCCCTTCCCCGCGGCGACAGGCGCACTGCAACAGCATCAATTACGATCCCACCACTCATCGCTCAACGCAACCGTCGGCTACCTTGAAAGTCGCAATTGATAGGGTATATCATGCACAACATACAGTCAATTACTTGTCGTCGAGAGAGGGTCCCGCTCAAGCTTGTACCCGTCGAATCGTGCCACAAGATGCTTCCCGATTGCAGAAGAAAGAAAGTGGCTAACAAGACCCTACTAGATTCTACGCCGCAATTATACCCTCTGAAGCCTTACCACCGAACGTCGCCGCTATGTCTTTGACGTCTCCCGTCGACCCATATGGAAATAAATCGGGTGGAAGTGGATATGGCAGTGGACAATCGGACAGCGGGAAGAGTCCACTGTCGATGAGTTTAGGGTTCCTCAAGAACTTGACGGAAAAGAAGAGTACACGCGGTACGTGAAACGATATATTCCTGAGACTGTTGACTGAACGACCTACCGTAGATGGACAACCACCCAAGAGAAGAGGGCCAAAGCCAGACAGCAAACCTGCATTAACAAGGAGACAGGAGCTCAATCGACAAGCTCAACGGTGAGCAGACCTCATTGTATTCTACACGCACAGACTGACAAGTGACAGAACTCACCGCGAGAGGAAAGAGCTTTATATCAAGGCACTCGAGCAAGAAGTTCTGAGATTGAAAGAAAACTTCAGCATGGTCTCTCGTGATAAGGAATCGCTTGCAGAAGAAAACCGCCAACTCAAGCAATTGTTGGCTCAGCACGGCATACCATGGAACGGGACCGGAGGTGTTGATGAGCTCACTCGAAACACCAGTGTTGGTTATACTTCAAGCGGGAGCATTTCAGGAAGCTACGCGCCAGGCTCCCAAAGTTATAGCCCTCCACCGCAATCTCTGTCACCAAACTCTTCCGGATTTCAGAACCAGTCCCCGACCGGTATGAACGGTCGAAGCGTTGCTCAGCAGCAAGTTCAGCAAGGGGTGGACTATGATCAGACAGGCATTGACTTCGTCTTAACGTACGCCAATCCTTCGAAAGCGTACATGTCGCCTCCCCCGCAGTAGCTAACGACTACTTTTCGGCATTAGGCTTGAGAAACCATGCATGGACCACATGCAATTCCTTGTTGAGCGAGCCAGTGAACCAGAAGGCGATCCTTGTGGTCATGCTCTGATGGCTTCATGTCCTCCAGACCCATGGGTCGAAGATCATCCTGAAATCCCATTTGGACATAACCAGCCAAGTCCTACTGGTATGAACGGTAATGGCCCGAAGACTTGGGACTTGTCAAAACCGGACCTAGCAAACTTGCTTGATCTCAGCAAAAGACTGAATCTTGACGGTGAGATTACCCCAGTGATGGCTTGGGGAATTATACTTGGCCACCCTCGCTTCTCGGAATTGCGGCCCGAAGACTTCCAAAAGATCTGCCAAGAACTTGGAGGCAAGATAAGATGCTATGGGTAAGTTTGATATCTCGTTTGCAAGGTTTGTACTGACAAGACCAGTTTTGGCGCAGTGCTGGAAGAGTTTGAGGTCCGTGATGCATTAGAAAGCATATTCTATACCAAGCCTGAACTGAGTGCTGCATATTGAATACCCGTCGGAATGGGATATGTTTGGGTTGGATGGAGTTGCATGGAGTTGGAGACTGAAGGATTGAAGGGCTATCTTGAGCAAGGTTCAGCGCATGAAGGATTAACGACTTATTGATCATGACCGTTCGCTTCTTACGCTTAATTATAAGTAATATAAAAGTTCAAACTACTCTTGGTCCTCAATAATGACGCTAGTAAATAAAGATGAAAAGAAGCAGAGAAGCACCAATCACGTGCCGTATCAAGCATCCCGTCGGCAAACCCCACTAAAACTGCCCACATCGAAATATTTGACAAAGATTGAAGAATTTCATAAACTTCAAAGACACTCAACGCCAAGATTCGTCGCAATCATGGCGCCCATTTCGCTTTCAGATATCATATCCTCTCTCCCATCAGAAGATTCCTGGGGTCCACCAACGTCGACAGAAACCACATTAAATGGAGTTCCGTACGCCCCATACTCCAAAGGCGATAAATTAGGTCGCATGGCCGACTGGACCACTGAAGGAAAGGATGGACGAGATGGCAGAGGTGGCAGACAACAATATAACAGAAATTTTAGAGGTCCGATTTACCCATATATAATGCAACATATCCATTTTCTAGCTTCTGTTGAAGCTCAGACGCGGGGCAACTCTCATACTGACTCTATGAACAGATCAACAAGTCTATGGCGCTGGCACATCTTCTCTATTTGCGGTCCAGCTTGCGGAAGACGAATCTTCCTTCTCGGTGGTCAGCAATACTCGCGACTCGACGAAGACGCGCTTTGGACGAGGAGGAACTTTCACTCGAGGTCGGGGCCAGCGAGGTGGGCGCGCAGATACCAGAGGTGGACGAGGTCAATTCCAAAGAGTCGGAGGACGAGGTGGTCAGCAAGGGTACAACAATTATGACAACAGAGGAGGCCGTGGTGGTGCGCGGGGCGGAAGACGATTCGGCTGGAAGGATTACGACAAGCCGCAACGAAACCGCGATGCGTCTGTTAACATCAAGCCGGATTGGAAGATGCTGGAGGAAATTGATTTTGTCCGTCTGGCTAAGCTGAATCTCGATACGGATTCTGGAGAGGATATTGATGGGTACGGTTTCCTTTACTACTACGATCGTTCGTTCGATAAGCAGCCTGTCAAGAGTGCCGAGCGCAAGTTGAATGTTGTGGATCGTGCCGCCTATAATGTCACCACTACCTCGGATCCTGTTATTCAAGAGCTTGCAGAGAAGAATGAGGCGACGATCTTTGCCACGGACAGCATTCTCTCCATGCTCATGTGCTCTCCGAGATCAGTTTATCCTTGGGATATTGTCATTGTCCGACAAGGCAACAAGTTGTTCTTCGATAAGAGAGACAACGCTACCTTGGACATGGTCACCGTCAACGAGAACGCTGCTGATGCACCAATGGACGCTTCAGAGGGTAGCAAAGATGCTATCAACCAGCCGAGTGCCTTAGCCGAGGAAGCTACGTACATCAACCATAACTTCGCAAACCAAGTCATGATCGAGAGCGAGCAGAAGGTTGAGATGGCCCACGAGAATCCCTTCTACAACCCAGCAGAAGAGACCGAGCCACCGGCATCCAAGGCATACAAATATCGAAGATTCGACCTCTCTCTTAACGATGAAGAACCAGTACACTTGATTGTACGAACTGAGATCGATGCCGTCCAAAAAAATGCCATCAGTGGAGAAGATCAATTCTTGACCGTCAAGGCTCTAAATGAGTTTGATCACAAAGCTCAGGGAAGCGGCGGTGCTCTCGACTGGAGAACCAAGTTGGTCAGTCAACGTGGTGCAGTTGTAGCCACCGAGATGAAGAACAACTCCTGCAAACTTGCACGATGGACCGTTCAAAGTGTCATGGCCGGCGCTGATGTCATGAAGCTTGGGTAAGTTTATTCACCTTTCACTGGGAATGCACTACTAACCACGAAACAGATTCGTCTCTCGTGCAAACCCCAAGACGAACGACAAGCACGTTATCCTCGGCGTCGTAGGCTGGAAGCCCCGCGACTTCGCCCAGCAAATGAACCTAAGCTTGTCCAACGGCTGGGGAATTGTTCGCACGATCGCTGACATGTGTCTCAAGCGTGACGAGGGCAAGTTCGTCCTGGTCAAGGATCCTAACAAGCAGATCTTGAGACTGTACGAAGTTCCCGCTGGCAGTTTCGAGGATGATGGAGAGGGTGAGATCATCGAGGAAGTCGAGGAGGCTGAAGACTAGAGAGGTTTTGCTGTTATTGTAAAAAGCAATGCATGGATTCGCGAGGTATTGCTCGTATCTATCTGGGGTTTGGCGCTATAGTGCATAGCTAGATGGCTAATGAATCCCTTGATCCTGCACAAGTCTTCATGTTCTGTTTGCAGTATAAGCTTTACTGTTCTCTGATTTGTCGACATGCAATATTTTCTCAGAATGTCTAGGACATGCAGCAGATACTGATTCTTGATTCGCTGAAAGGGGAGCACGAGATTGTGGCTTAAGCGAACCGCCGCACAAGGCATCACACCTTCTATTCCAACATCACGTCTGCCTATTCACACAACATTTCTCTTCTCAACCTCCATTCTTCTACTCCTACCATTTTTCCACCTTTGTCCACCATTAATCAACTCAAAATGCGGACCTCAAAATCCACCCCCGATTCTCCTCCCCCAGCATACACCTCCACCTCCCGCTCTCAGCCTCCTCCCAGGATTCACGTAGTACAAGAATCCACCCCTCTCCTCTACCCAAACGCAAGATACACATACATCCCACCCCCAAACACCACCCAATCGCACTACAACCCCCTCCTCTACCGACCCCTCTACCTCCGTCCCTCCCCAACCATCATCACGAGAGGACGCAGCAACAAAACCTGCCGCTACACGCTCCTCGCCCTCCTCTCGCTCTCCATCCTCGTCGCCGTATTCAAAACCTCCTTCCCATTCCCGCCCTTCCATCCCCCGTCCCTAGCTCTGCCGCCGGAGAAAGCGGCCCCGGTTCGAATAGCGATCATTGGTGCCGGACCCGCGGGCGTGGGTGCTGCGTGGGCGTTAGCGGAGCTTCAGGGTAGCGAGGTGGAGGTCGTGGTTGTTGAGAGGGAGGAGAGGGTTGGGGGACGGATGAATTTGGGCGTGGATTTAAGGTTAGAGGGGAAGATGTGGGGAGGGCAGCGGGTGGAGATTGAGGATGTGGCTTCTGCGGAGTTGTTTGCTGATGAAAGGGGCGTGGTGAGGAGGAGGGCTGAGGGGGTGTTGGGGTTGGTGTTTGGGGAGGACAAGAAGAAGGAGGGGAGTGAGGAGGTGGGGTTCTTTGATGGGGGTGGGTTTGTTGTTAGGATGACGAGGCCTGGGGGGTTGATGGGGTGGAAGGAGTGGGCGGGTTTGGTGCTTAAGTATGGGAAGAGCTTTTTGGCGGCGAGGAATGTGCCGACGGGGACGATGGGGTTGTTTAGGGGGATGGTGGAGTTGGGTGGTAAGGAGACTTTTGAGGGTGTTGAGGAGTGGGTGCAGAAGGCTGGATTGAGGGATAGTGTTGAGATGAGTGCGAGGGAGAGGTTGAGTGTCAATGGTGTGGGTGATGCTTACCGAAAAGATATTATTGAGAGTCAGGTTCGACGACAGCTTGGGCAGGGAACTGAGGAGATCAGTGACCTTGCTTTGAGTCTTGCTCTTTGGAGGGAAGAGATTGGTGGTCCGAGACCGAAGAATGGAATTAAGATGGAAACTGTTCTTAAGCAGTTACTCGAGAGAAGTGGTGCTGAAGTCAGGCTGGGGACGAGTCTTCAGAGTATGAAGCAAGAACATGTCGTTGGAAAGAAGAGCCCGGTATGGAGACTTGGTTTCAAAGGACGAGGTTATGGGAGTGAAGTGTTCGACAAGGTCATCTTAACAACGCCTTGGGGTGAGGGCGAGACTGAGTATTATCGTCGTGTAACGAACACATTCCTTATATCGGAGAAAGGTTTGAAGGCAGAATACTTCAACGTCACCAACGAGAGCGACCTCCCAGCTCAAATCCTGCCGGTTCGAGGCTCAAACTTGCCTGAGGAGTTTGAAAATATACATGAGATCAGCCATGTGAAGAATATCTTCGGCCCGGATGTGGATTTTGGCGCTCAGTCGGTGTTCAAGATGTACAAAGTTCTGTCCGACAAGCCATTGTCTGAACAGACTATGAGGAGTCTTTGGGAACGTGTAAGGTTCTACTCCGTGCAGTCTCAACGTGCATATCCGCTGCTGTTTCCGAGAAATTCCGGATTTGGAAGTTTCAAAGTCCATGAGGGAGTTTGGAATACGGCGACAATTGAGCATGTTGCTAGTAGTGTTGATCTGAGTAAGTTCAACATCAGTCTTGGGTTTCTGATTCGATGCTGACTTGTGTTTGTAGGTTGGGCTGCGGGAGAAAATGTTGCGAAGTTGATCAAGCAGGATATTGAGGAGTAATGTAGTGATTGACATGGAGTCTTGGGTGAACGTGCGTAATGGTTATGATTTATGAAGCCTAGGATACCCGATAGTTGTTAGCATTCCTTCTGGACAATAATGAAGAGTTGTTCCCGCCCTGTATCATCTTTCTCTAATGACCCACTTACATTCATCTTCGAGGTTGCATGATGTCTCAAAGACTCCACCTGAGCGGTACACTTCCGGCAGGATATTCAGCAAGACACAGAACTTTGAGCAGGTCTATAGACAGTCAATCAAGGTGGGGTCACGAGAGGCATTAAGCGAGCGGCTAGTTGCTCCTCCTCAATCCATCACTTGAAATATTCCACCACCTTACTTTTTCACACAACCCAAACTTTCCCACAAAAGGTGATTCGGGAAGGCTCCTAGCCCGCACGACTCACTCTTGCAAGTCAAGCATCGAAGGACACAAGAATGAGAGCGAGCCTTCCATCAAAAGACAGAAGTCTGCTAGAGCCAAGGTACTTCATACACTGATAGAAAACGCGTCTCCTAATTTTCTGACAAGAACCGCATCCAGATTCTACTAGTAATCCTCAAGCAGCTCTCCCAAGAGGATATAGCCGGAGGCTGGCTCTCCAAGCCGCCCGCCATCGCGCATCACAATCCCAGCATTGCGCCTCGGAAGGGCTGTAAGTATTTAGTAGGCCTCTCGACCGGGAGAAATTCTTGCTAATGATGAAACCAGCTTGAGCTTCGATATGACTCCTGTCTCCACGATCACGCAAAGAAGAAGAATCTCGGATCTAGATACATGCGCCACAGCGTGATTTCCCTCTTGCGACCCACAACTTTGGTGAGCCGTCCTCGCCGAAAGCAGAGACCTCCTACTAACTTCGGCCCCCAGTTGAAGGATCCCTCGTCTTCTTCTGGCAATATAGTTGACATGATGAACTCTATGTGGTTCGGTGTTGTCTGTTTGAGCGAGAAAATAGCGTGCCGCAACGCGTATTCGAGGCTATGTGCTTGCTGTCCGTGTGGACCCATTCATACCAGCACTGCTGGCAACACAATCGAATTGCGGGGACGCTTTAAAGCCTACCGGTACCAACTATGTGCCATTTTGGAAGTGGTGAGATGGATATGGGGCGGCGATCAACAACAGACTGCCTTGGGTTGTGGTCACCTGAAATGGGTTGTGCGCAGCCTCAGACAGCAAGGAGTAAAGTTCAGAATTCATCACTTCACGCTCTGATCTCTCAACATCATAGCTTCTCTGTCAAGAGCTTGCCGTAAATATTCTTGATACCAATATTGTAAAGATTAGATAGATGATCGAGGTAGAATACTGTACTCCGTTGCGGAGAGATGGATGAACGTATACCTGTACATTATCTGGGAATTTGTATTGTATCATCTTACAACTTTCAAGACTCCTTCTTAAGTTCAGTGGGATATATCTCGAACGTGTGTTGACTCCTGTTTGCTGATTGTGCCCCTCAAAGCCTACAAGTGACAGTCCACAGCAAAAGAATTTTGTGCCTCCAGTGTTCAACCTCATTGACTCGCTGAACTACCACAAACCTTCCAATATATTGCGTTTTCACCTCTCTCATCTTTCATATCCCTCGTATCGTTCTACAGATAGCAGTCGTCCTCGAAGCTGCATCATACCATATAGCTATCGAACAAGCTCAAAGATTCCTTTCCCATCGCTCTCCGCCTGAAAAACGCCATGGTCGACTCCCAACTCCTCCTTTCAAAATCAGCTCTCCGAGCCTCCACGAGCGGCTCTTTGCGCGAACAGTATCGATTTTCGTAAGGATATGGTATGCTACTTCATTCAGAGAGGCGGCGGCTTCGGTCTTCGTTGAGGGGTCTAGATACACGTTAGCACTTCCTTTCTCTGAAATTGGAATGCTATCTAGCATACAGCGTGATTGTTCCTTATATGTAGTTTCGACCTGGGGAGTGATTTCGTAGATCCGAGTTCGTGACTATGTATGGTCGAAGAAGCTCGTTCTTGTGGGAGTAGATGTAGCCTTACATCTGCCTCTTCCACTACTGGGTTCGTAATGATTACCAAGTAATTATTTTGAGAAAGAGAAAAGGATCTTGTTGGGAGATAAGTGATTTCGTTAGAGATGCATGGAACTTCAATGGAAACTGAACTTCTTGAGGCAACAGATCGCTCTATAGGTCACAAATAAATCAAAGTGTTAGAGATTTCCATTCCCACAGAAGTTGCAAAGTAATGTACAGGAACCCACATAACCTCCTCTCTGATTTCGATCTCTGGATTCATGTAGACTTTGGGACCGAAGTCCGTAATTGACATGTAGTACAGTACCTTAACAGAAGTTCCAAAATAATGTACAAGAAAACAAACACGACCTCCTCTCTGATATCGATCTCTGGATTCATGTAGACTTTCGGACCGAATTCAGTAATTGACATGTAGTGCCTCAAGACCTCTTCTCTCGATTCGTGGCAGACAAGCAACAATGGTGTCAGGAGAGCTCTTCTACCGCGAGTCTGGTACTTGACGACTCTCGGACCGGGAAGAGCATGCTTGAAGATCTGACAATGTAGCTCGGAGGGGAGATCCAGCCGAGTCTTTCCTTCTGAGGAGCCGCATGCCCTTCACTGGGTGTGTCGGGGAATCAAGACGTTGAAAAAATTAGAGTGTTCAAAGCAGAAGTAGACAACGGTGCACACTGGGCCTACCGACAGGCCTGGTTGATGTGGAAATACCATTCTTGTCTCGGCAGTAGCAAAATGCTTATTCACACAAGGAAGAAAGAGCGATCCTTAACAACGACCTAAGGGCAAAGGGTTAGCATCACTATTTATGTTGGTGGGATGACTTACTGACAGCTTCCTCAGGCGGAATTGTTGATCAGTCGTTCAAACGCAGTATACTCTACTAAAGTGGTGAAAGTACAGGTGCGTCTATTAGATGGCATTTTCACCACCCTTTTAGAGTATACTGCGTTTGAGCAATTGCCAGCAGCAGCTTCAACAGCTCCATGATTGATACTTTAGCTGTGTCTTGAGGTGCAGATCTTCTGGGTTTCTTGGACTTGGTCACAAAGGAGGAACTCGGTTGAGCTTTCCGCTTTGGAGCCATGCGTGCCCTCGAGGTTGAGGGGAGATTGGAAGATATGGATCCGACACCAGAGGATCCTACTCTGAAGTGCTTTTCGAGGTGATTCGTGAACCCTTGCGGGTCTCGAAACTTTATGGTGGTGGATTAAAGAACGACTCCCAGTAGTGCGACCATCGAACTCGAATGAGTTCTTTGCTTGCGACATTTGGTTGATCATTGGTTAAATGCCCAGCGTTGACGGTTAAGCGAAGACCAGCAGTAGCGAAGCGGCCTAAACGATGTGAGTTCCGCGATTAAAATTGTATCGTCGGGTAAGTAGCCCTTTCCGTAATCTCAGGAGCGAGCTTGTTAGTTTCGAAAGTGAGATTATCGTCGGGTGAGTAATCTTTCGCGTGTTTTCAGCGGCGAGCTTTTCAAGTTCGAGAGTGAGATGGTATCGTCGGGTATGTAATCCTTTGCGAGTGAGATCGTACTTCTGGGTGAATTGTGTTGGTAATCTTTCGCGGGGCGTGCTTTTTAGTCCTACAATCTGGAGGAACGCGTTCTTCACTTCGGAGTCCAAGCGTATTCTGGTCGACTGGTTAGAGAAGGAGCTTCTCTAAATCATTCAATTGAGGCAGATGAACTCACCAAGGTAAGGTGTGTGCAGACCCTGCTTGAAGGGGTTGGCAAGTTGCGCCTCCCAGGAAGACATTTGAAGCGCGCAGATCGGTCAAGAAGACGCGGCGGTTACGCGAAGACTCTTTGAACAATGGAACGTCTTTGTGAAGATAGCAATATCAGGATGGGATATGGAGTTCAATATGCCTTAGTGGCTGAAGTGGTAAGAGAGGGGATTTGAAGGAGCACGTTTGATGTTGCAAGCGTTGGATTGTGGAAGGGAACGATCTGACCCAAAGTTTGGGGATCGAAAACAAGCGGTTGGACCCTTGTCACTTCCCGTTTACCCGACTACGTAGGCATCTAATGCAGGGGTCTTCAAATCCTTTTGCTTTACAGAGTTGTTTTTTTAAAAGTTTACAGAGTCCTACCGACTTTGGACAGATTTCGATCCATTCCAGATACTGCCGAATCTTAGAAGTGATAACAAGATTAGCACAAGAACGAAGCAAGACATTGGGAGATCATCAACAGCAAGGAACAACAAATTTATGTCCAGAATATCAAATCTTGTTCTGCTGCAATAAGTTTTGGGGTATTTCTAGAACTATACACAGACGCCACAAGACCACGTTGCCACAACCGACGTCCTATCAACATATGGTGCCTCTTCTCACAAAGTTTTTAAAGGTAAAAGCTCACAGACTCTGCCAAGTTATTATTTCTCTTCCTTCTGAAAGCTTTCGTCAAGAGCCAGCAATAATCTATCCAATTCCTCTTGCTTCTCAGCTTGCTCTTTTATGTTGAGTTCTGGCAATTGGCTCCAGAGAGTTTCTAACTCTGTCATCAACCCGTCCGTCTTGGTTTTGTCCTTCGATCCAGCTGGTAAGGGAGACCCTTCAACTGCCAGTGTATCTGATTTCTCGTTCAGGTATCCAGCAGCGATAGCTTTCTTCACAACCGCTTCCGCCGCTTCGATTTTGACTCCGTGTAGCGAGCAAACATCCATGGATCTTCGAGCTTGTCTCGCCATGTGTTTGTAAGACTCGGCCATATCGCGGTTATGGCATAATCTCTGAGTTGTAGAGTCAGTACGATAAAACGAAGCACAATGTTCTGATCTTACTAATAAATTTCTCAGAAGCACAGCAATGGTGACCTTTCCAATTGCTGGAACATAAATGCTAGCATGTTGCTTCACAGCTGGGCCATCAAAGTTCTTGTCACTAGAGAAATTGACACAGACTGCGCCATCTCTGAGCATATTGACGTCCACTTTGTATGCCTTGCTAGGCACTCCGGTGACAACCACATCGCTGAGTGGAAAGCAGTCCTCCAATTTCATATCTGTTTCTGCAACCTCGTGTTTATCATTCTTGATGCCTCGACCTCGAGTAAAGATCTGAACACCGTCCAAGTCGACGGAATATACTTTTGCGCCATCATTTGCAAGAAGAGCTGCCAAGGGTCGTCCAACCACCTCAGACCGATTGATGACAGTGATTGTTTTCCCAAAAAGCCGGTTTCCATATGCCATGATAGTATTGTAAATCTGCAGGTACTCGAGGACTTTGACAACGGCAAGTGGTGTACAGGGAAGGATAGACTTCTGGCCGCACATGGGTATATCGAGGAATCGAATATTCTGGTACATGTTGAAGATGTACTTATGGCTTAGCCCTTCCACGTCTTTCTCCAAAGCTACCAACTGCTGGATGTATTGATCTTGTCGAGGGCTGGGGAAAATTGGATAATAGACAATGATGCCATGTACGTTCTTGTCGGTATTCGCTGCCAGAATTGACTCCTCAATATCTGCTTTCGAGACGACTCGGAGGTCAAAGTCGAAGCCGCTGAAACAGTATCAGCGAAGTCTTCTCAAGACATTGTGATAATCTCGAATTGAGTCAAGGAATGTTGAGAAGGAGCAAAAGAGCGAAAGTCAAGACACAAGCCAGGGATCAGAATGAAGGCAACGATGTACCTCCTGGGGCCTTTCATGGTTCTTACTTGTATATTCTTGTAACTTACAGGTCGTCCCAAGTGAATTTCCACTCATAGTGCGAGTCAAGACACGAAATATACTCACTTCTCTTTGCAGGTCTTCGCTGAATACTCTGCATAAGTCTTTGCATGCTCATCCTCATTCGCCAAAAGTCCAACCAGCTTCGGTTTGTACTCCAACAGCTGCAGATCCTTTGCGACCTCCGCGAGTAAACTCTTCGCAATCGTTACAGCGGACACGACTTTGCAGGTATCCGGAATCGAGGAGGTAGGATTCGAGGGCTTCGGGGTAGGAGCGTTTGGCTGCTGCACAGACGCCATTGTGATGATGGCCTAGTGCAATGCGATTGAAGCAGTTGTGTTTATGGGAAGATTGTAGTGAAGGATAATATTCTAGAGGTGTTCAAGTCATTGGGGGTGAAATATTTTTCTTATCGCTTATCGGGGCCGATGCAATTTACCCCGCGATCTGGACGCCGCTTTACAGGCCATACTTTGCATTACTCAAGCAGCTTGATTGATTGACGTCTTCAAATTTTAGTCATGTCACTACGAAGACACAGAATCACTGTAAGTAGCTTGCCCTATACCCCGCTTGGACATTCGCTATAAGATAGGAGCTGATAGAATGCTAATTGGGTGCCACTTCTAGAACTTTCAAAAACTACACCCCAGAGGTCTTCGTTTGTTCCATCACAAACTTTGTTGTCTGCCTATTCTCATGCTAAAAACATCATGCAAATTTCTGAAAATTACTCCTCATAAAGGACCTGCTACTTTCCTCAACGATACAAGTCAATGGTCGGAAACAAATGCATCACAACTACTGCCACTCCTTTCATCATCAAATCACATTATAAACGGGCATAGTTCTAAACGGATATGATTGCCAAAACCAATAAAGGTCGTTGAAAGTATGTTCTCAGCCATAAGCTCCACGTCACCAAGCTTCTAAATCTCAGATTCCAGGCTGCCAAACCTCAGGCTTCCTAGCCTCAAGCTTCTTAATCTGAGGCTCTAGTGATTCTTCTGCCTCAGAGACTTTCCGCTTATCCACGACCTACTTTCAGACTCGTTAAATCCAGGCTTCAACCTTCTGCTAGGGGCCTTAATATAGACTTGCCCGAAACATCCTCCCTAGTTATATTAGTAGTCTCATTAGCTAGAAAGCCCTCACTCTCCAACAATGTAACAGTTCTATTTTTATCTTGAAACAATGACTGTCACCAGCCTGGATGGACAATTTGTGCCGAACACCCTAAAACAATCCATTGAGAGTGTTGGCCAACTGTAGCTAAAGCTCTTCAAGGCTTCAAGAGCCTATCAAAACAGAAAACTAGAGTTTTCCCAAGAAGCGAAAATTTGAAACAATGGGAGATCTAACATACATGACTATGAGACTTCGTCACAACTTGACTCATGGAATATGCAGAAATATATTTATAATTTATGAAGCGTTTGAATTTTCAACGATGTCCCCAATGTGTTCATCTACGGCCGAAAGTAGGGTTCTAGTAATTCAAGGATAGAAACTCTTGCTTCCTAATCGTTCTTCCTGAATTCTTCTTCTTGGGGTTGTGGTTAATTCTCCCATTTAGGGTCCTTATCGATTGTCGGCTATTGTTAGGTTGGGGTTGGGGTTGGGGTTGGGGGTAGGTGTGCCGGCGGCCGCTACCCCCCTTTTCTCCCGAGGTTCACCCACTACACTGCTTAGCGAAATTGCCGGAATGCCATTTTTCAGCGTGAATATTATTTTTGTGCAATAACGCACTAGCAATTTTCCGAACCTTCACAGAATATTGTTTTTGAATTCCCTTAGATTTTACAACTCCTCTGCCACATTCACTGCTAGACCGCTACCCTTTTTTTTTGCCAAGGTCCACCCGCTACACCGCCCAGGAAAACTGCCAGAACGTCATTTTTCAGCGTGAATTTTATTTTTGTGCAATAACGCATTGGCAAGAGATTGAATTTGTAAACCACGCCACGCTTTGAACCTTCACAAAAGTTTTCCCGAAATCCGCTCTTAGGTTTTATAACTCTCCTGTCACACCCACTGCTGGAGAAACTGCTACCCTCTCAGCCAGAGAAAAAAGCTGCCGTTTTTGACACGCGAGAATGTGACAGCGCTGATCTCTGTCCTGAAGCTCTGCGGCTGTTTCCACGTCACGTGTCCTTATTCCTGTATATATAGCTCTGAGAGCCCCTTTTTGGGCTCTTCACCTTAGTATTCTAAGTGAAGACCGCTTCTACCCTACATGCCGTTCCGTGTCCCGTCACAGAGAACATCAAAATCTAATGCATAGAATTATTTATTTTTCAACGCTCGACCTTATAAAAAGAATTCTATCTTTATAAGTAGTAGAAAAATACCTAGAGAATTTTTCTATGCGAAAATTATTTGGGATTTGTTATATAACTATCAAAAGTTTGTAGATTATTCTAGGATTGCGCACTTGGTCCATAACGGCAACTTTTTTCTCCGGCTGAGAGCTACCCCCTTTTTTGCCGAGGTCCGCCCGCTACACCGCCCGGGAAAACTGCCAGAACGTCATTTTTCATCGTAAATATTATTTCTACGCACTGGCAAGATATTCAATTTATAAATCACGCCACTTCCCGAACCTTTACAAAAGTTTTCTCGAAACCCCCTCTCAGATTTTACAACTACCCTACCACCCCCTTTTTCAGCAACCCTCTTCTTGTCCCACTGAATTCTGCAGCCCTGGAGCCAATGCTATTATGGCAAATGACCGGCAAGACCTCCAAATATGGGTCAACCCACCCGAAGATTTCGACAGGGAAATATTCCTCTCGGGCTATGTGAATGGTAAAAGCATTGATTGGAGACTTGAGACTTAAAGCTAATATCCTCCAGAGCTCGAACTAGGTTCCTATAGGATTGTAGATCTCTTCCGTGATATTAGACCATATGTGGAGAATGACCAGGACCTGTTGGGAATAGCCATTGGTAATTCAATGACACTTAAGGGAAAAAGGGGGCAATTCTGACTATTCTACAGCTTTGTCCTTTCTGCCACAGCTATTCAAACGCCTGTTGTCTGGGAACATTCCTTTCCTGAATTCAGATAGTAGGTCAAACAATAACAATAGCTTCTGCTATACTAACACTATCTAGAGCAACTGATTCTCAAGTGGCTATGCCAACGAATCTCTAACGACGACGATAACCCTACGTTTCGCGCCGGACTTGGAGAGGTTGTTGAGGCTATCAGTGCCATATCAGACTCGGAAGGCTTCACGGGAGAGAACGCTGTGGAAGTCGTTATTTCTATTTTTGCGTTGGGCAAGAAGATGGAATATAAAGATCTCAAGTCGGAAACACGAGCAAAGGTTCTCCGTCTCGTTCAAAAGCTATTCGAACGATACGAATTGCGATTCAACAGCCGGCCTGGAGTCAACGGATTCGTTACCGGCGTTGTGGATCTTGCTCACTTTGAAAAGAGCCCTGAATGCCTCGGCGTTCTCTTCCCGCTATGGTCTAATATATCGAAGACCTGGGGGTCCGAGTTGCAGTCGAAGAAGATTGCAGAGAAAGCCTTCCGTTCTTTCTATAGATACTTTCCTATCGATGTACAACGAAACTATGCACAACCTCCCGTTGCTCCATCCCTTAAGCAACTTGCGCATTTACTGGAGGAGTGCATCACGTCCAACTCTATCTTCGCAGATTTTGCGTTCAAGGCTCTATTGGAAAATCTGGACTCTGTTCAGAGTGCAGGGACCAAGGTAATGACATATACCCGTTGATCCGAATTATTACTAATTGGGCTCAGTTGGAGATTCTAGAGATGCTTCTGTCGTGTACCTCGAAGTATGAGATTGCCATAGTCCAAAGATGGGCCGAGGAACTTTGGAAAAATCTCAAGTACGAGATTTGGCAAGCAGAAAACGAACAAGTGGTCCAAACTTCTTTGAACGTCTTGCACGCAGTTTCCAAGACTCTCGCGACGGAAGATGATGGTCTTGACAACAGCCAGAGCAGCCTGATACGATTCATAAACAAGATCGGCATTGAGTGTAATGGGAAGACTCAAGATTCGATGCAGTGGCTTATTCCGAACGGTAGAATTTTTCATGCGCTTGCCACTAGCAGTCCCCGAGCCTTATATCACATTACGAAGTCGACGATTCCGAAGATTTATGTAAAGTGGCAGGATACTCCTTTAGCAAAGGAAAAGGGGTACATCTTGGTGTCTTTGAACCACATACTCAAGGCGCATCACGGGTATTACGAGCCAGTCCAAAACTGGACTCAGATGTTTGACCAGAACAAATCGAAGACGTTCTCGGCTCTAGAAGCATGTCATAATGAGATCAACTCGATGTACGACGAAGCCATCCAATTGTCCGCCGACCAATGGATCGATCGCAAATCAAGCGTGGATGTTCCGGAGCTATATCTCAACACGGCGAAGTACGAAGATTTGTTAGTCAAATCGGCAATCGAAGGTCTTGCGTTACTTGTTGATATCCCGCGTTTCTACCCTGAGACTACTAGGGCAAAGGTTGTCGAATCTATCCTAAAGATCCACGCGACTACATTACATGAAGGCACTCGACTACAATGCGTATCCGTTTTGCAGGACATCACCACCACTCAGCCAGGGCTTTGGACGAACACCATTCTCTCTGGTCTGTGGGCTGATATACCCCACCAGATTTCGGACGCTCCTGATAGCGCTGGCGATTTTGAAAAGCTAAATGATACTATCACTGCTTTTGAAACCATGGTCGAGATTGGGTGCCATGAAGTTGGTCGAGACAACATCATGTACCAGCCCAGCGACCTATTCGCAGGCAGCGTTTGGCATCGAAACTTCGATGCCTTAATGCGCATGCTACTCCTAAAGTTGGACGAGGTCCTCCCCTCCCACGTCCAGTACGAGTTCGCAAACGCTATACTTATAACCATAAGCAAAGCACTTGGCAAGTTTGAGGATTGTTTAGCCACTGCTCGCTCATCACCTCTCAATATCGAGCCACCACCTCAGCGTCCTGAAGAAGGCCCGTATGATTACATCGTCACGCATTTGTACAAGTCGTTGCACCCGGAGCAGAGAAGACATCAGCGCTGGCAGCACACCACAGAAATTGAGTGGTTTACCTATATCCGCCATTTTCCAAACTCTTCCGAGCGACAACTCGATCAACTTGTGCAGACAATAGGTGAGATCACACTCCAGGTACTTCGATCGAAGTCAACCACGGACGAGAACAATTTCCTATTGCGGTGGAATGCCGACACCGAAAACAACGACTGTAGCGCACTGTCCAGTTTGTTTACGGAAGGCATAGGTGGGTGTGACATGTTACGGATGGATGAATGGCAGATGGACGTCCGCAGAGGCCCAGACGAGAAGTGCCTAGCAAACGTTCTCGCCATGTATATGGTTGCTGGTACTCGACCCCACGTAAGTCCTCTACTCTTCCTAATGACTTATCCTGATATGTCCTAATTGTTCATCAGAACGAACGTGAACTTCGTTTGGACTTTCACAATGCTGGACTTTATATGATGGCCGGCTATATTGGTTTTGATATTCGAGCTCGGTCAGAGTTCCGGGAAGGCAATTTCGATTGTTCCCCGCTCAGTCGACAAAGCATGCTCTGGTATATCCAGTTGATTGTCAACAAGTTCACTTCACCCTCAGAAGATCCTGAAGATTCCCACCTCGATGTTCTTGAGAGATACCTGGCCGAGGCTCGATCCGTCACGGCTGAAGTTCCGATGTCCCCAGAAAGACGTGAACGATTAATGCAAGTCCTGGCACACTACACAGCAGCTGCTCTTGCCGCATTCAAGGACCCACTTATGAACCCTTGTTTCAATCTTATGATCGACTGCCTTGAAGATCCAGCTCCATTCGGTTTGATAGCTGCACGACTTTTCAGAGTCATTCTTGCACCATCCAAGATTTTGACCAGAGAAAATTTCTGCAACGTCCGAAGTGTTGCTCCTCTTTGGGTTCTCACGAAAATCGTTCCCCGCCTTCTCCGCAAATGGAGAGCTGCAGATGATGAATATAGCCAGGCCAACTATCTCATCGCACTCAGTACTCTTCTTGAGTTTATCAACCCCGAGGACTATATCTCCGACCACAGCGAGGAACTTTTGCCGGCAATCCTTGAGGGAACTAGCGTTCGAGGTGATGCTTCAGCTAGGCTGATATATCTCAAAGCACTCAACGAGTTCATTAAGCTTGACCGCAAAGCTGTCGAAGAACACTTATTCACCGTCGTCAACAGCCTGCGGAATCTACTACAGAATGCCTTGAACGATCCAACGAATAACCCGGTGAAATGTCGATTGGCAGCTGTCGATGTTCTCAAGACAATGATGAGTAGTTATGGCAAAGATGAACTGAATATGTTCCGACCTAGGATTGAGCAACAGATCCACCTGGCTTGCTTTGACCTTTCAGCAGAAGTACGCCGCAAAGGACAAGAAGCCCACACGCTTTGGTCCGTCTGGCTACAGACAATGGGTGACTAGTCTTGAGACTAGAATTTAGATCGTGCAAGTACTTTAGACCTGTGCATTTGCGTGGTAGCGGAAATTTGCATATCTGGCTGGGGATAGATTTGGCTCACGGTTGGGGGAGGTTGGGGGAGTTTGGTATTTGTGCTGTCCAAGACGTGGGTTCTGGAGTTACGAGGACCAACATCTTGGGTAGGAAGCATAGCGAGGGCGTTTGCGGAAAGATACCAGGTAGCATAGCAAAAATTCACAGCAGGCATCATACTTGACGAAGGAAGCAAGAAATCATAGTCCATTCCCTGAAGACGCCCGAGCCTTCATGACTTTTATTGCACCCATATTCTCACTGGTCCACACGGTTCCGCTTCATGCCATCTAATTCTTCTTGGGCCGCCCTTTTGACTTGACTGAACCAGTTCCTGCTGCCGTACCACCACTCAAATCATCCAGACTAACACCGGAACTCTCAGCCAGTAAACTCGCCCACTTCTCATCCATACTCTTATTCGCCCCTTCCACGTTTGCGACTTTCTTCTTCTCCACAACCTTTGTCGGGTCAGCCTTTCCAATTACTGACACATTGCTGGCGAACATTTGTTGAAATGGCAATGACACAAAGTGGCCCTGCTTATCAAACCACTGTGTGAACGGCTTCTTCAGCGAGATCGGGTTCGGTACGGTAGGATTGGCTTTGGAGTATGTGGTGATTGTGACGTTGTAAATGGGGACATGTTTCTGGGTCTTAGTCGCAACTTGAATCTTGTCGCCATTCTTATTTGTGCCCACATAGACTGTTCCTTTCTCAACCGCCCAGATCCAGAATGTGAGGGCGCCGTTGAGAATCGAGTATAGGAGGACGGCAACGGCAGTGTAGTACTTGGTGGATTCGAACCCGAATTGGTAGTCCCAGCAGAAAGTGGCCGCACAGATGGCGAAGGCGCTGTAGCCGAGTGCTAGACGGGTATCGGAGAGAGTATGCGACTGGGTGAAGCCGAGTGAGTTGAGGTAGTTAGGTATAGCATCGTCGCTGGTGTTCTTAAGATCTGGGGTAAGCTGTTAGAATATATTCTGGCTTCGGAGCTGCTCCTTCCCTGTTGACTCCTTGAGCTAGATAGAACTTATAAACTTACCAGCTATTGAGTGAACCGATATTTTCTCTGCTGAAACTGCCATCTTTGTGAGTTGTAAAAGTCTCAAAGGTGTCCAGAGGAGGATCTGTAAGATGTCGCGTGGGGGAACGTGTCTTGATCAACGGCGGAACAAGCCGAGCTAGCGTGAAAGCCACTCCAACGTCAAGCTTGAGATCAAGCGGCTCGGATTCAAGCCTCTTGATTTTGGGTTCACAACAACCTTCAATCTCAATATGGCGCAGGTTCCTGTTCAGACGATCCATAGGGATCCCCAGCTATTGTAAGTATTCATAGAATGATGAGAAGTTCAATGAGAATGCCAGGCTAACTTGAAAATAGCTACTGGATTCTCATCCCTATTACGCTTGTTATGGTATTGAGCCTACACCCTCGATAGCCTTCGAACAGACAATTAATATTGGGCAGATCTTGACTGGAGTCCTTCGCCACTATGCGACCGTTTTGATGGCTTCGGCGCCCAAGAGGCAAGATATGCCCACCCTTCGAGAACAGCGATCCTTGATGCGAGGTATCAATCTTCGTGCGAATGCCAACGCAATTTCCCCAGCCTCGTTCCAAGCTCGAAAGGATTATCTCGTCAATGCATATGAGAGTGGAGCTTTCTTAAAGGAGCCAGAGAAGAAGGGACAAGGAGCACCAAATCCAATGACGGATCCTGCGGCTATGGAGGGAATGATGGGTATGATGAAGGGCAATATGGCTATGATTGTCCCGCAGACTTTGATTATGGGATGGATCAATGCTTTCTTCAGCGGTTTCGTGATCAGTATGTATCGAGAGATGTTGGTGTTGAGCGGTGCTAATATGGCTACAGTCCGATTACCCTTCCCGTTGACGATCAAGTTCAAGAGTATGCTTCAGGCCGGTGTTGCTACGAGAGATATGGACCCCCAATGGATGTCCTCCATCTCGTGGTACGTTTTGTGTATCTTCGGGCTGCAGTCGGTGTTCAATTATCTTCTTGGAAGTGATAACGGTAAGCGAGAATGGGGATTTTTGTTTGAGTATCTAGCTGATGAAATTTAGCTGCGAGTCAAATGGCACAGCAGATGGGTTCAATGGGACCAGGTGCGGGAGCTCAAATGTTCGGACCGGGCGTTGACCCAGACAAGCAATTCCAAGGAGAGGCAGAGAACTTGGCCGTGCTGGCGCATCAGTACACATTGGAGGGTGTTGAGGACAGAATTCTCAACACTGTGAGGGTATAATGTTAAAGTTGCATCTAGACAACCGGGCTAGTGCTGCTGGGTTTCAAACTCAGCACTCACTTGAAGCTGTACTACCTCGATCTAGACTCTCCGCTACCTCGTGACGGCGAGCAAAATGAATGAGATTACATGATCCATCCCACCCCTCGAAACCTCAGCTCATGAAAGGTAGGTATATATCCACTCTCTTCCTTCAGCAGGCCAAGTGTTCTGGGCCATTTCTAATTTAAGTTCGGGGTAGCTCGACACAAGTGTGTACATAACAGCTCTCGAGCTCTTGCATTGTCTAGATATGTTGCTTTATGTTTTGCCTGCTGCTTTGGGTTCTAGCTGAAATAGCAGATCCCTAAAGGGAATTTGTCCATGAATCCCACCATGGTTTACACTTCGAGTAAGTTCATTGCATACTACTTGCTGTCACTTCCTGCATGGTCTAGCACAGAGCAGGCTTCTTTGAGAGTTTTCGCCACTCAGTGGTCATTCTCCCTTGCTACGTTTGTCCAAAGTCAGGCCAAGAGGTAACAGATGGGGGGCAAATACACGTGTAGGTGAAAGCCAAGAGCTTCTTTTCTTTGTACGCAACATCCCCACTGCTAGAGTTAACACGTCTCGCATCCCGCACCAGTTTCCTATCACGGTCCATGCTGCACTCAGTCATCCATCCACTAATTCTCGCATGGAATAGGGGCAAGCGGGCAGTGGTCGCTGCGACGATGAGTTGTTGATGTTTAGTCGTCCGAAGAAATCGCTTTGAATAGGGGCCTTTACCGCAAGCGGCACCGTGCAAGCGATGAAAAGGGGGTGAGCTTACATCGCTTTCGAACGCCATCAGATGTAAATGTCAAGCGTTTGACTCCTGATTGAGGATCATGCTCATCCATTAAAGAATATTTGTCCAGCATGTGAGGATTGAGATTTACTGATGATTGGTATCAACAACGTCAATTTTCGGAAGCGCAGTTTGATGGTCCTACTCTTGATATCTGAGATCAAGAACATGGAGCACAAAAGCAGACAAGAAATAGCAGTGTGGGAAGGGTTTCAGGTGACGATTTGAAATTTGGATGTGATGATTCTTTTTCAGCCTGGTTTTGGCCAGTTCTGCAGAGCGCATGTAGAAGAGGGAATCTTGCAAATTAAAACAAAGCGAGCCCAGTACGCCGAACACCACATACCATGCACCAAACAGGTTGACTTAGCGTTTTCTCGTCTTCTTCGCAGGCTCATCCTCGCTAATCTCATCTTCCTCCATCTCATCCTCCGACCGTGCCACATCTCTACTTCTCTTGAGACCCTTCATCTTTCTCGTCTGCAACTCCTTCAGATCTTGTCTGCCGAGATGTATCCTACCCATCTTATCACCCACAATATCCGTAGAGATATTCTTCTTCGGTCTCTCCGCACTCGTCTTTGCCCTCTTCAATGCCTCCTTCATGATACTCTCATCAGCCTCCTTGACTCTACCAACTCTGAAATCCATTCTCGGTCCCATCTCCTCAACTTCCACTCTCGGTAATTTCTGCCCACTCTTCTTCGTCCTGATCAAGTACACTCTCAAATGCACACTCGGCTTGACTTCCTCCCCATCAACAGTATCCCGGGCACTAATAGACACAATATATTGTAATCCCTCAACATCCACCTTATCAGCTGGCTCCCCCTTAAAGAAATCCGTAAAGAAGCTCTTAAGCAACGTATACTCATCGCTAACCGGGCTCTCAAACGGCGTTCCAGCAAATAGCAACATAGGCTTCAATCCCACCGCGCACTTCTTATTCTTGAACTGCGCCAACGTCCGAAATGTCTCAGCATTCAAATACAGCTCCACCATATCGAGCACTTTGTACGAGAATGTTCGGACCAAGGTAATAGCATGCGGACGTTTCTTGCTGGTACTGCCAAACACGAGCATCGACGCATCGTTCTTCTCGGAGAAGAATTCGAGGGAAGAAGCATCGTCGAAAGGGTGAATGGGGTTCTTTTTCGTGAACTTCTTGGCGAGGGGGATGCGAAGTTGGAAGAGATCTGTGAGGGCGTCTTGGACGACTTGCGAACAGGTTGTACCGCGGAGGAAGAGGGTGGTTTTGGGGTTTTCGACGGCTTTTGGTGCTTTTTTGTCGAGAGCTCTTTTGGAGCGGGCATTGCGGGGTTTTCTAGGAGCAGATTAGCAATCATATACGGAGACAAATAGTTTGCATAAGATCATACATTTGTCGCAACATCTTATCGTTGTGGTTGTTGAATTGGGAGCTTGGAAGTTCATGCACCACAATGTCTTAAAAAGTTCATGTCGAAAATTCCTAATCGATAAAAAAGTTCTCACCAAATTTGGACTGGCGCACGGCTGAGCGCTGCTAAAGTTCGGGGCGAGGCTATGAAAGTCCAGTTGTGGACCATTTCTTCACTTACCCTTGATTACTCCAAACCTCCCATAATAATTAAGAAGATTCAGATATACCACCAAAGTTCTTAGTTGATTGTAAAATTACATCCAGCCAAAATCTCCAAAGTGATTTAATCACGTGCTAACCAAGGCTTCACATGCGAAATGCAAGCCGCGCCATAATCCCTGCTAGCCAGATCGTGGGGTACGAAGAGACATCTGAACTGCCTCGTGCCGAATCCATTCCTCCGACCAACATCTGAACAATCACTTCACAACAAATTCCCACCTCCAAGCCTCGACTCAAACCCTCAAAATAAGCACTGAACTTAAGCACACAGATGTGCATTCAACGATAACAATAAATCCCTCCACAGTGCTTCTGCACGCTTGCAAATTCGCGCTCTGAGTTGCCTCGGCTCGAATCCGGCATAATGTCTGGAATCGAAAATCTCCAGGTCTGCAGTTCTCACCCATCTGCGCCAGCGCATATATACTGATACGTGTGAATGATAGAGGGCACTCGAGAGTATTATACTGAATCCCAAATATGCCGATTACCTAGCGATTCTGAAAGCAGCGCGCAATGGCGCCGTCTACGGTGCCAAAGTCCGGTTTCCACATGCGCTGGTGTATGTCCTACCTCTTTGCTCGTCTGCGAGTCATGCTGATGCTGTTTGGGTTGTAGTATGATATTTTTGTTTAGGTCGGGGACGGTGAGGGAGAAGTTGGCTCTTATCTTCCGGGCTACGAAGACGCATGCGCAGAACTTGGCTAAGTATGCGATGGTGTATAAGATTACAATGCTGGTTTTGAAGCATATGGGCTCTACGCCGGGGAAAGAAGGGAAGTTGGATACCTTCTTTGCGGGGTTGTTGGGTGGGTACTTGGTGTTTGGACGGAGATCGAAAAGAGGACATGTTTCTTCTGTTAGTAAACAGATTGTTATTTTTGGTGAGTAGGAAGTTTCTGCCTTGGTGGACTGCCTTGGTGGACTGCCTTGGTGGAACATTGAGACTGATGATAGCAGTGTTCGCACGTGTGTGTCTAGCTGTGGCCCAACTCTCGATAGAACCGGCGATGGGAATCATAAAGGACCCAGAGATGACGAAACGAATAGCGCACGACGCATGGCCAGTGTTTGCAGCATTAAGTTGGGGATCGGTGATGTGGCTTTTCAGATGGTACCCTGATACAGTGCAATCGGGACTCAGGAGTAGTATGGACTACATTTATGTTCAAAGCGATCATTGGGATAGCTTAAGGAACTTTTTGATCTACAACAAGTAGAGAAGGGTGTCGAGAGATGGATTGACGATGAGATGCTCTTCAAAGAGTCGACGCAGCGGTCCCAGATGAGTTCTGGAACGACGCTGGCGTCAAGAATACGCGACAAGTACGAGAGAGACTAGACGAGAGGTTTTGGTGCATTGCATATTACGGCGTCGGTATTTGCCAGGCCTTGTAGACTAGACGAACTACTTACCAAATGAACTATTGGTTGATAACGCAAACTTAGGGCAAAGCTTCATGTTCCAGAGTCTCCCCACCAACATTTGATTCTTACTCTCTTCCAAGATCTTATTTTTGTAGAAGAAGAACAGCTCTCGAAAAAGGTATAAAAATTAGATTCGTTTCCTAGATCAAAAATACATCTCACCAGCCACAATTGTCAACTACTATTGCGATCCACCAATCATTCAAAAGTACATGATTCACGTTCATCTAGTAGGTAGTTTCAGCTACACTACCTTGCCGACACAGAGAATGTCCTTCACTCAGTCTCTCCCGTGCATGGATATCGGAATTCCTCAGGGTTTGTCCCTAAGATTATAGATTCAGGCCATCTTGATCCGAAGGCTCACCTAGACTCATCAAAGAATGTTGATTCGGAAATCCAGATCCAACCATCGCAACCGCAGCATCGAGCACGATTATATCCCACTTACAGCGGCAAGGGGAAGGTTTCCAGGGGTCGTATAAACTGAACATTATCTAATGACAAGGAGCACACTTATTTCTGCGCCAGAAGCGGATCAGCTCTAGGCCCCGAGAAAGCAACACACCACTTTTTGTCCCTTGCTCCAGAGCTGGGAACGAATTCAACCTCAATATCATCATCAGGCTGCTCCATAGCCTCAGCTTGAGAGGACTTGGCAGTTGACGGTTTTACCCAGATACCTTTCGTCGGCCGGACATCAAAACGCAACAGCAAAGAAGTAGCTAGCAGCAAGATCTCGCTCGTAGCGAAATGGCGTCCGGGACACAACGTCGTACCTCCACCAAATCCGCGGAAGGCGACTGGGCTGAAGCGCTTTCCATTTTTGAGGAAACGCTTGTGGTAGAATTCGTCAACGTTCTCCCCCCATATAGCTGAGTTGCTGTGCTGGGCCCGGGCCGACATCATGATTAGGTTGCCTTTCTTGAGTAGGTATTTATTATCTAGCATATGGTCTTCTGAGACGACGCGGACTGAGTTTGCCATTCCGTGGTAGCGGAAGACTTCGTGGTAGGTGGAAAGCAGGACTGGACATGAGTTGAGGATAAAACTTAGGTCGATTGTCGAGATCCCATCTTGGTCCTGAACGGCTTGGAGGACTTCATTTCTGCAATCTTCTAGGACGATGGGGTCGCTGAAGATGCGGAATACCACCCAGAAGGCGGTGAGGATGGTGTTGGCGACGTTGTTAAAGACGGTGCCGAGTAGAAATCTCGGGATATCTTGTTGGGGTATTTTCTGTTCGATGCAGTGCTGTACGAATTGTTGGATGTAGGACGATCCTTGCTTATAGCTGCCATCGGCGTAGTATTTTGCAAAGCTCTTGACGAGCTTTTCACGGGCCTGTACCGCGGCTTTGAAAAATAGGTTCTGTGGTAGAATGTCTAGCATCATGAACATGAGCGCTGGTGATATTTGCTGGTGGGAAATGTCAGTCAATGAAGTCTTACTGTCCAATTGAATACTTACTGCCAAGCCTTAAGATTTTGGGCATCTCGCATCGGGTTCGCTGGTCCATACACCGCATCCGTAGTAGCACGCATGATCTGCTTCCCAACCCACTCATACATATTGACGGTCGTCGGAACTGCGAAGCGATTCAAAGCTTCATCGAAGGCTTCGAAAGTTTTGCTACTCAAACCGTCCAGTGCTGAGCCCTTACTCATGGTGGAATGAGTGGCCTTCGCCATGCCGTTGACAAACCCGTGCTCGGTCACTAGATCGTGTTCAAGGACGGCAACGGCCTCTTTGCTTGCGCCCATGGCAGCCTGTACTGCTTTGACTGAAATGGGCGCGAATATGAGCGTGCGCCATTGTCGTTGTACAACAGGAATTAGATCCAATGAATTGATTACGTAGATGCGGACTCCGGGGATTCTAAGAGTGTAGATAGGCAAGTTTGAATGCCGCTTTCTGGAGGCGAAGTCAGTCGGATTAAATTTCTGGGGAAACGAGTAGGGTTTCTACTACCTCATATGTGGGTAGAAGTCCATACTCCATCGTATCATGCCAAGTATGGGACTTATGAAGGGAATTGAGCTGGAAACTATAGGAGGCTCCTTGCTGTCTTGGGTGAGGTACAAGAGCGCCCAAAAGAAGATATACGTCGCTCCGATACCGCCCAAAGCTGTTACGATCACTGCGTTCGACATCTTGCAGCCTTCACATCAAAATCGGAATATTATAACCAAAATCGGAATATGGTTGATTCGGACTGGTGATGCATTGGTGACGCTTGAGCTTTGAAATTTGAGATTGTTGTGTTGCTAGCCAGGATGCAGTCGCGAGGCACAGCAGCCCCTTTTCTGGCTCGCCTAGCATTTCGCCCCTCTCACTTCCCTGATACGGTGTCAACAACTAATTGTAAATTCTAGCAATTTCATGATGTGGGTTCTTTCGGACTTCTGAGTAAGAAATTTGTCCTCCAAATTATTGAAGCACGATTTCACGCCTTTTTTTGTTGTCCGATTCCTTGGCAGAACTTTGAACTTGCCCAAAGCTCGAAAACACTGCAGAACTCCGAAGTCGGATTGAAGTTCTATACTCTGTGGAGCATTGTACATTGTGAGAGTTTAAGCAATAGAAGTAGTTCATTCACTCGAACTATGTCTGTATCCTACACCAAACGTTGAAAATACAAAAGTCCCAGCAGAGCAGAGATTCTGACTTCGTTTGAAGTACTATGTGTACAGAAGTGAGACGAGATACCCGCACCAACTCAAAGCAAATACAGTACAAACAGTGCCCTTCTTCCACACCATCACACATCCTTAACAGCCACACACCGATCCTCCTTCTTGATCTCCAACTTCAAATTTACCCCTCCTTCCTTTTGCCCGTTCTTCCCTCCAGTCCCCTCCCGAAACGCATCCTGCACACACTTCCACCAATGTCCCAACCTCTCACTCCCCACCCCACAACACTTACACCCCTCCTCAACCACAAAAACCACTTCATCTAACTTCTCAAACGCTCCCAAGACCAGAAACACCCAATCTGGACCATGGTCTGCAATTCCTCCATAATCTATCCTAACCTTGCGGACGTTTTCTCGAGGGAGAGAGGACGATGAGAAGGATTTCAGGGCCGAGGGACAGGAGAAGGTGAAAGTTGCGAATTGGTAGTAGAGGAATGTTGGGATGTCGAGAGGAATAGAGCGGTAGAGGGGGTTGAGAGAGTGGAATGGTGGCATCGAAGTAGAAAGAGGGTTGGCTTCCTTGTACTTTCTGATGGAGGTGCATGTTACGTGCTGAGGTGGGAGATTAGCAAAGAAGTGGGCGAAGCAAAGTAGTACTCCTTCCCAGATCACGACTTGGAGCTATCTTAGGTCACGTCTGGAGACTGCGGGCTCCAAAATCCCATGTTTCATCCAGCTAGAACCCATGATAAAGGTATCAGAGTTCAGAGTATTTGGAGGACGCCAACGGACGGCTTCCTGTAGCTTGGTCGATACGAGAGATTTGATATCATTACATTAGCGAAATGGTTCCAATCCAACATATAAGGACGGCCTAATCCGTTCCGATCTCATCTAGGAGACGTCTGTTTTGAGACGCATTATGACGAGTTGTATCAAGTGGATTACTTGTCGTGTCGTGTTCGCTCAAACCGTGTTCTCCAAGTCTTTACTTTAAGTAGAGTGACGTTCCCTTCTGACGGTTTGGCTTTTTTTGTTTCATAGAAACATTCTCTCTCATCACACTGGTTCACACATGTTTTATTCCTTGTTACCTGTTTGCTACAATTCAGTCGACGCAGTCATCACCGAGAGGCAGACCTGTATAGCTCCCACGGAGAGTCAGGTAAATTCTCATCTCAAACTGTTCTCCTCCCAGTCATTCGATGCCGCCCTCGGACGTTTCCGGACGTTCAATTTTCAACAGTACCTTCATTTGTAAATTAAGGCATGCTAATGCAGTTCATAGAATGTTCCCTATCGGTGCGCCATCTCTGACAGGTAAGATAATATTCGAGTCAGACTTTCATCTGGAAGGTGTTTTCCTCAACTCGGAGATGGGAAGTGACCAATTATGGCGAACGCCGTCTGGTGCCGTTAGCTCCTGCTTACGTACTGCAGATCCACTTCTTCCCGGACCACCCGGCCGGACGTCTTCTTGAACTCCCTTCCTCTTGAATTTGTTATTTTCAAGATATTGACTGCAAGATCTCGTTAGAATATACGTGGTTAATAATCAATCTGTAGTGTCTTTCTTATCTGTTTGAATACTTTTTATCCACTGAATCAACCGGCGTTTACTCTGCTCTGAATTCCTCCAATCATTGCGATCAGCTCTCGTCCGGCCGGGTCCATGGCAAGTGCATCTTCGAACGATGAGAATCGGCACACCGTCAATGAAGATGGGGTTCATGGTGGAGGACCTTCCGATACGGTAGCCAGTCAGACGCCTTTGTCGTCTCGGCCATCACCCTCATTCCGGGCTTGCATAGCATGTCGACAGATGAAGGCTAGCTACACTCATGATCCAATAACTTATAGTATACCCGCTGATACAATGAACAGATGAAGTGCGAGGGTGTTGAGAACCCACCTTGCATCCGATGTCGAAAAGTGGGCAGAGAATGTATCCCCCAAACTAACACCAGAAAAACGTCGAGAACCCCGCGACTTCCAGCCCCACGACATATTACTCAACCATCGTCCCAAACTACAACAAACCCGTATGATTTATCTTCAAAATCATCCTCCCAGCCAAGCTCCCTTACATCCCCTTCCGACACACGTGTCCAGACAAACTTAGTCAATTCTCGCCGAGGGCCAAATACAGTACCATCTCATCTCGTCCCGCCCACGAGAGAAGGTGGCGACGCTGTGAGACTTTCTCTTTCTCAAAATGAAGTTCTCACAGAGCTTCCGTCCATCTACTCGACCCCACCAATAGATACAGTCATGGAAGCAAATTCTGGTGCAGCATCTCCACATATCCTGCCCTCATTGTCTCTCCGGAAGCGGAAGAGACAGTCAGCAGTCACACCAGAAAATCCATTTTTGCTTAGTCCAGCACAATCATACCGTGGTGAAGACGGTTTGGGTATCAGCAGAAGAGATATGAAGGACATGATTGCTCTGTGGGTCATTTCATCAGTTCAAAAAAACTCGGCTTCCAACATTATCACCAGCCTAGCTCTTCATTCCTTGCGTCTACTTCTCCTAACGTATTCCCAGATTCCAACAGAGACACGTGCCGTACATTGCAGTCTTCAGAGCTCAAGAATTCCAAGATCTGGACTATATCATAGACCACGAACCTAGATTCGCCTATGCGATGTGCTATGTCACCGCACGATATCTCCCGGGTGGCAAAGAGATTCGGGAGGCTCTCCTACCAGAAGTTTCTCTCATTCCAAAAGACGTATATACCGCAAAGGTTGGAGTTCATCATGATGACGATATGTGTCTTCTCAAGGCTTTGACGGTTTTGTATGCCTATGCTGATCTTACCCCACCATCCCAAGCAGCACGCCCAAGTGGCAAAGAAAATCTGCTGTATTGGTCGCTCAAGTCCGCTGCTGAGATGTATGCCTTTCGATTGTCGTTGCATCGTTCAATCCAGGAACTCAAGCTTGACATGGCAGCAAATTCAGGCAACATCTATACTACGAAAAGTTTTCAGCGTTACACATATTGGTTATTCCTCTACAGCATGAGCCATTACTGCTCCCTTGTCACTGGCACTCCCCCAACAATGCGAGTCGACCTTTCGATTCGAGCGATATCTGGATTACTTGACCAACTTGGCAGATATCCCGAGTACCCAACGAATCTTTTTGGAGCTGTGGAGATATACCTCATATGGGAACAAACGTCAACAGCTCATCCACAACTAGGAGAGTGGTGGTGCTTACCCGATCCGACAGAGCGAGCCAATGAAGACTTAACAGAATCGTTGTTGAATGAAGCAGACAGGGCAATTGATGAATGGTATGCCAAATGGTGGCCGTACATGTCATCCGGTGAGTCATTACGGTAGTATGTCGATGTTGATCACAGCTGACTCTGTTTACAGAACCTCGTGGGTCATTCCTCGATTACCACGGTCGCTTCACACGCTTTTGCCTCGCCAGCTATGCTATAAAGTGTCTCAGGATCTCATCGGAAGGTCTCACCCAATTACAGCGAAGCCAATTGCAAAGATGTGTATCTTGCGCAAACCATGTCCTCGAATTTCCCCTTACCCGAGGGACTATTGAGAAAGACAACCTGCGATACGTGGATGATGCTGCCTGTATCATCGTGTCCTTTTGTTGCGTCTTTCTCCTCTCAGCCTGCCAGGCTTTTCCATCGGAACTTGTTAATGTTTCTGAATGTTTGGAGAACGTCACTGATGCTGCTAATCTTATGGTCGAGTTAGCGATCAATCAGGATCACAAACCTCACTACCAGGGAAGTTTCCTATTGAAGCGTGTAGAGACTTTGAAGGCAGCTTTGGAAATGTCAAGATTGCATGAGCAGCATGAGCCAAATGTCACAGACAATTCAGACGTAAGACTCTCACCCGCCGCTACGGGAGAGAACTCGAAGTTACTATTGGAAGGGTTCGATCAGCTTTTCCATGAAGATGGTCTCTTTGGGCTCGAGCCGATCTGGGACTTTTCGATGCTCTTTCCTGGAACATGAAACATCAATCATCAGTTCACAATAGTCCATCATTCTGGGAAGGTCTTGGACTTTGCGAAGTACCTTACGTCCAGATACGGCTTGATCGTGACACCTCTCCAAGATTTCGGACGAGCACGGATGCTAGCAGTAGAAACAGATGCACGACTCCAGCAACGCAATGAGCTCGGAAAAATAAACGAATGTAACGTTGTACACCAAAGCTACTTCTTTTTCGAGACTCGTAAGGTCCCCTCGTTCCACTTGTGTGTCGGGTCGAATTGCTATGAGTAAGACGGTCTACAATTACTCCACACCCTTGATTCTCTCTATGCTATCTCGAAACTATCTACGAATAGAGACTGTAATTATGTTTCTTGTCGCAGATTTTAGGCAGAGCCGACATGTATCAAGTTCCAATTCTGGTACTCACTATTCGTGTAACTCGCGAGCAGCGGAAAACGCCTAGTCCAACTACTTCGAGCTCACCGGAAACTCTCTTTTAATGCAAGAGCAATTTAAAGAAAGAAACTGCGACGATTTCTCTTCTTTCAAATGTTCCAGTGCCGAAGAGCCGTTGTATATACCCTTGATCCTACGATTGGTAATATTTTAGCACGGCACACGAAACACGGGGGTTGTCTGATCGCATCGCTCACCACAACGCCGTCGAGTCATCCCGCCGCGGGCGCTCTGTGCACAGACAAAACCATCTGTGCGGGCAGGCAACCATCCCAGGGTTGCGGTAAGCAGGAGAAGTTCTTGTGGCGCCTTTGATTCAGCGTGGATCCCTTGTTGGCTCTGTGCTTCGACTGGAAGACTTGCGGTTGGTGGAATTCAATGAACAGAAGCCTGAATGGGCGAGAGTGCGATCAGGAAGCCGCGCCCCCAAGATCGACATCCGGGATTGAGGGCCTTGCCGCACCTTAAGTTTTGTTATATGATGCGGTGAGGGGTACCTCTTCATATGGTCCTGGCTTGGAGCTTCATATCCAATTTCTGCGCCCTCAGGCAACAGCATTAATACCTGGATGAGATATTGGTACCCCAGAAGCATTCCTGGAAGGACTGAGAATATATATCGCCATCATGAGGACGCTTTTCAGGATGGAGAGCGGCTTCAATAGTCGGAACTTCCGACGTTCAACAAACTCATCTCAATCATCACTTCAGAAACCGACAATGACCGGACCCTCAAAGAAGTGGTTCAAACCTTCTCTCACTACTTCATCCTCCTCCAAGAAGAAATCAAGAACAAACACCTCTCTATCCACACAATCCCAGACCCAAACCCCCTTTCAACAACCACGAGAACCTCAATCCCAACCTCAAAATCCCTTCCAAGAGCCCCCACCATCTCAGTCACAACAATCCTCAAACCAAGACCGCCCGCCACCACCCACATACACAACCTCCATGCCTACCCCTTCTTCCTCTGGAAAACCATCCAAGCGCTCCAAAGCCTGGAAGAAAACAAAGGAGTTCTTGTCCTCGATAGGAGAGCCTCCTACAGCAGAGTATGACCGCCAACAAGCGGCTCTCAGGGCAGAAGAGGGCAAGGTGAAAACTAGCGGGAGAGAAGCGTTTGGGGCGGTGAATTATGGGCCGTATCATCAGGGCGGGCCTTATCAGGGTGGGAGGTTGTAGAGCTGAGGGTTGAAGGAGGAGGGTGCGTTCGGTTATGGGTTCTTGGATATATTGGGATTGGATTGGGAGTGTAGGGAAGCAAGCAAACAAGCCTGGAGTTTGGAGTTTTGTGTTTGGATGGCGGGGATTCGGTGCTGTTGAGTGTTGCAATTAGTGTACGCAATACCTAGGGATTGAAAAATACTTCATTGCACTTCTATAAGACTTTAATTGCTCTCATGCTGGGCGAGAATGTGTACGAGGGATTGAAGAAGGAAGACTTTTTAGCACGAAGAAAAGTGAATGATATTGACAAAACCATTGCGAATTGGACGTGTAGATGATATGCAGCGCAATGACATACGAATTGCAAACCCCTAATTCAGCTCGAATGAACAGACACATCCATATTCATATTCGCTATGATACCGAATCAACTCACATATCTACCAAAAGTAGTACATTCATACCTAGAACCTTACCCCCAAAATATCGCACAAACAAGCCCCACCTACCATCTCACCTCTCCCTCTCCTTGGCCCAACCTCAAACACCCATTCTTCCTCCGCTCAGCCAACCATCTCTCAATCCACGCCTTCATTTTACTCCTTCCAGTAGCTGTTCCAACATTGACAGTCGGTACCACCTTCTCTATTCTCAGCGCACAGATGAACATCGTCAGTTCTCTGAAGCTACTATGTTCTGAATACGGGACGCCGAAACAGGACGCTTCTCGTGTGGAGCCGCGTTGCGGTACGAGTTCAGACATTGAGTATGAGGATTTCCAGTTCTGGGAGTAGAGGACTGTGGAAACTGATGGGGAATCGGTGAACCTGGTTGATGTTAGTGTAATATCTTTGAGGTAGATGAACATCTTGGGTGAGGAATAGCGTACCTCGAGTTCGGTGGCTTGTAATTCCACCCACTAGGTCTAAAGCCTACGATCCTGCTAAAGTGCGGCTTGTAAGAATTCAGATAATCCTGCAAAGTTTCGGGTCGAATCTCCATCAACATCTGCATGTGGATCTGCGCCTCTCTCGGATCATCCGTCATTCTAGACGTCAACTCTTCATCTTCGAGCGCTGCACAAATTCTGATCTTGCCTGGTGGCGCCCAGATTTTGCAATCCAGTGCTCTGGCAATACCCAGGCAGATCCGTTCCTTTCCAATGCTGTAGGTGCCACATATAACCAACAAACGACCGCGAGACTTGTTGCTTTTGGTCGAAAGAGACATGGCAATGCTGTCATCCTCAGCTTTGATGGCCGAGTTGACAAACTTGGTCATGCCGCTGCCTGCTCGTTCTTTCTTCACCTGTTCCCAAGCATCGCTCTCTTCGGCCCGCTCTTTCCGTAATGACACGCACATGTCTGCACAGGCTTTGATGACCTCTTCTTGGGAAGGGAAAGCATACCGTGGGTTGAGATAAGTGGTGTCAAGATAGCAGACATCTATCTTTTGCTGCTTAGTTTTACCAGTGATAGAATCCACGATATCGGGCATGAGGAGAGGATGTGCGATGTGTGCCGGACATGCACGAAAATCTCCACAGTGAAGCACTCGTTGGATTTTTGGATTGGCGCCTTTCCCAACGACTTTCTCGAAAAGGAAAAGGGAGCTACCGGGACAGTGATTGGCAGGAATCATGGTAACAGCCACTCCCTGAGTGCCCGGAACCTCGAATCTTTCTTCGAACTGCAACGGGACGACATATTTTGGATCAACCTTGAGTTGCTGCTTGACCAAGTTCGCTGTGACCTTGCTGCAATATATTGGACCGTGGCACCATGAGGACGTAAGCCCAATATAGTGATCACTGTGGAAATGGCTCAAGAAGTATGCATTGCATCCTTGAACAGCACCATATCTGAAAGCATCGACACAGATGAAGAAACCAGGCATAATCTTGTAAAATGGACAAGTTCTCTGGTACGCTGGCTTGCCTCTAGACTTCGCCTCCGCCGCCGCAGCATTTGCCCAAGCAGAATCCTCAGCCTTACCAGACATCAGCTTCGAGAATGCGGAGGATGGAGCATCGCTCGAAGCTCCACCTAGCGCAATAGGATTTGCTTGTCCCGGTCTTGCAATAGCTGCTTTTCGTGCAAAGCGATTCTTGGCCTCCGGGGGCATGTACTTGATTTCAGCAGGCTCTGACTTAACAGGGGTCGGTAATGGCACTGGGTTGCCGTCCAGACATCCATTTACATGTCTAGTTGCTTCTTCCGGACTGATTCCAGCAAGAGCAGCCTCGCATATAGGACATGCTGCTGTCATGCTCTCTTCGGGTAGCTCAGAGATCAGAGTTTCAGTCATAGGCTCATCGTCGAAACCATTGAAAGATTCGTCATCTTCCCCTAGTTCTGCTGCTTCGAGCCTGGCTTGCTCCTCCATCCACTTTCTCTCCACAGCTTCCTCACCTTCTCCAAATTCGTCATCGTCAGGAAACTCTTCCAGGTCTTCGAAACCACCCCATTCGTCTATAATTGTTGCTTCTTTTTTCAAGGAAGGCACAGATGGCATTTCATCGTACTTTTCAACGCTCTCGAGCTTGGGAGACACAGGAAAAGCGCCACTTGATTCATCCTTAGGCGATGGATCCTTCGGCTGAAGAGCTTCCCATTTGGCTTGTGCTTCGGCTACAGGAACTCTCTTCCTCCGCTTCCAAGCCAATTGATCTGCCGGGCCTACAGATTCAATCTCAGGGACTATAGGCCTGTTTTCTTGGATGTCCTCTTGATCAACAGGCTTCGTAGTAACTACTTCATTCGTATCTTTAGATTGTTCCGCAACAGCACTTCGAAGTTGTCTCTTCTCAATCTGTACAGCAGCAGTCTGAAGCGCGGGATTGTCAACTTCGTAGTCTGATTCTGAATCTGAGAGGAACGGGCCAGTTCGTCGTTGTTTCTTCGGCTTCGGCTTGCCTGTGATTTCTGGTGGTGGGGGAGTGCAACCATTCTGAGCCTCAGCCGACGCCTTCAATGGATCATTCTGCATCGGACAGTCTTCTTTGGTATCAATTCCGGGAGCATTTGGCGTACCAGTCCCCGAAGTCTTTCTCCTCTTGACAGACCCCTCTACCTCGTTGAACCTATCCGTGTCGGTGTACCCAACTCCATATATATCGTCATCTTCAGAATCCAAAACCTCGGGCGTCGAAGCTTTGGGCGTTGGTAGGGTGGCAGCTGCACGCGAGCCTTGTGACAAGAATATGGGATCATCCGTCATCGGCGAGTCTACCTTCTTGAAGAAACTTAATATACTAGCATTGGGCTTGCCGGGAGTCTTCACAGGCGCGATCTTTTTATTGGCAGTCTGGGCTTTTCCTAGTACTGGCAGATTTGATTTCGAGTTCGGACGAGGAGTAAGAGGTTTAGCAGAACGGCTTGCCATTGTGCTGGGTGGTTGAGGGGGTCGAGACTCGTTCGGTGGCGTTGGCGCTCTGCCAACTGATGGCTTGACGGGCTTTTCGATTGAAAGATTCTCTCTAGGGTTTCGGAACATTGTCTGGAGTATGCTATGCCATTGATCGCGTGTCTTGTCGTGGGCTTTGATACAATAGCTGTCCTGCCAATGTCAATGTCATAAGGCAGCTGAATACCTAGAGACGCAGCATGCAGATGGCATATGGAATAATCGAGATGTTATCACCGCACGGCGAATGTGATAATCCTCATCAGGTCTCGAGCCTCGGTGGCAAATGTGTTCGCTGGTGGGGTTGGAGATGTCGTTGTCTTGGATTTGCTCTAGCAAAGCGACGCGCTAAAATTCCCGTCGCGTACACGAAGTCACGACCTTGGAAACATTAAGGTGCCTATTTTGTTGGAAATTTCCTCGTCCTTCTCTGTCCATGTGAAAAGCTTACTTTTCATTAGAATGCCACTCTGTTCTTTCAACCCAGTTCTCTGTGTCAACGAATGTAGTTTACACAGTAGCCCGAGAGCATATCAAAGAGAGTCACGTGGCTCATATATTCTCTTGCTAGGTAATACCTAGGTATGTCTTCGAAAGTATTCTTGTAGCAAGTTTAATTTCTTTATCGCCGATAATTATACTATAAATAATGTGATTTGGTTTCACTTTTTTTTATAATGTAATAATTCAAATTAATTTTATATACTAATATATCAAGAACAAAGTTTCTTAATCTTTTCAATAAGTATACTTAAAATAGTAATTCTCCTTATCCGTCAAGTCCCTAAATGCGGCCATACTTCTCTCCTCCTTACTCCCCTCGCCCTTCCCCCTCCCTGTCCTCTTCAACTCCCGTTCCTTCCTCCCATTAAGCATCCTCAAATACCCCGCAAATCCAACCAGAACCACAATTTCCACACAGTACGCGACGAGAATGGCAATGATACCAGAACGGTACACGGGGGCTTCAGCGGGCTTGAAAGCAAATGGCCCGATGATGTTGCCGGCGCAGTAGGAGATGAAGAAGATAGCGTTCACGGTGGTGCGTTTCGTGGAGCCGCAGGTGTTGGCTGTTATTAGGGACATGCAGATCGCGAAGGAGGCGGTGTAGAATGCTGTTAACTGTGTGATGATGTGAGCGTGTATGATTCTTCACTGACGGGAGGAGAGGACTTACGTAGTAGCAAGCCAATCGAGCGTGTTTACTCGATGCGGGCAAAGCAGTTATTCCCGCAACGCCGGCGAGGGCAGGGAGGACGTATAGGCCTGCGACGATGCATCTCTTCTGTCCCGGTAGCCAGCGTTGAAGATACATGGCGGAGAGGACGGCGAAGATGATGATCGCTCCGTATGGGATTTGGAGGAGGGTGGTAACAAGACTGGAATACCCGAAACCTTTGATGGTCAATGTTCCAAAGTTACTGACGGATCCATTGACGACTTGTGTTGATAGACCAAAGAAGAAGAGAAACCAGGTTTTGGGATCGAGAAGAGCTTCGATGAGCTGGTATTTTTTGAAGGTGGTGTTTTTGATTCCGGTCTGGTTTTCGCGGACACGCTCAACGGCCATCTTTTTCTCGTCGTCGGATAGGAACCGACTATTTACGATTAGCAATGCCCGTCAAGTAAAGGATCGTAAAGATTGAACCTACGCCGAAGCAGGGTTTTCAGCCAGGAAAAGGAACACAATGATGCCCCACGCAGCAGAGAATGACCCGATCACAATGAATTGGTATCGCCAAGAGTCCAGGGCGCCTCCTTTGATATTACCAATACCATACGCAAGCAGACCGCCAAACGAGTTGGCAAGTCCCAGAAAAGTAGACCAGTATCCAACGCGGATGGGTTGTTCTTCGACCGTGTACCACATGGCTGTGATGAGGAGGTAGGCTGGGGTGGAGCAAGATTCAAGCATTCAAAGTATGAATCGCAGCGCGGCCAGTTCAGAGAAGCTGTTGCATCCACCAAGGGCCATACAGATCCCGCCCCATAGAAAGATGTTTACGCCGAGCCATTTTGCAACTGAGACTTTCTGCATGGCGAAACTAGTGGGATACTCGAACTGAGCGAGGTGTGAGGGACTGAGAATATCTGGAGCGAAGAGAAGATCTTACGAAGAGGTATCTAAAGTAGAAGATGGAACCCAGCCAACTATATTGAGTACCCACAAGGTGAGCATCTTTTGTCATACCGAAGATGGCAGCTTCAACAGTCAGAAATATCTTGAAAGTCTGGGACGAATTTGACTTACCATAGCCGAGAGTGGCTTTGTCAATGTAAGTGATGAGGTAGGTTATGCAGATGAATGGAATTATGTACATGTCGAGCTTTCTGACGAGTCTGCGTTCTGCTTTTGGATCGATATGAGAGTTCAAGGCCGAGTAATCGTCGAACATCTTCAATGCAACATCGCCGTCGACGTTCTTGAGGTTTTGAATGTCATCCAGATCTGATCTGGAGGTATTTTCTACATGGGCATCGGTTGGTTTGTCCTGAGCAGCCATGTTGCCTGAAGAGACAAGAGATGGTAATGTGGAGAGGAGATATATGTTTCGGAACACTCCAAAGAGAATGAAACAGAATAGAAAATCAAGTGAACAAAAGTGGTTGGAACGATGAAGATCACCAGGGTTACAACATACCAATTTGTACTTCAGATGGCCACGGTGTAGAGCTGGACCAAGGCTTCGCGCATCAGCTCTAGAGAAGACGTAGCGTAGGTTTGAGCGCAATCAGACGCCCTCGTGAGTGGGACCATCGACGCCTGCAAGACCACTAGGGCAACTCGGATCCCCAGAATGGGGATCCAACATTGTGGAGGGTGGAGTACTCAATACGCGGAGTGCGGAGACGTGAAAGAAACAGGGTTTGTTGAGAGGTATCGCGTCTCCGAATGCGACTCGGAAAAGCCCATGAGACCGTGATATGTCGGAAATATGTCATTGCCCTCAGCTTATCCGAGGTCTCACCCCACATTCTTCCCTCGCTCAGCCGCAGACGGTTACATACAGTGCCCCGCAATCATCACGTGCGAGGAGGTTGCCCCTGAAATTGCCGAATCGCACTTCGCTTCGACCCAACACAGCATAGGTATAAAAAAAAGACAAAACATTAACAACCAACCATGATGAGACGGGTCATGGATGATTGCTTAGTACAAGGGCGAACCATTGTTTATCATTAGCATCATCTTGGGATCTGGCCGTAACCACTCCTACTCCGACTTGATCTTAGCGATGCAGATTACTGTCTCTTAAATCAATGCGCTCCACTTCGACCGGTTAATTCTTGGGGTCCAAAATGCTTATTTAGCTCTATCAGGAGGGTTGATGTTGACATCGATTCACTTTTAACACTACGTCAACCTTTCATGATAGGTGCCTAGTATAGCATAGAGCATACCACCCTCCGGACAGACCTATTCCTAAATCTAGACAACGACAGATCCTCTACCACAGTTTCATCCAGCATACACAAACTTACCTATCCCTCATCCACCCAAAATCATCACAATCATGCACCCAAAAGCTCCTTCTTTCGACTCCCTCCCTCTCGAAAAAGATGGACCACGAGGCAATGCATGGGGCCTCTACGGCACCATAGACGAGCTCGGAATGCTCAACCGCCTCACCCCCGAAAATACCCTCGCCGCCATGAAAGAAGCCGTGCACGGAATCCGTATATCGACAGACTCGCCTCTCGATCGACCCAAAGTACCGTGTTTTAATCGAACCCATTTCATCAGCATATCCATCACAAACATCCAAGGACAGTCAATGATGATATTTTGACTTTGAATACCCAATCCAGTTCGCAGTGGGATGGATTCCGGCATTTCGGTAAGAGAGAAAGATGCAGGATTTCCAAATGGAATGAATCATGGTGATGCTGACGTAGAACAGGATACCAAGATCACAAGGACTATTTCAACGGGTGCCAACAGAAAGATATCCAAAACTCCACGAGAAACGGCACTCACAGTAAGACATGACATCTCCTCACCATGATGAAAATTTCCTCGAATCAATCTCAATACCTACCTACCCAGCTAACACACAATCTCGTCCCAACAGCCTGGGTCGACCACGGCGGCATCGTCGGCCGCGGCGTCCTCCTCGACTACTTCACCTGGGCCACCTCCCGCAACACCACACCCCCCACCCCACTCTCCAGCACCGAAATCACCGTAGCAGACCTGCTCGCGTCGCCCGAGCGCAAAACCTCACTCTGCAACCCAACGACATCCTGCTGATCCGCAGCGGCTACGTGTCCGCCCTAGACGCCCTGTCCGCGAGCGAGGCCGAAGCGTACGCGGCCACGCAGCCGCATCCCGCTATCGGGCTCCGGAGCTGTGAGGAGAGCTTGCGGTGGATTTGGGAGAGCGGGTTTGCGGCGATGGCGGGGGATATGCCGGCGTTTGAAGCGTTGCCGTTTCAGAGTACAGAGTATTGGATGCACGAGTGGATGCTTGCGCGGTGGGGGTTGCCGATTGGGGAGTTATTTGATTTGGAGAGGTTGGCGGAGGAGTGTAGACGGGTGGAGAAGTGGAGTTTTTTCTTTAGTAGTGTTCCTTTGAAGGTATGTGATTTTTTTTCTCTTTCTTTTCGGGGATGTTGTTGCTGTTTTAACTGTAACTGATGAGGAGATTAGGTTCCGGGTGGTGTGGCTAGTCCTCCAACTGGGGTGGCAATCTTGTGAGATCGGGGTTTGAGATCTTTTGCATTGTCGAAGCATAGCATAGACCGATGTACTGTCTTCCATGTTGTTCATGACCCCTAGACTTGGAAGCTTAAATTTGTTAAGTTGAGAATAATTTTATGATTCTTCTTAAATCTGATAAGTTGAATGAAACACGGCGAGTCAAGAATATTTTGACTTAGAATCGTATTTGCCAAATTTATACTTATATCAGATCCAAGTTTGATTTGGACTCGCTTAACCTTGTGCCGGATTCCACTCAATTATTTTTATGACATGCTAATCATGTCCTCACTTCAACTGCAGTCTTATGATGAGACTCATGGATCTTTGAATTAACGGATATCCACTTGTTCTCTTTTTCTTGCACAATAGTGACTAAGACAATTCGCCAGCTAAGTAGATGGGGACATAGGTTCGTTCATTCATTCGTTCATTCATTGTCACATGTATTACCAAATAAGAAACGTATACAATGTCTATCTCCTTCAGCCCATCCCGATTCGGGAAATACCTCCCTCTCTTACATTGACTCCACTCCACTCACGCTCGACCACTCGCCCATGCCTCGAGCTAAATAAGGAATTTGTACCTCATGACCCCATCCTCATTCTCCGCCTCCACAGCCCTCTTATTCTCCCTCCTCAAGTACAACCCCAAAACCGCCGCAAAACACACTCCCCCCGCAGCAAAACTGCTTAGCACCACGCCCCCTAGTACATACTGCGGCGCCGACGCCGCCGGGAAGAAATACGACCCGTAGATATTGCTCAGGTTGCCCAGCATGTTGACCAGCGCGTACGTGATGGCCCTCTTGGTGCGCGTCCGCGGCACCGTGGACCCAACCCAGGCCTCCAGCACGTTGAACGCCGAAAAGGAACCTGCGCACATGAGGAACATGCCGATGTAGCGGACGGCGGTCTGATGCGAGTTGTCGACGATGGCGAGACAGAGGGGCCAGATGACCAGGATAGCGCGGTGGCCCGTTTTGGCCGCGACCAGGGAGTTGCCCAGCGAGGTGAAGAAGCCGAATACGTAGACGGGGCTGGTGAGCAGGAGGGAGCGGATCCGGCCGTAGCCGAGCGTCTGGACGATGCTGGGGAAGAAGTAGGTCCATGTTTGGGAGGAGAGGAGGCAGATTTGCGTGAGGACGAGGAGCCAGACTTTGATGTCGGTGACGGTGTCGATGAGGCCCTGTTTGAGGCTGGATGTCTCGTCGAGCTCGCCATTGGCGGACGCTGCGATGCGCCATTCTGCGAGGCGTTGTTCTTGTTCTGTAAGCTACTTCTTTTTGCCGCCGCGGGGGAAGTCTGGGAGGAGGAAGAGCGCGACGATGCCGACTACCATTGTTCCTGCTCCTTCGATGATGTACAGCCATCTAGTTTGTTCTGGTTAGCAAAGGTGGCCTGTTATGTGTGGGGGGGTTCGAGCGTACCTCCATCCTTCGAGCCCTGATGCACCGTCGAAGCCACTTAAGACACCAGCTGCGAGAACGCCACCAAATCCGTTGGCGACTGTATTTCCGCAGTACATCAGGGCAACTCGAGGTGCGATCTCACTTGGTTTATACCATGAACTGATTAGGAGACTGCATTTTCATCAGAACGGACTCGCTTAAGAGGAGTAAGGGAAACACTTACAGAGCTCCGGCAAAGAATGGAGATTCAGCGAAACCGATCAGGAATCTCACAGCGAAGATTTGAGAGAAGTTGTGGACTCCCGCGGTGGCAAGTGAGAGGCCGCCCCAGATGAAGATTGCAACGGGCAGATATCGTGAAGGGTTGAGTTTCGTGAGCACCATATTGCTGGGAATTTGGCCGAGGAGATAGCCCACAAACTAATTTCGATAAGCAAGGTGGTTGTAGAAGAAGGAGGAGGAGAAGAAGAAGAAGAAGAAGAAGAAGAAGAAGAAGGGGAAATATGCGAGGGATGAAGCATACCATGATAGAGACAGCCGTTTGGTATTGAGTGTCCGTCAGCTTCAAATCCGTCTGCAGACCACCTAATCTGGCGCTGGCAATATTGGATCGATCGAGGATATTGAAGATGAATACCCCGAAGAGCGCCGTGATGAGATGGAGGTCGATTTTCCAGACAACTGTATATCGGCGTCAATGATAATCCCAAAATGCTCTCCCAACCCAAACGTAACATACGTTTCTTTTCCAAAGCCTTGTATTAGTCATCGCTCATGCTATTAAATGTTTGAGGCGCTGCTTCGTGGTTGAATTCCGTTGAATTATCTTCGACTGCGTCGATGTACTTCTTTTCGTCGCCTGACATATCTGCGCCTTGAAGTGTTTTCCCAACCAAAAGAGGAACTATAAAATGAAGTAGGAGATCCTCTTGTTCAGAGAATGTCCTCGTGGATTAAGAAAGAGAAAGAAGTGTTTCTCCCTAGGAGTAGATCAGGTTCTTATGACTTCCTTGACTCAGTACGGAGTAGTACATCACACCCTCTCTGCAACAAACCCCAAAACGCCCGTCCACACGTCCCGCGGCCGGCAACACTTGATTGCCCATACTCTAATCGGAGCCCCAGATAATGAATGCATGCATACAGACTGCCGTAGACCGACATTGGCTGGCCCTGGCCCATCCCCGCAACATGTGGAGAAAACACCCCTTGCTCACCCCCGGAAAAGTCGACGTGCGACTCGGAAATAGGTGCATAGCGCAAGGGGAAAATCGCGGGGAGGGAAACGGGAGAGAGTTTTCCCCCAGCTATTGGCACTTCCAAAAGAAGCATGGAGTCTGGACTAGTGGTGGAAGGGAGGAGGGGAGGAGGGAAACCTTGTTTCATAGCTGGCAGGCATTAACTCATCTATGTATGTAAAGCTAGACTTTTCCAGCACCACCAACTGTCAGCCTCTCAACGTGAGAGTCGTACGTTGGTTATTGCATATCGCAATTGCGTTCTTGGTCACTGACTCGTTGTTGTTGTATTTATCGAACCTTCTTTTACACTGTTCAAGTCTCTACCAAGGAGAGTGCGCAGCTCGGTTGAGATGGTAACAGGCTTACAGCCAGCGGGATAGATCGCAGACACTGACAGTAATCCTAGCGACTAATATCAAAAATGAACTTTAGCGAGAATATCTGATATAGTAATGGATAATACTTGAAACATAAAACGGTGTGCGAGCATGGTAGGTAGCTCGAACATTCAATTAGTGCGGAGGTACCTTTCTGCAATAATATTTAATTTTGCAAAAGTTCTAAAAACCCGCTCTTGAACACCGCTACTATACAGTGAATTTCGTCTTATTTTCCTCCCCAGCATCCTTCGCAGCCTTCTTGACCATCTCCTCGCCCGCCTCGCCGAAAATATCAAAGCCCCAACGCGCCGGAAAGTTAAACCGTTTGTGACGTTCAAGAGCATTCAATTCCGTGAACGAATCGGCAGGGATTTCGAAATCCTGGAAATTGCTCTGGATGCGGGATTCCGTGACCGACTTGGGGAGAACGACGTGACCGCGTTGCACTCCCCAACTCACGAGCACCTGTCCTGGATCCTTTCCGAGTTTCTTCCCAATTTCGTGCACCTTGGCATCATCGACGGTCCGTGGCTCGCCCGTCTGGTTGTTTCCAAGGGGAGAGTATGCTTCTACTTGGATTCCTTTCGATTTGCAAAACTCCAAGAGCTTCGGTTGTTGCAGATAGGGATGAACTTCGATTTGATTGACCGCGGGAACGATTGTGCAAGTGGCGAGGAGAGATTCGAGGCGACGAATGTTGAAATTGGAAACTCCAACCGCTTTGGCCTTCCCCGTCTTGATCAGAGCCTCCATTGCTTTCCATGTCACGGAAGGGTCCACATCATCCAGTTCAAAGACTCCATCCGAGTCCAGCGGGAAGAATTTGTCGCCTGGTTTGAAAGCACTGAGGAAATAAAGACGTATTAGCACAGCGCCACAATAATTGCACATCGAAAAGGATCTAGTCCCATGAGGAGAGAACTTACCAAGGCCAATGCATGAGGTATAAATCAACATAATCGGTTCCCAGGTCCGCGAGGGTCTTATCCAACGCCTTCTCCACATCTTCTGGTCGATGCTTGGTATTCCACAGCTTTCCCGTGATGAAGATATCCTCTCTCTTCACACCACTTTTCTTGATCCCCTCTCCCACTTCGGTCTCGTTACGATATATCGCAGCACAGTCAACATGCCTGTAGCCGGACTTCAGCGCAATCTCGACAGCTTTTTCAACTTCTTTCGGCGCGGCCTGCCATGTGCCAAAGCCCACGGCGGGGGTTTTCGCTCCCGTGTTGAGCGTAAATGTTCGATTGAGTGCCATCTTGCGTACTTCCTTTGCCTACTGTGATTATCCAAAGTCAAATGAGGCGTTTGTCTGAGATTTCTAAGATGTGAACGGCGCGGCGTTCCTGTAATGAACACTGTCGACATGTTGTAGTTCACACGAGTCGTATTTGAACATCCTTTCCACAGATTTGCTGGTTCTTTTTTTTCGCAGTGGAGAATTTGGGGTCGAAAGTGGAAGTGAAGATAAAGCTCGGAAACGCGAGATGTGCCGTCATTTCTCCTGTTTCCGAGGTTAACTTCACCCCATGACCCCGCATATTTGCATTGAGGTCCACATTCAGGTATGCTACTGTACCTACATCCATTATATGTGGACTCTCATCTTTTTTCTTTTCCTTCTCCTTTTCCTTTCCCTCCCAATTCCGAGCTCACATCTTTTTGTCGTCGGATCATGGAACTCCACCCTGCCTCCTTGGCAATTGGATCAAATGGGTTGTATCATCAGAGCAATGACTTGGATCCACATTCCCCGGATAACTCGACTTCGAGATCGAACCCGAGTCCGTCCATGTCCATGTCCCATGTCACGGACCAAGCTTCAGGACTGAAGAGGAAGCGTCGAGGCTCATCCAGGATATTGAATAAGGAGGAGCGAAAGAAGGTTACGCGAGCATGTGATGCGTGCAAGATGTGGGTCCTATTCTGTAGTACGGTGTTTTGCATTTCGTACTTTGAATTGTGACGGGCAGCGCTGCAGTGCCAGAGGATTTTCGCTAACAAAACGTTAGGAGAAAGTTGCGCTGCACGGGAACCCAGCCGTGTAGTAGATGTGACAAACAAGCGTTATTGTGTGAATACAATGCAGAACATAGGAGAGGAAGACCGCCGTCTCCAGGGCCGCCGACACTCGCCCAAGCAAACGACTCATTCCTGTCGGTGTCGATGCCAGTGGGAGACAACGGTCTGCACCGAAAATCTTCAAGGAGCTAGCAGGAACCAGAGGAGGCTCGGATCGATGGCCACTATATCGGCCCAACGTCCTGCGTTGCATTTCTTCATCGAGCCCAAGGGAGGTTCAAGCAAGATTTTGCTGCCACTCTCTCGAGTAGTATCGACGGTAAGAGGTCACAACAAACATCCATCTTCTCTTTTGGGGATGGTTTTCATCCCCAAAACCCCTCAGCCGGTTTCGTCTTTCCAACGAGGGAACAAGCGAGGCGTCTATTTGACAGATACTTCGATTTTGCCATGCCAACTTATAGGTTCTTGCACCGTGCTACCGCAGAAGCCTGGCTGAAACGTGTCTGTGACGAGAATGAAAATAGAGTCAACAACGAGGCCCCTCTTTCTAATGCAAAGGTTGCATTGGTTCTTTTGATCTTAGCTACAGCTACTCTTTATGGAGAAGATGCAGTGGGCACGTTACACGATGCAGAAGCGGATGACGGCGCGCAAAGGTGAGAATCCTGCCACTTAGCTCCTACTGACAACTTGACTAACCGCATAAGTGGAATCTTCTTTGCAGCAGCTGAACACAGATTGTCCATTGAAAGCGGGCCTATCAGGCTGGAATCTGTCCAAGCAAGACTTGCGACTTCCATGTATTTGTTAGGATCATCGAGAATCAATCAGGCATGGTACACTTTTGGCACGACGAGTCAAATGATATTAGCGCTTGGTCTCCATCGAAAAAGGTTCACCCAGTCGCATGCCACTTCATTCAACCTTGTCGAGGTCGAGATCAGGAAACGAATCTTCTGGAGTGCATATACTTTAGACAAGTATCTCAGCGTCATCTTGGGCCGACCTAGAATATTCCGAGACGAAGACATTGATCAGCAATTGCCCGAGAGAATCAACGACAGTGACTTGACTAATACAGTAGCAAAATCCCGATCTACCCACAATCAATGCGTTTCGGATGGCCCCGTACTCCATGCGAAGTAATTACTCCCCATTTCACGTTCTTCGCATCGATTGTGGGCGTTATACTAATATTGTGCCAGATTGGCCCGGATAGTTGGGAAGATATCCAGTGACCTCTATCCAACCACGACAACCTCGAATACAAAGTGGGTAGAAGTCGCCCAACAGCGCACTGCAGAATTGAAAGCTTGGAAAGAGTCTCTCCCGGCATTTCTTGAACCCGAGAAAGTTGATCCATCCATGCTGATACCCATCTTTCAACGTCAAAGTTCTGTTCTGCGATTAGCTTACCTTCATGCTTTGATCCTTGCCAATCGGCCGTCCATCCTCAAGAACTTCGCAGATCTAAGTCGACCGCAGGATCCACTCACAGGAGAAATGGAAGACAGACTCAAAGAATGCATCGATGCAGCCGTTCTCGTCGTCGAAACGGTAAATGGGTTCATCGAAGAAAGCAGAATGCGGAAACCATATTGGTTCACGCATTATATCGCTTTCTGCGCTATTTCAACTTTGTATGTATATGCTATCCAGAACGCTCAGCGGTCTGGGCTGTCTGAGGACAAAAGCGTACCGCCCACCCACCTCCGGTACTTCGAAGCCGCAGAACGATGCCAGCGCGGTATTTACGGCACTACAGCTCCGAGTTCCCCTTTCCGCCGCTATAACATCATCCTCGACGAACTAAAGAAAGAAGTCGCTCTTCGACTGCATCCAAGATCCGGGTTTCCTAACCTCGTTGACGTCAACAATAGCAATCCTCCAGTACGCACTCAAGTCGCCAAAGCACCATATATGATGGATTCATCAGGCGGAACTCCAAATCGAACACCAAGCAGCTACGAAAGCTACCCAATTGCTAATCCTGCCGGGGAGCAGCAGGACTACCAAGGCTCATTATCCAGAGCACTGTACAGTCAAGGAAATGCCTCAATGAATCATGGTGCGCCCACCGCCATATATGATGAGAATACAATGATGCAGTTAAGCATGTTTGGAGCCAACGACGAACTGGGATGGGCGGAATTCGATTCTTGTGTCAGTATGCTTTAATTTGGTTTGATTTTATTTCTTATTTCTGACTATATATGTATGATGGATTCTAACGTTTTGAGGTGGGCAGGCGCTTGCGTGGCCCGATGGGCTGGATTGGAATATTTGAGATGGGATGAGAGGAGGTTTTGCGAAACTGTTTATTACATAATAACTAGAGCGCAATTCCAGCTCAGTTTAGGTCTAGATCTATAACGGGGCCTTGAATTGGTTTGGGTCCTACTGTACAGTACCCATTGAGATCACTGAATCGTGCTTAGAGCCCTGATCGGAGTGCGTTGAACACATTTCTGCATCAACATAACGTAGAGTTCAGTGGCAACACGCGAGTCACGCTTCATATTACTGCTACAATACCATGACTCACTCATAAGTGAAGGTCCGAGTCCAGTCTATGAAGTGCGGGCGAGGTTCATGAAAATGGGGTCCATAACCCCGCCATGCTACAGTACCCGGCTTTACCTCCTTAGCACACATTTCCGAGCACCTGCACACATTTCCGACCCCACACCACAGTCAGTGCAACAAAAAAACCCATGTCACCGGATATCTACAACCTTTCATCGCAGATATAGATTGGTGATGGCAACTCCGGACTACAGTATGCGCACGCGTCCCCCGCAAGGTAGTGCAAGGCAATAAGCGGGACAGGATTGCGCTTCCACATCGGATCCGGTTCGGTCGACCTGGGCATCATCTGTTTTCATGGCAGATACATATATACTTCAGATTTCACGAACAGGTGAACAGAATACATAGTTGCCTGCTGGCTTGACTCGAATCTATTTTTCTCCTGGCATCTGCATATCTACCTACACCATACGAATTCGGGGCATCACAACATGTCTCCCTCCGCTATCGAAGTCGCATTACCATCTCCGATGGAGACGTACTCGAAAAACCATGACATGAAGAGCACAAAAACAACGGTAACTTCTCAGATGGTGAGGATAGACCAATCACCTCTCACGATTGATGAACTTGTCCGTCAACGATCACAAGAAATTCCCCTGGAGCCGATCGTCTCCTCTTCATCTTCCGGCATCGAATATGTAGACTACAACTCAAGACAAATCGACATCTTTGCCTTCCGCGTGGCACAGATATACAAAACTCTCATTCCTCAGCGGTTCTCCTCGTCAGATCCAGAAGTCGTGGTGGGACTGCTGGGTCCTTCGAATTTTGAGTATTTCATCAGCGTTCTTGCCCTGACGAAGCTGGGCCACACAGTTTTGTTTCTTTCGACGAGGATATCCATTGCTGCTTATAGATCGCTTCTCGAGACCACCGGAGCAAAACACCTTTTGGTGGATGCCTCCTTCCAAGAGACGGCTGCCCAGGTCAAGGCGCAGTGTGCGTCTGTTCACGTCCATGAGATTATAGACGCGACAAGTTACAACTTTGCAACCACCGATGACACGGTGGATACAAGGATGTGTCAACACCTTCAACCCGAAATAGAGTCGAAGAAGGTCTCCTGGATCATCCACTCCAGCGGATCGACCGGCCTCCCAAAGCCCATTTACCAAACCCATAGCGCCGCTTTGATTAACTACGCAACGAATCTCAACCTGAGGGGGTTCATTACCTTGCCTCTCTACCACGCACACGGTATCAGCAGCGTTTCAGATCTCTGCATTCGAAAAAGCAGATTTATATCTATAGCGCGAGTCTACCTCTGACGCATCACAACTTGCTCAGTATCATGCAGCGGTATCGTTTTGATATCTTCTACGGCGTTCCTTATGCACTCAAGCTTCTTGGAGAAAGTCCTGAGGGGATTGCAGCTTTAGCAAGGTTGAAGGTTGTGATGTTTGGAGGTTCTGCTTGCCCGGATGCTTTGGGCGATCAGTTGGTTGACAATGGGGTCAATCTCATCAGCCACTACGGAACCACCGAAACGGGACAGCTCATGACATCCTTCCGAGAGCACGGCGATAAGTCCTGGGACTATGTCCGCGCTGGAAGTGCTGTCCAGCCATATTTGAGTTGGGAACTTCGAAGTCCAGGTATTTACGAATTGGCGGTTTTGAAGGGATGGTCGTTGTTGGTTGCTTCGAACCGCCCGGATGGCTCTTACGCGACCAAAGATCTGTTCACTCCTCACCCCACGATACCCAATGCATGGAAGTACTTTGCTCGCCTCGACGATACCATCGTTCTTATGAACGGTGAGAAGGTTGTTCCAAACTCATTTGAGCATCTGATTCGACATGACAAGCTCGTCGCTGAAGCCGTTCTCTTCGGGAGTGGAAAAGCCCGTGCTGGTCTTATGATAATCCCTTCTGAAGCTGCACGCGATCTGTCCGCGGACGAAGTGCGAAATGCACTGGTTCCAACACTTAACGAAGCGAACAAGGATATGCCAGGATACGGTCAGATCACCTTGGACATGGTTGAGGTCTTACCGGTTGGGACCGAATATCCAAGAACCGACAAAAGCACCGTCATTCGAGCTGCTTTCTACCGCACGTTCGAATCGCAGGTCCAAAAGGTGTACGACAGTGCAGATGTTCCGTCGGGGAACTTGTGCCTGACGGAAGCTGAGCTGGTAGAGTACATCCGCACTGAGCTGCTCAAGATCCTCCCTCCAAACTCCTCCGTGCCGCTTTCCAATGACATCGATTTCTTCTCGATCGGTATTGATTCATTACTAGCGATCCAACTCCGAACCGTTCTCAGCAAGAATATCGATACCAACAAGACCAAGCTGGGTTCGAATGTCGTTTTTGATTTCCCGTCTATCAATGCATTGGCTCATGAATTATATCGTCTTCGAACGGGTGGCGATTCAACAACTATTTCCATTCAAGACAAAATGACTGAGCTTATTGAGAAATATTCAGTATTTGAACCACATGTGCCCGTTGCCAACAGCACTGAGGAGCAGTATTTGGTACGTCTCCAAGCATTCTATTCGAATCACTTTACTGACTGACACTGAAACAGGTCGTGACAGGCGCTACTGGATCTCTCGGTGCTCACCTCGTCTCCCAGCTCGTTCTTCGTGAGGACATGAAGAAGGTCTATTGCCTTGTCCGTGCTTCATCACAAGAAAACGCATATCTGCGAGTGGTTCGTTCGATGCAGGAACGTGCTGTATATGATCACCTCCCACTTGCCGGTCGAGAGAAGATCGTTGCGCTTCCATCGCATTTCGGCGATGCGTCTCTGGGTCTCAGCTCTAAGATGTATTCTGAAATTGTATCAAACATCACTGGGCTCATCCACTGCGCTTGGTCTGTCAATTTTAATCTCGGTCTCGGCTCTTTCGAAGCAGACTGCATTGCAGGTGCACACAATCTGATCGCCCTTTGTTTGAAATCTCACCATCCCGAGCCCGCAACATTCAACTTTTGCTCGTCAGTGAGTGCTGTTGCTCGTACCAAGGGTGGATTCCTCTTCGAAGCACTGCCTGAAAGTCTGGACTATGCTCAAGGCATGGGATACGCCCAATCCAAACTCGTGACGGAACACATCTGCGTTGCAGCCGCCAAGTCATATGGCATCAAGACAAGAGTTCTGCGGGTCGGCCAAGTCATTGCGGATACGGCCTATGGCATCTGGAATGCGACTGAAGCTATTCCCCTCATGATGCAAGCCGCTCTGACGATCGGCGCGATACCTAGGCTTGACGAGAGCCCGCTGTGGCTTCCCGTTGACGTGGTAGCATCTACCGTCTCCGACATTTCCTTGGGGACCGCTGCTGCAGGAGTGATGAATGTGGTGAACCACCACAGCTTCCACTGGACCCGCGATCTCATTCCCGCGCTCCACGCAGCCGGACTCGAATTCCAAGAACTGGGACAGAAGGAATGGGTTGCCGCGCTGCGAAGATCCAATCCTGATCCCGTAACCAATCCGCCCATCAAACTCGTCGACTTCTTCGCCAGCAAGTACGACAACGATAGCCCCAAATTGGCTCTCACATACGATACCTCCTACGCACGTTTCTTGTCGCCCTCGCTCGCTTCCGCGCCCGTCCTCTCTCAGTCCCTCGTCGACAAATTCGTCTCTCACTTCCAAGCCACATCATGGTCCACGCCCACGGCCGCAGCAAAACATGGTTATGACGTGTTCGGCTCTGAAGCGGTTGTACCGAGGTATGTTGCGGAAAAGTAGGGTGCTGAAAGTGGTGTTTGTTCTGTTGGAAGTTGATGTGGCCGATGTGTTGCGCGAGATGTGCGTGGAGAAGGAGGGGCATTATATAAGTAGAGATATAGTAGAGTGACTAGTTGAGGAGTCTGGAGGGAATGAGGTTGATCTGATTCTTGTTGATAACAAGACGAAGTTGTTCCAGCAGACTAAGACAATTGAGAATATAATTGAGGGACTGTATTTAACAAGCAACCTCAAGAGAACTTGAGTAGAGCCATATTTACTTGACCGAGTTAGTTATTTCTGCTGCGCAGGTATCAGGTTAGAATGTTCAAGTGTCTCCGACAATGCGCTGCCGTTCAAGTACACACGGAGAGGTGAGTCCATATTGTCGAAATGCGACTGCTGTGACTTATACACGAGCTTAAATCTTCCAGGAACAAGTGAAAGCAAAGTACGCGCTCGCTGACAAAGACAAATAGTATGGACATCTTAGGTTTGCACAACCTTTGCCCATTTCATTTGGCATAGATTGTGTTACGAGACAGCTCATGCTTCAAGAAAGGACGGCCCGCCACTCGGGTAAAGTAGAAACGCACTACCGAAAAAATATAATCAAACGCCCAAAAAATTGCAAAAAGAGCATACGAGTTTCCAAGAAATGTTAGCAACAGCGAAAGGAAAAGTATCTTTGGGGATGCAAAAAATCAAAAAAGATTTGGACTTGCAGGGAATCGAACCCTGGACCACCCCCAAGTTATAGCATGTTTGGTGCTAAGGGGGTATTATACCACTAAACCACAAGCCCACGTGAGTCTCTCTCCTCCTGTGTCTAAACAGCTGAGGGAAGAGCTGACAGACAAAAATCTGCTTATTGAAAATAATACGAGCTTGTGGAAAGTCTGAGATGAATTATGGGGGCACTTTGATGTCATTGGTCAGTCCAGATAGTTGAGCATGCGGGCGTACTTTACCCGATACTGTACTAATCTCATCATGAAACTAGCTCGTACAGCAATGGGATGTCAAAGTCACGAAGGTTATTCGAATCATGTAACGTTTATTAGGTAGCTTCAATAAGAGTCCTGTTGTTCTAAGATCTGGAGGACCATCAAATCTCCTGCAATATTAAATTAAACTGAGATAGCAGCAGATTTTTAGTAACGCCCCCTGATTGCTGCTGTACGTGTCTCCAATTCAAGGAACAATCAAGTCCTTGGGAAGTACTTTTTGTCAAGCCTATTGTTCCGCTCACCAGGTCAAGCGGATACTAGACCCCGTCCCAATACCGCGAAATGACTTGCACATTATGAACGATACAGCGAAGTTAATAAGATTACATCTTAGAGGTGATTTCCGACAGGTCGTGCTATCTATCTCGTACTATAGTGACTCGACATAACAGTCATACCGAGAACTTGATGCCGATTTGGGACTTTGGAAGGATGCCGATGACTTTTAACCCCGCAATCTTAGAAAACACAACGCTCATGAGATCACCAACTATTCTAACAACTGTTGCTCTCTTCGTCATCGAATAATCAACGTTCTCCTGTAATTCTATAAAGAGAGTGAAGAGAGCCTGCAATTTCTGATATGTTCCTGCACATATTTGCACTAAGCCTAAAGCGGATTTAGCGGCTTATCCTTAGCTCCCACACAACTTTTTGCCCGCGAACTTTTACAATCCAAGATCAAGATCACAACGAAATCACAAATACTTTGAACTTGACGTTTCAGTCTCCGCCCAATACCGCGGTTAAATCGATTGAATCTCCTGTTCTCCCAAGAAACCATCCAAATGTGAGGATTCTGCGCGCGCAGCCAATTATTGCGATACTGACAAGATTTCCAGCTACCAAAATGAAGCACCTCGCAGCCTACCTTCTCCTCACCCTTGGTGGTAACAGCTCTCCTTCCGCCAAGGATATCACCGCCGTTCTCGAGTCTGTCGGAATCGAAGCCGATGAGGAACGTCTCACTACTCTCCTCAAGGAGCTCGAGGGCAAGGATATCAACGAGGTATGGGATTATACATGACAATGGGCACAGAATGGATTCTAATGGGTACACAGTTGATCGCTGAGGGTTCTTCCAAGTTGGCCTCTGTCCCATCTGGTGGTTCCGGTGGCGGAGCTGCTCCAGCTGCTGGTGGAGCTGCCGCAGGTGGCGCCGCTGCTGAAGAAAAGGAAGAGGAGAAGAAGGAAGAAGGTATATCAAGCCTGCGGATATTGTTTTCGGTATCTGCTAATTCCCATTACAGAGAAGGAAGAGTCCGACGAGGATATGGGTTTCGGTCTCTTCGACTAAGCAATCAACATACATCGCCAAGGATCCTTTGCTCTCAATATTCCAACGAAAGTGGTCAGGGCTTCTGGGAGAAGTTGTGCGAGCTTTTCCTGTCATTTGCATATCATGAACACAAGGGTTGGGAAATACTGGTCTGTTCATGATGAGACGCCAATTATGCAGATAGGTCAATAAAGTCGGGCTTCTTCCAACTCAATCAACCCAAGTGCTTCATTTGTGAGACTTCGATACCTAGGTACTCTTGAAATTTGAAATTCTCTTTCAGTGAGAAATTATGCTAGCAGACATGTTCTCGACTTCGTAACAACCAAACTTCGAGTTAGTAAACACGTGATGACATCGAACCACTTCAACTTTGATCAATGTAAACAGGTCCGATTGTGATAGACTCAGACTCTATGCCTCAATTATTGTAAGAATATGCAATCTACTTCCTGAATTTCTGCGCTGTGTTATTCCAGATACCGATCCTCAGACCCCGCCAAAATTCCCACTTAGGGTTTTCTTGCCCTACTCCGCAAATTTGACGCTAATGACTAAGCGAGCCTCTAATCGCAAAATCTAACACAGCAAGATCTCGAATTGAACCTCCTCCACGATCGCCATCAGAATCTTCGCCTTTCGACAAGCATCGAAAAGCGAATTCGACACCGATTACCACAATCATGGCTGACGAATACGTGAGTATCAAATGCGCTGCCCTCTCTGCTTCGATACTCCTCATTCGATCATCTGCAGAAGAATCAATGCTGACTTCTTTCATTCAACAGGACGCTGAGGCTGCGGCCGAAATCAAGAAGAAGAGAGCCTTCCGAAAGTTCTCCTACCGTGGCATCGACCTCGACCAGTACGAATCCCATACATACACATACACAGTCTTGAATATAAAGGGGACTTAGCTAACCCTACGTTCATCAGACTCCTGGACCTCTCATCCGACCAACTTCGCGATGTCGTCCACGCCCGCGCTCGCCGTAGGTTCAACCGCGGTCTCAAGCGCCGCCCTATGGGTTTGATCAAGAAGCTCCGCAAGTCCAAGCAGGAGGCCAAGCCCAACGAGAAGCCAGATCTTGTCAAGACACACTTGCGAAACATGATCGTGGTTCCTGAGATGATTGGTAGCGTCATTGGTATCTACTCTGGCAAGGAATTCAACCAGGTCGAAATCAAGCCCGAGATGGTTGGACACTACCTTGGAGAATTCTCGATCTCTTAGTATGTACCGCGATGATACATGATGGAATGGCAGATGCTAACAGAATAACAGCCGACCAGTCAAGCACGGAAGACCCGGTATCGGTGCTACCCACTCTTCGCGTTTCATTCCTCTCAAGTAAATGCTTGTGTACGTTGGGTTTTCGACGGCTGGCATGGGGTGCAATGGGATTTGGAATTTGTGATTAGCAGCATACAAAATAGCTGCGGCTGGTGACAATCAAGATCTTTGCATTCTCTGAGGGCTTGTTGTGCTTTTGAAGTTGATTATTTGGTGAATTTGGGGTCTGCCGGATTTATCGCTCCTGACTAGCAAGTGCTGGGAACTGCTGGGCATTGCTGCTACCGTACAGCTTGAGGCTCAGTAGCCATTTCACCATGAGTTCTATTCTTCCCTCCACAACTGGCCAATGATAATTAAACATTGAAACTAACACAGTCACAACGCCTAGGCGGGATACAGCTTCCTACTTCAGAGCTTCCCTCCCACATATTGATCAACGTCAGAAATGGTGCCTATCAAATTGCCTTCTTTCAACCTCTCCAGTATGTATCCATCGCCATTTATAACACGAAGCGAATCCATCGATCCTCAAGCTTCACCATACGATAACTGTTGGTGGGCTAATCTTTAGAGAGACAATGAAAGATGAGCCGATTCAAGCCACATTCAAGGGAGATAATGAAAACCAATGTGTGATATACATGCGTGCGGGACTGGTATTGGATTCTTCATTTCACAGAACACAACATGCTAAGTATGCGCCCCCAGCATTAGTGCGTTTCCTTTCAGGTCAGCAGACAGTAGCTGCATTGAAAATGAATGTGAAGTGTTTTGCGAAGTATTCCCATATACTACATCATTAATGACAACCTCTCCATGTCTTCCAGACATGAGGCGAATGCTTCAGCTCAGGCTAGTGGTCGGCCACATCCGAAAAAGTGGATGTCACTCGCTTCCACCAAGCATCATCCGTGTGGAATTTTCATCATGACAACCAACAAGTTTCTTTTTCCCCAATACGTTCAATGCTATTTGATTCTAGATTCTTGTTGACCTCATCTCAACCTTGGTCTCCTCGAATCCCAAACATCTATTTACAGATATCCGCCTCTGAATTCCCGAAGTCGATCTCGCCTCAAGTGGGGCCAGACCGAGTCAAGCCACAACGAACCAAGGGTCTCCTAGTTCTTGGCGACCACGAAGCAAGTTGCGTGTACAATCCAGCCTCTACAAGGCTGGATTATGGAGCTTCTGACGTAGGGATATGGTGGCTGATCGATTGTGGGGATGCTTGATTGAGGGCGTATATATTGTTGGCTGTCCTCTCTGTTGATTACATCCTTTGCTCCATCACGACATAAATTTAGTCTTTCAAAGTTTCGTATCACGAGAAGGTACTTGAGATTCATACACATACTTGTTATTGGACAACATCACAGTCAAGATGACGCTCATGGAAAAGATCATCCACAAGGTGGAACAGAAGATTGAGAACAAGAGCCGCAATCCAAATGGAAACGCGGCATTTGGACAAGGCTATGTATGTTTTCCCTCTCCCCTCATTCACAGAATACAGCGCTAACACACTTCCAGGGCGGCCCACAACAGCAACAAGATCTCTTCATGGGAGGCGGTGGAGGTGGAGGACATCATCAACAGCAAGGAAACCATCATCACGGCGGACATCATCAAGGCGGAGGTTTTGGAGGACCTGGCGGCCCAGGAGGGTTTAATGGTGATCAGCAGGGAGGCTTTGGGGGTCAACAAGGAGGCTTCGGCGGTCCCCAAGGCGGGTTTGGAGGACAAAGTGGACCAGAAGGACATCACGGCGGACCAGGTGGCGGAGGATTTGGTGGTCCAGGCGGGCCAGGAGGTCCGCAGGGTGGACCTGGAGGCAGGTGGTAAAATGGCATGAAGGATGGCGTTTTTGACATTTCTTGAAGTTTGCAAGTACATTCATTATACCCTGTACTTTCTCTACTTGAAATTTCTATTCTTGCTTCAAATCCATGTCTGCACCGAATACTCGTTCGCGTGCTCGAGCCAGCAAGCACTTTCTCCCTCCCTTACAATCCCTCCTCCTCCATGAGACCACTAAACCACAGACAATGATCCTCCGAGTCGGACGCTGTGTTGTTCTGCACACAGAACGGCCCAACATGGCCCGGCCCAGTGGTGCCAGGCAGTGGCACGTAACAAGGCCACGCTTTCACAAGTTCCTGACCCAGATGCATGCAATTCATTATCACATCTGTACCGCAGTCCCCAGTTGTGGTTCCGTCGCGATCGGAACAGAAGATTCCGCTTGCGTTGCAGATGCAGGGGTCTGTGACATTGCGGGTGGAATGAACCTGGGGCGGCGAGGAATAGGCATGTGGGTGGGGGTGGATGGCACGGTCGGGGTGAGTGTGTGCCCGATTAGCATTGTGTAGGGAGCCGTGGCGGAATCCTGGAAGTGCGGTTGTGCAAATGAGGAGGAGGAGGAGGAGGAGAGTGATTATGGTATTGAGTCTATGCATTTTGTTCTGTGGAGTTGCTGCTTTGAATTTAATTTGCTTGAGTGATGATATGTGGGGTTTTGTGTTGGTTGAAGGTCGAGACAGAGAGATATGGAAATCTTCTATAGGCGGTCAAGTGGCTGGCTGAAGTTATTCTATTTCTAGATGTCTTTGATGGACTGCTTTGATGCCTTTGGCTCTAGGAAACGATGGTGGAACGAAATTTATAGGCCGGTGGCGTACCTTGTTATTGTGTCCCTCAGTACTGTTCGTGAATGGAACTCGAACTTATTGAATGATGGATAACTCCAACTTTCATTTGTACAGTTTCGCAAAAGCAAACTGCCATATCTCAATTCCAGCTCGAGGCAAAGACAACTAGTTAGCTAGCAAACGAGCGTAATGACCCTCAAATGTGGGTCTCGACCTGAACTCTCAAGTATTGGGCCCCCTCCCCCCGCTCAATCTGACGCTGTATTTTCAACTGCACCGATCATCCTTCCCACTCGCATCCGTTCCTTCAATACATACACCCGGACTACAACTCATTGAAGCGGTTATCTCTTCCCAATGTCCACAATGGAGCAGAGCATTTGTGTCGCAGTTCCCTTTGGTTTTCCCCGCTCGAGAAGAGCAGAAGGTTCCGCGTGTCTTGCATAGGCAGAGGTCCATATTTCTAGCGATCATTCCTTTTTCATTGTTTGATGATGGGAGAGCGGTGCTGAGGTTGAGGAGGAGGAAGAGAATAAGGGTGAGGAGTGCTGTGAAGTTGTTCATGTTTAGTTTCTGAGACTTCGTAACTTTGAGAATTGTTATTGTTGATATTGGGTGATGCGTATTGATGGAAAGGCTGCGAGGTTTTATGCATGGATAGATGTGGTGCTTATTCACTATATTGCTGGAGACTACGTGATTCGCACTCGTACCTACTGAATCATTTGCATTTCTAAATTGATATATGTACCTGGTGTCGTTGACTGTTAGTACGAACGGTACACCTCGGGAGCTTCTGTTTTTGAACAATCATGAATTTGATCTTTCAAAGCATTTATCATATTCTTGTCACATTTTCGCTTTGCTGTCGTCTCAACACTAAGTTTTGCCTAACCTCGAGTCCAGCTCAAGGAAACCACACTTCTTTATTGACCAAATTCTCTGTACAGCACACCATCACTTCAATTATCCTTTTCTCCAGCCGGCACTACCCCACATTCAATATGATCGGAGCACACTCGTCGTCTTTCCCACTCGGATCCGCTCCTTCTACACAAACACTATCCGTTGAATTGAAAGGATTTGTACAAGACCAGTACACTGTTGCCTTTTCCCCATGCTCACAAGAAAGTAAGGTATTGTCGGGGCAGTTTCCGTTGGTTTTGCCTTTGCGAGAGGAGCAGAAGGTTCCAGTCTCCTTACACATGCAACGTTTCGATCGAGCTGCGATCGCCTCATTGTTGACTATTGAGGGAAAGCCAGTGCTGAGGCTGAGAAGGACGAGAGAGATCATGAGGAGGGTTATGAGCTTGTTCATGTTTTGCTTTATGGTCGAGAATTTCTGTAGTTGTAAGAGCTTGTTGTAGTTGCGTGTTCTTTTGAGTGTTTCAATGAAAGAGCTGCGGTATTTATAGATTGGTGCAGTGCTTCGTCTGTTATTATATTCCTGGAGAGCGTGTGATTCACGCGTACCCGTATTGCTTGAATCATTGGCAAGAGTCGAATGAACCTTTAGACAATTGTATAGGCATTTTGGTCCTCAGTCATTTGACAACAAGTTCAAGTTGATGAACACTTTATGGTACCACTGACTATTGGCGCAAGAAGCACATTTGAGAACTTTTAACGGCCCTTGATATAATCGTGAGGAGGCGTTTGACACGAGTAACAACTTTTTGCTTATAGTACTGTATCAGACACAGAGTACACGTTACTAGTCCACCTTCCTGCCTACTCACTATGAAGATGCTATCAAACCTCAAGTCCAGCTCAAAGCAAGCATAACTTCTCGACACTAAGCTACAAAAGCACCATCAACACCCAATGACTCGCCAACACTCTTTCACGACGGAGCACACTTATCATCTGATCCGTTCTTATCCTCTCCTTCGATACAAGGACCCGAATAGCACTCCTGGTAGGTAGAATAGTGTCCCCAAAGCGCACAATGGACTAAAAAACGGCTAGGGCTACCAGGGCAGTCGTCCCCAGAAAAGAAATCTTGTCGAGAGGAGCAGTAGGTTCCATTTTTCTTGCACTCTTGGGAATCTTTGCGTGCAATTATCGTTTCGTTGGTGACTGTTGAGGGAAAACCAGTGATGCCGACAAAGAGGACAGAGAGTGCGAGGAGGATTGTGAGTTTGTTCATGGTGATTTTTTTTGGTGCGGGGTTTGTTGGCGTTGTTGAAGTTTTGAATCTGTAGACATAGGAGCGTTGTGGAAAAATTTTACAAAGCAGAAAATGAACAGCTCTTTATAGCAAGGAACACAGAAGAGTTCGTGAATGTATTTTATTTCACTGTGAATCTCAGCGCTTGTCACAACTCATCACTTGCCATCAACCCCGAAAACCGAATCCTCCTCGAAAAACCATCGCATTCACACCAACACAAGTCCCCACACCATCCTAATCCCCAAATTCCCAATCTCCCCCACTCCAGATTCCTCAACTACTTCCCCATCACACCCCTCCATACCCTCCTTTCCCCTCCTTTCCGGCCCTCCCCATTCACCTCCCAAACAAACACCGATCCCCCATCCCAAACTCCCCAAATACACACCGCCCCTTCTCAAACGGACTTCTCCCCACCCTAAGCTCGCAATCGATTTCCGTCGGCGGCTCTCCGATCATGTCGCAGATAAGAAGCATCGAGGAGGGACAAGTTCCCGTTGTCTTTCCTTTTCGAGTCCCGCAGAAGTGGCCCTCTGCGGTGCAGATACATTGGGCGGTTGTTAGGGTTGTGAAGAGGATGAGAAGCAGGAGTGTGATGAGGGCGTGTTGCATTTCGAGGTTGGTTTGGTGGATTGGTGATGATGATGGAGTGTTGGTTCAGTTGGTTTGAGTTTGGAGTTTCGAGGTTGTGTTGTTCTGTTTCTGTTTGTGAGAGTTTGAGGAGCAGTCGTGAAGGCGACGGGTTTATATAGACGAGAACCTGTCTTCGCATCGTAGCTTCAGGTGGTATATTGAATACTATTAACGATACATTTTCGAGTGACTGGTGAATCCCTGTTGACAGCCAGAGAAAGCAAGTGAACTAGTGGAAAGCAGAATTGCATTATCAACTCGAACAAAACTATACTTAGGCAAACACCATGCCCTTGTAGTTCAACAAGAGGCTCATCACTCTCCATACCCGACTCGTTCACTTGACATATCATCTGGTGAAAGTAGGACAGAACCAAAACACACCACCTGTTGCACCCGGTTCATCGGATACCGATTTTCATTGGAATTTTGACCAATTCTATGAAACTCTTAGAGTTCTATGGAATTAAGGAATTTCGGTAGAAAACTTTCTATAGAATTTGAAGGGGGGTAAAAGTGCCAAAATATTCTCTATAATTTAGCCAAATTAGGCTTCCCGCCCTTTATTCCAAGTTTTAGTGTCTCCTAATTGCACTCACTAATTCCATGGACTGGGTGAATTTCCAAGGAATCAGGGTCCGATGAACGGAGTGCAACACACCCATACCAATCCCTCTTCCCCAGATCAAATGCGTGAATTTCTACCCTCGATGCATATAAACGATTTCCCTCCCCGCGAACTTCCTCCTCCACCAACAAACAGAATCTAAGCTGAAAGAGGCTCATGTGACCCGGAGTGCGTGAGCCGACGCCCATTTCAGCTTCAGAGTTCACATATTCCGTTTCTGTATCCCCAGCTAACCATTGGCCATCACTCCTTCAACGAATCTATGGATGCGTTGGTTGGCAAGAGAAATCCAGTTGTCAAAGGCGGAGCCACAATCGGACGACCACACTTTGATCCGGGCGACAAATAAATCGCTCACAAAGCTCACATATAACCGGACGACTTGAATTAAGTATCGACCTTTAGAATCATGACTTGAGAGCTCCTTCTCCTTCTTCCTTGGTCGAGGACAGACACCCAACAAGAGTGTGTGCGACGGACGACGGGGGCGAGGGTGACGAGATATATATACCCAGCGGTCGAGCAAGATTGTGAAGGGTATTCTTACGCCTGAGGCAGGTTCCAGCTAGTGAATAGGATTATCTTAGCAAATCGAAAGATTATCGAGATTATTCTTGCACTTAAAGGAGGTACCAGCTAGTGAATAGGATTGTTTTAGCAAATCGGAAAGTTATCGAGATTACTTATTTCTTAAAGCAAATACCAGCTAGTGAATAGGATTGTCTTAACAAATCGAAAGGTTATCGAGATTATTCTTCCACTCAGGCTTAAGGCAGGTATCAGCTAGTGAATAGGACCGTCTTAACAAATCGAAAGGTTATCGAGATTATTCTTGCACTTAAGGCAGGTTCCAGCTAGTGAATAGGACTGTCTTAGCAAGTCGGAATCGTAGATCTGCGGCTGATGGAGCGAAGTTTTTGACGCGCCTCCCATTTGATGAGACTTGTATTCTCAATGGCCAGCGCTTGAAGCCCCGGTATTCCAGAGAAGTGGACAAGACTTAGCTGTCAAGTTGATAAGAGCTCGAGTTTTGAAGAAACTGTGATAATCCGCGAACTCATTATCGTAAAAAGTTGGAGATGATTTTAGCTGGACTTGTGATTTCGAAGTCCGTCGTAGGAAGGTGAGAAAGAAAACCGTTGTGAAGGCTTCGTGGCCACCGTAAGACTTTGACCAAGCAAGCACGGTAAACGCAGCCAAAGTTTACCCACAACGAGATGGATTGTGCTTAGGCGAGAAGGAAAGCCGTTGTCAAAGCTCACTCATAACCGGACGGTTTGATCAAGCGGAAAGGAAAAGGGGAACCGCTGTCATGGTTGCCTTATAACCGAACAACTTAAGCAAGCAGGAAGAGAAATCGTTGTTAAAGCTCAGCCACAACCGGACGACTTTGAAAAAAGAAAACGAAAAAAGAACTACTGTCAAGGTTGCCATATAACCGAACTAAATGCCTAAAACCAAGCGAAAATGGAAAACGTTGTCAAGGCTGGGATATAATCGGGCGTTTTTGATCGGGCGAGAAGAAATTGCTTACATCACCAAAGAGATGAAGTACTTTAAGAACAGAATTGACAGACTTGATAGTCAATTAACAGGAGTAAAAGAATGTATATATATAATAGAAGTCATATCCACTCAAATATAAAATATATATCAATATCACTCTGTCATCCAAAGTCCCTCTTGACTCTCAACATTCTCATTGAATCCAATCCCGCACTCTCTGGCGAGATAAATCGTAGTCATCTCTTTCCAAAGCCAGAACTTTTTGGGACATTTAAGTCATGGCAAGCACATAATTGGTTCGTCTTCTCGGGCTGTTGCTCATCTCCTCCTGATGCTTGGCTTGCTTTCGACTTGTCTCCTCTTGGGGTTGCGGTCATCCTTCGATGTTGTCCTTCAATCTAGTGGCGGATTGCTCTCATTGATGATCTGCGCCAAAAGATCAATATGCTCATGCACATTATTCTCCTCTTTCTTCAAACTATGTAATTCAGACAATGACGAACCCCAAGTCTCGTCGTCCATCGGTCCCTCATGATTAGCAATTCTCAGTGGCCAATCCAATTTTGGCCACCAATCCGAAGGCAGGAGTGAACAAATTCCGTTGACTTCTCGTTTAGCGATGCCATTGAGCCACCAGACGTCGTCGACCATTTTAGTCAGAGCGAAGAAGCATGCTGTGATGACTAGCACTCGAGGATCGTGTTGCGCCACCAAATCCACATAACGCCTCGAGACTGCGGCTGCGAAACCTAGGATGCGGTTCCGTACTGGCCGTCGATGTGCCCAGTTAAGAAAAGCTACAGCATGTAAGTATGCTTGCTTTGTTTCCATGCGTAGAGATTCTGGGAAGGTCTGTAAATGCTCCTCAAGATCGTCTAAGAGCGGTGCGAAAAAATGCTTCCGTTCTGGATCGAGGTCCAAAAACAAAGCTGGCTGGGAATTGATAATTGGGAATATCTTGTTGCTTGTGCGGAGCCATCGCCAGCTTGCCATGACCACAGTCTTGACGCCCTGGAAAGAGTGGAACCACGCTAGTGGGAGGCTATACGGCCCATCCTCATCGAAGAGCCGCGATGCCGAAGCTTGGAAGGCTATCAATGCTGATGTAGAAAAGAGCGCTTCCGAATTGAGCTCCGAGACTCCTTGGGTTAAGAGTGAAGAGTATTGAGCAAGTGCCGATGCCATATACCCATGTGAAGCTCTAATCAGACTTCGATCCTCAGGATACATGACTCGCATGTGAAGAGCAGAGACCGCTAGAATAGCATCCATCAGATATTGAGCATCGTATGCAATGGTCGGTATATCAACCTGCCACGCCATATTCTGTTCCAATCCATCCGAGAAGGTCAAGCATGTTCGGGCCGTGAAGTGGTGCATAAGCTTGAGCTCCAAAGCTCGCGACGAAGGAAGAGTTTGATTCGCTCTGATCAACGATGGTGGCTGGTGGTAGAATGGGACAATGGCAGATGCTGTAGTTCGAGGAGTCGAAAAAGAGGACATATGGCTGCTGCTTTCTACAGTGTCTTGTCTGAAGAAGACAGGAGTTGTGGGTGTTGCGGCGGTATTCGGGGATATAGGGCCTTCGAAGTCGCACGGAACGCCATGCTTCAAGCAGTTTCCACAAGTAGGATGTATTTCATCACACTGAGATTGTCAGAATTCGAGCGTGGGGTATTTCGCATGAATTGCTAACCTTGATCTTGCGGTTCTTGCATCTAGAAGTATTCTAATCAGCGCATGACCTGACGTACACGACAATAGGATAGTGCATTCATTTGGCATGGTCCCCAAGTCTCGCAAGGAATTGGACATAAGATAAGTTTGAAACATTTAGTCGCTTTGCATACCTTTGGCAGCCAGCTTTGGACTTCTTATGGGACCTTCTTGGGGGCATGGCGCCTGATTGAAGCTCGTCGGATCACGGGTTGGAATAGCTCTGTTTGGTGAAAAATAATAGCATACATGATGTTTTTGAGAAATCATACCCCATATGAAGGGATGAGAAGGGAAGGGGCTGCAGAAACGCAGCTGCAGAACAGACGCGGTCCTGGGGAAGAGGTTAGAAGTAACGTCGGAATCGGTTGTGAAAGAACTCCGCCCACTAGGCAGCATTTTTGATTGACGAATCGGATCTTTTGCTACCCGTATGTTTTGACTCGTACGATACGAACGTCAAGGCTGAGAGTTTTGACTGAACTTTTCTGGCTAGGAATGCCGTCCGAATCCAAAAGTTCGGAATCCCTGGAGATCTTCATGTGAGAGTTGCCTCGATTACCAATGTCGTGGTGTACAAACCGCGCCACTGTTCTGAACGCAGCAAGTGAAGAGAAATCATCGTCACCGGAAGACACCCGCATGCGCACAAATAAACCTTGGCTGCGGCAAACCTCGGGATTACTGTACAGTACTGTCGTGGAGGAAAAATGAGATAAATGCAGGTACACGAAAAATAAATATATTCTCAGCCTGCTTACCACGACGGATAAATGGACATAACGATGATTCCACATTTATTGTACGACTGACTAATCACTTTGGAACTGTCCGACCGATTGCGTGCTGGCTGTTCCTGCTGCAAATGTCTTTGTCTGTTTGCGGTGAGAAAGAGCTCAACCAACCACGCTTGGACGTACATCATAATTACCAATTCACCTTCTAGAATCTCCAGCAACTTCTCATTCACTTATATAACATGAATCTTCTGACCTCGTCTCTGTGTTCTTATTCACTTTTGCTCGACTAATATTACCTAATACCTACCACCACCTTTCCCGCGTACAGTTTTGACCCCGCCAATTTCTTTCTTTGACCCCGCCATCCATACTCAACCACAAAAAATAAATCACCAGGAATCCTCATTCAACATGGCAGACCACCCAATTGATACCCCTCCACGAGCTCCGTCTCCAGTCCATCGCTTTGGTACTCTCGCTGTGGTAAGTTTGAAGCCCGATCCTTTTCAATTTCGTTCGCAAATCAGACCGGTCTCGCCCAACGAAACAGAATATCGGGATTCGTTCTTGAAAGTAAGTCAGATTGTGCGCATACTGACACTCACCTCTTCTAGCACGCTGGCTCTCCTCATGACCCAGTTACAGGAGCTGTCATTGAATCCATCTCACTCTCTACGACCTTCGCCCAAACAGCAGTCGGACAGCCAATAGGCAAATACGAATACAGCCGTTCCTCCAACCCCAATCGCGATAACTTCGAGACAGCTGTAGCAGCACTTGAGAATGCCAAGCATGCATTAGCATTCTCGTCTGGATCTGCGACCACTGCTGTCATTTTGCAGAGTCTGGCGGCGGGCAGTCATGTCATTAGTGTCAGCGACGTCTATGGAGGTACACACAGATACTTCACCCAAGTTGCGAGCGCCCATGGTGTGAAGGTTACGTTCACCCCTGAAATTGAGGTCGACATTAGACAGCATATCACCCCTGACACGAAGCTGGTTTGGATCGAGACACCCTCGAACCCTACCCTGCGTTTGGTTGACATCAGAGCTGTGGCCACACAAGCACATCAACATGGCATTAAGGTTGTGGTCGACAATACCTTCATGAGCCCATACGTCCAGAACCCATTAGATCATGGAGCAGATATTGTGGTTCACTCGGTCACAAAGTACATCAATGGTCATTCGGATGTGGTTATGGGTGTTGCAGCATTCAATTCAGAGGAGATGCTCAAGAGATTGAGTTTCTTGCAAAATGCTATTGGTGCTATCCCCTCACCTTTCGACTGCTGGCTTGCTCACCGCGGAATGAAGACTCTGCATTTGAGAGCCAGAGAAGCTACCACGAACGCTACTTCTGTTGCCAAGGCTTTAGAAGGCTCTCCACATGTCATTGCGGTCAATTATCCAGGTCTGAATTCGCATCCTCATCGAGCTATTGCTATCAAGCAACATCGAAATGGAATGGGTGGTGGCATGCTTTCTTTCCGCATCCAAGGAGGCCACGCGGCTGCTGAACGATTCTGCCAAGCCACTTCTCTATTCACCCTGGCAGAGTCGCTAGGAGGAGTCGAGAGTTTGGTCGAAGTCCCAAGCAGCATGACCCATGCTGGTATTCCTAAGGATCAACGAGAAGCAGTGGGTGTCTACGATGACTTAGTCCGAATGAGCTGTGGTGTCGAAGATGCAGAGGATCTGAAGGCCGATGTCTTGCAGGCATTGGAGAAGGCTGTCGTTCTGCCCAAGATCACAAATGGTCTTAATGGCTTCGCACACCGTGCTAAGTAAAGCGTGTGCTTCTGAGATGCATTTACTGGGGGTTTGGAGTCTAGCGCATGGGACCTTTCAACAATATAGCGAGCATAGTCCACTGGATGACGAAAAATTTCAGGTAATGGGAAGATTGGATAGATACCTTTTTTGATCGTAGATTTTCGGATAGAGAAATGGAAAATGCGTTGACGTTTCTACATTCTTGCTAGCTTGTTTTGCTTTCATGTGACCTAAGTTTTCAACTTTTACGTGCGACAGACCTGGCTGAAGTTTCAGGCTTGCCACGTCAATGAGGTGGGATTGAGGCATACATTGTTGAAGTCAAAAGAGCCTCTATGAATCTAGAGAAGATCGTCGCGTTAAGGAGCTACAGCGATGGTGTACCTTTGCACTCATTTCACGTATGGAAGAGTTTTCGTTGCATCATATTCAGTCAGAGTTCAGTTCTATGGAACTCAACACAATCCTCCCTATCACATACACACAAAAGAAAGCAATATCACCTCCCCTAACTTTTCCCATCCACACCATGCCCTCAACTCCAAGCAATGCCCATATCCCATCCTCCCACCATCGATCAACTCTCCATCTCATCTCCCTCCCCATCATCCCCATCCCACCACAAACAAGGCCCCAACCCCGCATCCTCCATCGTAGCAATAAGTTGATACGGACTACTTTTCACCACGCCAGCATCTTCCTTGTCTCGTGGACCGATCGGGATCTGGTCGTGCCAGACCTCGTCTTCGATTCTGAAGCGGACCGTCTCTTGCGTGTCGAAGAAGAGGCTTTGGCCTTCCGTTTCCCAGACGTAGAGGCCTTCGCTTACTTCGCTGGTGGGGACTTAGTGGGGAGATGAGGATGTGGAGGCTGGTCGACTTACAATCTTGAGCCTTCTGGAAGTTTGGAGGCTGGTACGAAGATGTCGTCGAAGAAAGGGGTTCGGACTGGGAATAGGGGTGTTAGCGGAGAGAGCAATGTAAAGCGGAGCGAGATATGGTCGCCGCGGCGATGACTGTAACCACGGACGTAGAAGAAAGCGCCGCCATGATTGAAAACATAAACATGCAAAACAACATACTTCTTATACCAGTTGTTGTTGCGCTGCTGATCCGACCTGTCATCACCTCATGTTTGAAAGGCCGAAAGACCACGAGCCTGAACTCCACTATCACTTTCCATCAGCATTTGTATCAATTACTCTCTGGAGTTCCAGAACTTACCGTTGACGTTGACGACGCCAGATCCGTGTCCGATGAGTCCTTCAGACGCGGATAGGAGGTCGTACAGGCAGATACAAAGCCCGATCTTTTGGATGACTTTATTGGCGTATTTTGTGTTGATGTTGTCTTCTATGGCTTGAGCTGGATCTTTGCCAAAGTCTTCTGGAATGATTTGGACTAGGTCCGCAATCTTCGTCTGTAATACAGTCAGATCACTTCTTCTTGAAGCGCGTTGCAAGGACTTACGAGGATGAACATGGTGGGCTGTAGTTGCTCTTTCCAGACCAAGATTTGAAGAGACTGAAGAGAGCTGAAGCTCCGATATCCGCTCAATGCTAAGGAATATCGATAACGAATAATCACGTGGAGTCTAAAGCTTAGAATACCGGCGTAGATAGGCAGTAAAATTCGTTGTGATATCCCCTCGTTCCGCTTCGATCTTCTTTCAAAAACACCTCCGCACCACACTTGCGACTTCAACGCAGTATCGCGCAAACTTCTGTATGATAGGCAGTCTGCCCGTGTTAGGAACAGTCGATCTCTTTCAAGAGACACAAAGTTTTCTTCACTTGTCTTTGAAAAGGTAAATTCCAAAGATTCATCCCCAATTCGCGTGATCAATCTGATATTGCAAAGAGAAACCGCAAAAGACGTCGCGTCTTTCCTACGCAAAAACCAACAGCTTCGAGGCGCAGTCCAACTTCAGACCATTCCAGCTATTGAACGTAAAGAGATTGATCTGACTATCGACTTCTTCAACGCAATTCTGAACTCTTCCTCGTTCCGTGCCTCGCAAAGTCGCGCTCGGCTTCGGCGAAAGGTTAATCCGGTATGCTGAAATTTGCACTAAGCAAGGTTACCCAAAATCCCAGTATGGCAGGCATGTTTGTCCCTTTCCTTTCTCCTTCGTCCTTCATTGATTCAGCTTTCGCTTGCTTTTCATCAAGACATCTCAATTAACACTCTTTGCGCATCCAAAGGGTACGCTCCTCCGTACAACAACCAAGCTCGCTATCTTGCGCAGCCGCAACCCCCTATTCATAGGCAAAGACCCGTTCAGGGCAATCGTAACCCGACGATGGCTGGCACTCAGCAGTACCAGTATCCTCCTCCACCACCTCCACCCGGCCCTCCTCCTTCGAACCATCAACCGCAGCATCAACAATACGGATATGCGCAGCAACCTGCTCCATATCAGCAAGCACCACGCGGTGGCGGTCCTCCTCGAGGTGGCAGAGGTGGCGCTCAGGGCGGTCGAGGTGATTTTCATGGAAATGCTCCCTACAATCCACAAAATCCCAGCGCTGGCTTCAATGCTCATCAAGGTCCTACGCCTGGATTCAATGGTCCCAATGGTCAGCAGGCTCCTGCCCCATACATAGGTCCTCAAGCTCCTGGCCCTCAAGGTCAGCAAGGTCCTGGCTACAGCGGTCCTGGTCAATGGAACAATGATCACAATCAACATGGCCCGGGTCCTCAGCAACATGCTCCTCAATCGCATGGCCCTCAACAGCATGCTACCCCGCATCATGGCCCTCCCCATGGTCCGCCTCAACAGCATGGTCCTGGTCCGCAACACCATGGCCCTGCCCATCACAACCCTGCGCAACAACATCAACCACCGATGCAACATGGCCCTCAAGTTGCTCCTTTGCAGGCTCAGAACTATCACCCCAACTACGCTCCGCAAACCTTCCAGCCACCACAGGCCTATGGTCAACAACCACCGCAGCCATTCCAACCACCGCAACCATCTTACAATCATGGTCATGCTGGTCCTACGCCTCCACATGGTCCACCTGCATGGAACGGTCCTCCTCAACAAACCCGCCCACCCTTCAATAACAACCGAGGAGGCCGTGGTGGTTTCACTGGTGGTCGTGGCGGACATGAAGCTCCTCTCATGGGCCCACCAATCCGTATGGGATTTGACAATGAGCGAGGCGGTGGCCATATGACTCAAGCGAGCAATGGCTTCCCTCAGCAGTATCCGAGTCACACTCCACCAGCTCCGTTCACTCAGCCATATCAAAATTACCCACCTCAGGATTTCTCTCAAGGAGGACAGCGTCCATCACTTGACCCCAATCCATACAACTCTGGTCCAATTAGGGGCAGAGGAGGAAATAATAATTTCAGAGGCAGAGGTCGTGGTGATTTTCAACAATTTCGTGGTCGTGGAGACGGCCGTCATAATCACAATAATGGCCACAGAGCTACTTCAGAGAACTTCCACAAGCCTGCAGGTGCAGATGCTAATGGCAAGAAGAAGAAGAAGCGTCGCACGAACACTCTTGGTCTTACACCCAATGGCGTTGATCATGAAGATAGTGATGACGAAGTTGATGACGCCGATGAAGAGGCTCGTCTTGTTACTTTGCTTGGCCCTGACACTCCACAGTATGTTTTTTTTGGTATGGGAGATTAGTTCTTCTAGCTAACGTGTGATAGGCTCCCTACTGATCTGGATGCATGGCTCGCTGAGCGAAGAAGTCGTTATCCTACGAAAGCTCGTAGAGATGCTGCCGCTGAAGAGCTTCGTCAACGACGTGAGCAAAACCGTCAGAAGAGACACAATGATCAGCACGGCAATAAGGTCATCAAGAAGGAGGATGGAGAGACCAAGATGGAAAAGCAACAGCGCAAGGCCGAGAAGCTCAGACTTGAACTTGAAAAGACTGAACGCAGAATCCAGGAGCAAATGTCTGGCGGTGGCAAGCGCAAGCGTGAGGATGGTGACGAAGGCGACAATGACCGTGGTCAAGTGAGCGATGCCGGATCCGATGGCTCATCTGGGTCGGAGTCCGAGGCAGACCAGCCAGAGACAGTATCCAGCCGCCACCATGTTCCCTTCCATGTACAACAGCCACCCAAAGCCCAACTCCAGCGTCATTGCAAGTACTTCTCAACTGGCGGTACGTGTGGCAAGAAGGGCAAGTGCCGCTTTGTACACGATCAGGAGGTCCGAAACCAAGCTTTGAGAGACAAGGAAGCAAATGGTGGGAAGATGACTCTTGCTCAGCGTCTCATTCTGAACGACACTGCTAAGGATGATCTGACAATCTTGAAGTCGATCAAGTACCTCAAGGAGAAGGGTCTCATGTCAGAACAACTCACTGGCCTCCCCCGCCAAGATGACTACAAGGATGAAGAGAATGGTTACGCTGAGAACCTCAACTATGGGGATAACTAGAGCATCTGAAGCCCTTTCAAGCATCTTCTTCAGCTTTTGCGTCTCGCACCCTCAGTAATATCTCGACATCTTTCTTCGACAAACTTCGATTGCTTGTGAACCTCATACGGTCATCTGCAAATCACTACCCTTGCACATCAAAACACTCAACATCCCTCGACATCGACTTTCTTTGGCGTTCGGCAAAACAGCGCTGCATTGTTCTTTGCGAAGAATTCCTTTGAGTTAACATTGGTTTCCTTGAAACCCTAGGACAGTGGGGCAATCATTTGTGGATAGGAGTTACCTTGCGTTGCACGTGGCTCAGCTCGCTTGCTCAGACGCATTTACTGCCGCGCTCCTTTCTCAATCTGCTGAGTCAAGCCTTGAAGCCTTTCTCACCCGTCACTATCCCCCACTTTCGACTTTGCGTTACTACTGCCTGCACTTGCACTTGCACATGTTTCTTGTTTCTTCACATAAAAAAAGCCCATAATGTCGTCGGGCCAATTTCCTTTCTCAAGAGGGCGTTATCTGCGGGATACTGGTTTGCTGTCCAAGACGGCTGACTGGTGCTATGAACAGATGAGCCTCTTTAACGGCCAGTAGCTGGCGTCGGCGGTCTCCCCAAAATGTATCATAGTGTGTGTAGTGTATGAGGCTAAATTAATCAGTGTGCATGAATTTCTCCCCTTGGGAAGTGAGTTGCTGTGTGAAGATCCAGCTTAGGCATCATTTTGGCTCTTAATATGTAGCTTCCCCCATGCATATTCAAGCTGTACGATACGAATAGTCTCCCATGAAGTTTGGTTCGCTCGCACTCAATTGCGTAGTCATGCCCAGCAGACCTTTATGGTGCCCCTACTTTACGTACAAATACCAGACGCTTCACAACTATTGATTACAATCTTCCTGCCCAGGGAATCAAATGCAAAATATGTATTCAATACTATGGATATAGACAATGGCTATGCAATCAATGCTTTACTCTTAAGTATCGCCAGCTATGTGTCGGAGATCAAAAAGATCCGGCACTCAGGTTCTGTAAAGTTTTCAAAATATTCTTATCACCTACGGATCTTCTTGGTAGCATCTGTCGACGGTTGCTTGTCACTTCCCTTGTCCGATCCAGGTGGCAGATTCTTGCCCTGCACAGCCGGGCGTGGACTCCGCTGTCGAATAATATCAATAACATCAACATTCAACTCCTCCTGCCAACCTTTCCTATTTCCCCAACGAAACCATCTCGTTGTTACTATAGCCTCTCTATAATCGGTCAACGGGAGTCTCATCATTCTCCCACTATCTTCACAATGCCGTTGCGGATAGAAATTATCCCGCTCTCTCAAGCTCTGCCAGCCCATTTCTCGTCTCTGTAGTTCCTTGAACGGTTCGTCGCTGACTCGTAGGTCTTCGGGGAGAACTTTGGCGTGCACGTATATCCGTTCTGCCATTACTTTCTCGTCGCCTTCGAAGGTAAACCAGCGTGGTCTACTTGACAATGCAATTGCGAATGCGCCACCCGTGAGCGTGCATTTGAAGAAGAACATGGCTTCTACTCCATCCCACGTCGTGTCGCACCAGATGATACCGTTCCTCCTGTCGAATTTCGTCGATGGTGCACAATGCACTTTTACCAGTGAGTATCCGGATACAGAGGTAGGGAATATAGGATGCGAAGCATAGTTCGCCAAACCGTGATCCAGATGTTCGATGTCTCTCAACACGGTAGATAACCCAGCCAGATTCAAAGGTCGAAGTTTTTCCCGCAGTTTATCTTCTGGTTCGAGCCCGTACCGGGGTTTGGATATCGTGACGAGCTTTCGATAGCGGACTCCAGAACGGTCGTAGCCTACGAAATCAATTGGGACTCCCAAGAGGTTGTGTTCGTCGATCGCGAAGCCTTTCCGTATCCTACAGCCCAAAACGGCGACTTCGAACGTCTTTCTTGCTACGCGGTTAAGGACTGGTGTTCGCTGTTCCTCGTCCGGTGGATCGCAGACTATTTCTACGACGGGAAGCTCGACGTGGATCCCTCTATTATAAATGACAGGTGGTTTAGGCTTGAAGCCATCTTTCTCGAGACGCCAGTGCGCGAGAGCGTCGATGTGTTGGCTGTACCGGAAATCAGCAGGGGAATCAGCCAGCAAGCCCCCGAAGCGGGTATCGATGACTAGGTCTTCGGAGGTTTGGTGCACGAGCTTGTTCATTTCGAAGTCCAGGAACTGTTCTACTTTTATTATGGGTGAGGTACCCCAGGCGAAGATGGATTGGTCGGAATTGGCTTTCAAAATCTCTTCTTGGAGGCGGAAGAACGCTCTCTTGCCTTCGCCGTATAGTAAGGGCATGTTAATATCGAAGATTCCGAGCAGACAATAGGCCATGTCTTCTGTGCGGGTCGTTTCTCGTTTCGCGGCCCAGGACATCCTCGTTGCGACGCTGACGGCTTGTAAATCCTCGCCCTGTAAAATCTCTGGCTCGATGCCGGTGATGGTCGCTAAAGGACCGTAGAGCTCTTCTTTGGTGCCGATCCGTCGCCATGTGCTGGAGAAGAAGATGAGGTTTTTGGGCGCGAGCAGTTCTTGCAGCGTCCAGCCGCGCTTGAACCACCGGCTACGTGCAAGCTCTGAGGGGTCGAGGGCAGGGTTCACGTGCCCTGGCACGTCGAACAGGTAGGCGTAGCATCTTACGGCGTTTTGGTACCATCTGAACATAGAATTGATGGCTTCTGATAACTCTGCGCTGCTGGACTTGTCGATACAGCATCTTTTACCCCATCAATATATAGGTACTTTGGGAGAGGGAGAGAGGAAACAGCCTTACGTATCAATCCACGCCCACTCTATCCCATCGCTGAGCGCCTGGTCGCAGCAATACTTTATTTTCGTGTACCCGGTCTTGGCTTTCTTGCTCGTCTCCTCGTTCCATTCTTGCAGCGAGAGCTCGTCTGTGCCCCAGGTGTGGGAGAGGATTGCGTAGCGGGGGACGGCCTCGTCGCCTACGAAGTCTTTTAGTAGGAGGGTCTTGGCGTTTAGTAGCCTCATTTTTGGGGGTGGGCGATGAGACGATTGAGGGGCGCTGTGAGGATGAGCATTTCTTGTTGTGAAAGTATATAGATATAAGAGAGTGATAGGGGAAGTTTGGGTTGAGGCTGAGGAGTGTCTGGTGAAGTGAAGTGGATTTGGGTGAGCGAGGGTGTATGCAGGTTTAGCGAGATCTGGAAGTTGTGATTGGGCCCGAGAAAATGTTCAGCTGCATGATTACCAATGAGATCTGGATGATGCGGTGGCTGATGATTTTTCGTGTGGCTTGGTCGGATATGTCGCGAGAAAGTTCAAAGACTCTACAGCTAGTACACGACAAGAGTAGAAAGTTTCTAGGGAAGTATATTGCCAAAAATGTGTATAGCTTAAGAGCGTATATTGCCCTAGACTATTACACTGCTTTTTGTTGTATTATTCACTCTCGTACTTGAATCCGATTGCGTCGAGTCCCGTTCTCCTTCTGCCTTTCACGGCCCGCTTTCTTGAGTTTCTGGATTATATCTGTATGTCCTTCACGCAAAGCTGCGCTATAAGCGCTTCCAAATGCGCCTCCTCTCTGGTACAAATCCACAGTATTCGGAGGCTGAAGCTTTAGGAGGATGTCCACCACTTTTCCTTTGTTCTCTGCGACTGCGGCTTGAAGCGCCGTTCCAAAAATGCCACTGTTAGCATTTACATCTGCACCTTGGGCTATAAGCATCTCAACAACTTGAGTGTGGCCCTCAGCTGCAGCTGCTTGTAGCGCATTCCCATAGAAAAGTCCCCGCAAGTATATTTCAAAGTCTTGATCTTTGATTTTGGGGCTAGTGCCATTGTGCGAAGAGAGGGATTTGCTACGGAAGAGAATGTGGTGAAGCGAGAAGAGGAGAGTCTCCCGTGTTGAAATCCTTTTCGTATGTCTTCTCGCCAAGCCCGACTTGATCTGTGAAGCTTCTTTCCTGAGTGAAATCAACTTGTGACTTTTCGTCGCCATGTGCATGGATACCTTCAGTTGTGTTTTGGTGGGCATTATCTTTCTCAGTGATATGGCTCTTGAGATCGTGTCCTGTAATCTTTCGTTGCAGTTAACCTTAGCACCTGCTGCCAGGAGGATCCGGACAATGTCCACATATCCTTTCGTTGATGCTGCTCGCAAGGCGTTGCCGTACCATCCGCCTAGGGCATTCGGGTTGGCTTTCTTCTCAAGTAGCAGACGCACGACTTCGGTTGAGCCAGTTGCTGCTGCTGCCTGGAAAGCGTTGCCAAACCATCCACATCCGCTGGTATTGACATCGGCCCCTTTCGCAATAAGCTTACGTACGATCAGTGTGCTTCCCGTGATAGCAGCTGCCTGCAGCGCAGTCCCATATTTGCCCTCCTTTACGTCAATTCCTGCAGTGCGGTCCTTTGGGAGATCATTTAGAAGTAATTCAACAATGCGAAGTCGTCCCCAAGCTGAGGCAGTCTGGAGGGTATTGCCTAAAGGACCTTGCAGACCGTTCGGATCAAGCTTGTGTTGGACAATGAGATACCGGACAACATCCTCGTGCCCAAATTCGGCGGCCCAGGATAGTGGCGTATGCCCAGTGCTGTCTTTCTCCCGAAGCTTTCGTCTCAGCTGTAAAGACTTCGTGGAAGTCTTAGCTGCGTGGTATTCCAGCAGAGTAACGACTCCAAACACTGCTCCCACGTGGAAGAGACTGAACGAATGAGGAACAGTCCGGCCTTGGAGACCAACACAATCCCAATTTGATTTCCACAGTTGGCGAAAAAGATTTTCTTTTCGGAGTTCTTCAAAGATCGACAGGTGTCGATTGGCAAGGCGTGCATGGTTCGGCCAGTATTATACCGCGTATGCGAACAGTGGATCATGAACAATAGCGGTTTTCTCGGACGCCTCAGAGTGAATTTGAAGTCCATGTTTGACACTTTCGAGGCAAATTTCTGCAATCTCTCCATGCATATCTCCTAGTCGGAATTGTGAGACAACTTCATGGTCTTTGTCTTCGTCTCCATTCAAATACAGCCTTATCGCATTGTGGTACAATTTGACCTTGTTGTCCTTAGTGGTGTAGAGCAAGTAACCACAACATTCGACAAGCCGTTTGGCGTAGACAACATCCAACTTCAGAATAGCGCCAATCTCATCAGAAGTCAGTGACCGCTGAGCAGCTGAAATGCATCTGAGAACTCGAGCTGCGTCAGGACTGTCTTCCTCATCGATTCGAAGAATGCGCTCGCGGAACAACGACCCCATGCCTTTCGGCAGCAATGTGGTCTGGGTCGGGTCATAGCCTTTCACTCGGTTTCGCATGTTGAGACAAGTCAAGGAGAGCCAGAGGAAAGACCCGTCAGCTCTCATCGTCAGTATATGTACTGCTCCGTCGCTCTCAGGGAAAGAGATCTGTTCCTTCCGATCGAGTTCGAGGACTTTCTTGCCGGCAAAATACCTCAAATTCTCGAATTCCAATTTCTTGATTTCCTCATACATGTCTAGTCGGCGAGACTCAGGTATTCGCTGCGAAGCAATGCGTAGGGAAGGTTCGTCGCCGAATGAGAGAAGTACTTTTAAGAAAGCTGTTGACTTTTCTCCATGCCAACTCAATTCTGTAATCTTGTCGATCAGCATTCGTACCTTGTCCTTATCGGGACAGTTATCGAGACTGTCTAAGATCATGTATATCGGCACTTTACTGCTCAAGTGTTGCACCGTATCCAGGAGACTATGGATTGAATTTTTGTCTTCGGGAAGGCAACAGGTTTTCGGATCAAAATGTGCAGCCACAAGGACAAAGAGCTCAGGCCGTAACTGAAGAAGATGCCCGAGTAGACACATTAGTAACTTTGGAACATCTGTAGCAGTCTTGCAGAAGTAAGACAATACAACTGGAGCAGGGTTGAGTCCGTCGTTGGATTCCTTTCTGAGATGCTGTTCGATGAATGTTGTGAGGACAGTCTTGCCAATCCCAGAGCTTCCTGCGAGCCAAAGTAAACTGGTGAGTTCTGAATCGGCCCATTGCTTGTATTTAGATTGAGAAAGTATCCATTTACAGCTACCATCCTCACAATCGCTGTTGGAAAAGCTTGGATTTTGATGCTGTTGGGAGTCGATCAAAGATTCCAAGCACCTTTTGCGGAAAGCTGTCAGAAATCAGCAGTGAGCAGCAGTATTTGCACATGAAACTCGATGAATTGAAATCGGATAAACGGCGGTACAGAGACAGCAATCTTTGATCAATGCCCAAAACTATAATTATATGCATCCCTCCAGACCTTCGCATTCGTAATTGGAGGTCCTGTCAGGAGGAAGCGCTCGCTCGAGGGCTCAATCATCCCTAAGTCTCCTGCTACTTCGCTCTTTATTCCTCCACGTCCTGCGAGAGAAAACTCCTTACCTGTTGAAATATCCTCCTTCAGACTCTTAACACACTCCGCAAACTTTCGCATCGGCTCCGGGTTTGAAATATAGGTGTCAGTAGCGTCTGCAATTTTCCCTTTGGCGTCGTACTCTTCTAGACCAATACTGGCCAATCCTTGATCAACGCTGAACCTGAAGTAAAGGTTGTCTTCCGCGAGCGAGTGATGCGTTCGGTGGAAGTCTTTAGCTTTGGTATCGGAATCCGTGACGATTGTCTTCATAGCGTTGATGAGCGTGCCGATGTTTCCATCAAATGCCGCCCCTGGCGCCTCGCCCGTTCCAATGCTGATCAGGAGCTTCTCTTGTCTTGGCCACAATAATTCTGCTTCTTGGTAGACCTGTTCGACAGGATTGTTGTAGATCATGCCTCCGTCAGCGAAGGTCTGCTTTCGTTTGCCAATGGTAATTGAGTCGAAGAATGTGGGCGCTGCTGAAGTAGCACGGCATGCTTCCCAGACTTTGCACTCTCCGAAAAGCATGTTGTCCGTCTTTCTGTCGAATGATCTGAGAATAGCGGGCTGGGAATTACTTGCTAGGGTCGCGACAACAAAGCTGGAATCCGAAGTCAGTACTCCCGAAATGCTAGCTGGTGTTTCGCAACAGATCTTACCATCGACAGCGGTCATCCAAGTCTTTTATAGGACGTCTTCTGGAAAGTCGTTCTCTGCCAATGTCTCCTTGATGACCTCCTCCAAAATTGCAGCGTCAAACTTTCCGTCAGCTCGTAGAAAAGTAGTTGCTCTAAAGATGCTGAATCTAGAGTGTCGTGGTTGGGAAATCTGCTCGGATAGTTTGAGATATGCATTCTCGCATTCTTCTAGACTCATTCGGAGCCTGCCAAGCATGATAGCTATAATTCTGCAAAGAGTTAGTTGTTGTTTGTCTTGAGAGTACAGACGCATCAACTCGCCCGCCAGTACTGGTGCCTCCGATCAAATCGAAGACTTCCCATGGCTGAAGTATTTCATCATCCTTACGCCCTCGATTGAAGCTTTTCATGATCCGTTCGAGGATCATGATGGTGCTCAATCCGCGAACCCCGCCGCCATCGTCACGCAGGTTAGTGAGAGCCTTAGGAAAGTAGAGTAGACAGTTTCTCACCTAAAGACAAGATTCTGAATCGCTTGCGCTCGATTTGATCCATGATGCGTAAGGCAGGGTTGGTTTTGCTGTGACGGAAGGTCTGAAGCTCTCCAATCTGTCCTACTAGCTGGCGAAAGAAGAGAGGATATTATGAGGAAGGTGTCACTAGCGAGGAACCCTGTCCCTCTTCTTTCCCGAGTTGATAGATAGCAACACCACGCCTTCTGCAACCCCAATTGATTTTCCACAGTCCGTCTAGGACTCCTGTGAAAGATGTTCTTTGAGCGCTACGGGTAGACCTGGCTCAAGTCTAACATGTATCTACTTCATAGTCGCATACAACAAAAGACGCTCAAAATAACGAATCTCGAGTTCGAGTCGGAGTCTGCGTGAGAATGCAAGATCATAGGGATAATCGTAACGACCCACATTACAATCATTCCACATCCTAGTTGAAATCGAGAGGATCTTGTGCGGCTCAACTAAAAAAGTTGTCTCATAAATCAGGCCCCAGTGGCGTGTGATGTGGCGCCTCAGCTGAGGGCACCACTGCTCAACTAGAACAGGCCCTGATTTATGGGCACAGAAAAAGGTTGGTCTCAATCCAAGCCCATATGTATCTTTACTCTTTCAATAGCACTTGCAACATACAAAAACGCACAAGACAATAATGAGGTCTTACGACATGGATCACCCGATCGAGTCTGGTGCTTTCGAGCCTTGTGTGCAAACACGAATCCGGAAAGAGCGTCCCACTGAAGACTTCCCCTACGCCCTTGTCGAGTCTCCCCCTCTTGGAGAAATTCATCCACAAATCTGAAGGTAGAGCCAAAAGAAAGATCTCCAAGCGCCGATTATGTGGAAACATCTCGAAATGATGTTGATATCCGTGCTGCTCGTTCTCCTCGACTTCGGAAGCCGAGTCTGGACACATCCACTACCAGAGATCAATTGTGACCAGACTCTAGTCCTCACGAAGTCCCAATCTTCAGTGCGTTCAACTCAGATCGACCACATTGCCGCGAATCTGCAGGATGGAATCGTTGCATGCAACCTAGCCGTGAAAGACGGTGAGAAGTCTTTTTCAACTATGCGTTCAAACAGCTAACGAACTCCAGATGGCTTCAGCGTCAATTTAGCAACTAAAGACAAAGCTCAAGAATTGTTCTACCACTTGGAGAAGTTTATCTCGAAGACCACGGGCCGATATACGGAGACCGAATGTCACTGCGATACTGGGAATGCGGACAAAGTCTTCCGCAGAGCTCCCCAAAGACTTCCACACGAGGATCTGGAGATGCCCGATGTGGACACATCTGATACTGGATACCCAGAAGACAATCAATCCGACAATAGCAGTTCTACAGGATCTAGTACGGGCCTTGCCGTCTGGGCGTGGGTTTGTATAGGCATATACTCAGTAGGAGGTGCAGTCATTCTTGGAGTTTTGATTTGGTACTGTTTTTGGCATGAGGCGGAAGGTGCAGGAAGTGCGTACGAGGAAAATACGGGGTCTGAGCTTTGAAAAGGTCATCTGGAGTCTAGGAGTGAAAGTCTGTATTCACAGTCTTTGTACATGTATTCGTTGCTATGGCTCTCAGCGAAATCGGCATCTAAAATAAACACCGCAAACAATGCAAAACCCCACACCTGCAGTGAAGTACATGAGTAAAGAAGTGCTCTCGTCACAGCCCCTCCCTCGCTCGAGAACTGGGAATGCCCTCATTTTCATACTCATATTCTGACCACGACCAAAAGGCAAAGGGACACGATTAAGAGCTTTTAAGTGTTCCCGCGCGTTCGACGACTTCCGTACGCGGCCCTCCCTGCCACAAAGCACAGATGCGGTCCTCGAGCATATAGAGAAGCTAAAAACCACGAGATATCTAGAGAAAAGTCGAAGATTGCTCCTAATTTGGCTCTAGCGTATATCAAGGACTTCTCGTATGCATAACAAACAATACAGTAGGGACTAGCTGATGAAAGACATGGAGGAGAATGTGCGAAGGATTGTAATGAAATGTATTTCCGACTGAAAGATGTCGGGGTGAGAAAAGTCTGAGGTGAGGATGGGGAAGCGAAGCATAGACCAGGCATTAGCGCCTTACCGCATGAAGAATTTTATGTGGGACGAATCGCAAATCCAAAACTTCCTACTCACGTGTATCCAACCATCTTGATAAACATAAACTATGTCAGCATTCAGTTTCTCATTCTCCGGAGACGACATAGAAGAGGCATCTGTGCTTGATGCACCGCAAATTCTTGTCAGGCAAGCTGCGGAGACAGGAAGTCTGCAGCGCACCGAGAACTCGGCCTTCCCAGTGGCTGGCCAGCCTTTGCTTCAGCCACAGAAACACGATTTGAAGGAGATACTCAACACACTGCCCTCGAAGATATCGTACAGTACTCTGACCATCAGATTTGATGATGGAAGCGAGGTTGCAGTTCCCCGCAGAGAGCTATGGGATGTCAGGGTTCAGCTCATGGCTGAGGAAGATGATGAGGGATTGGGCAATCTTGGTAAAGATGATGTAAGGACGGGTATCTATGAGGGTGGATTTAAGAGCTGGGAGAGCTCAGTTGATGTGGTGAAGGTGCTGCACCAAAGGAAAGATGAGCTTCTTGGAGGCTCAAGAAAATATTTGGAGGTATGTGCTCCGTCGTGGTTTGCAGGATTAGTGTTGATGGTATCTAGCTTGGTTGCGGCACGGCTCTACCATCTTTAGCAGTCTTTCAATGGCTCCTGGAGAGACGCAATGCTTCTGGGCTTTCCCTTCATCTTGGTCTTGCGGACTATAATCCTGGCGTGCTCCGGCTTGTGACTCTTCCCAATCTCCTGCTCTCATGGGCCAAAATCACGCAGAAAGGCCTCTGGGAACCCGAAGGAGAGTTGGACATTGACTCGAAACTTATGGAAGAGTTTATTGCCGCCCTGCAGTTCGACCACATCGAGCTTTACTTCTTTTCTGGAACTTGGAGTCCCGAATTCGTTCATCTAGTGGTGGAAACTATGAACAGCAACTCAGCTCATCTTACTATCGTCGCGGCCGAAACCATCTATTCTCCAACAGCGCTAAAGTCCTTTGGCGAGACGCTTATGAACCTACTGACAAGTATGCCGGACAATTTGAGGACATCATTGATCGCGGCTAAGAAAGTATATTTCGGGGTAGGTGGATCGATGGAAGATTTCTGCGAGCTGATCAGAGATAAGGGGGGCATAATCGAGCAGATTAGAGAAGAAACCGAAGGAGTCAGAAGGGCTGTCGTTGAAGTAAAGATGCCAGTTTGACGATCGACACTATCCATCGGGCGATCAAATACGAGATACGAGTAAAGCCGATTTTAGAGTTCTGACAGGGCTACGCAAGGCTGTAGCACATCGTCTCGCAAAGACGATCATTGGATTCTCTGAAATTTCTCGTACTCAGATTGAAAGCGAAGACTGAGACATTCCTGACTCCGAGGCTCTGACTCGAACCATTTGGCTTGGAGATCATTGCCCATGTTCCCGAGGGATAGCCTCGCGCTAAACCCCGCACGAGGCTGAATGCACAGCATCAGTATGGAACAGAAAATCCTCGGCATTTCATTTGCAAGCTCGCAGATTTGTCCCAAAGACTCCTAGTTGCAGCATAATGGGACTGATAGTGGCGGCGTCGGCACCAATGAGAAACATATCCATTAGTGTCAGTTTGTGTAACCAGTTCTGGGAAGCTGTTGTACAGTAACACAGCGTTAGCCAAGCTGTGCCGTTTACCCCTCAATCCTCTATATATCCCGGAGGTCTCATTGTAACATCTTACTGATTTCTTTGACCATCTGCGAACTATTTACATCACTTGTTGTCATCAGATTCTTGTGATTTCTTTCCCAACAAGTGGATTGCCCACCAACACAACTTGACTTGAGCAATCATTTCTTCATTACTTCCAAGTCCAACCTGTCTTTGAGATAAGATACAGTCACAAACCTCCAACGTACAATGGCCGCACCATCGACTGAAGGTTACGCCCCAGAATGGCTTGAGGTACTGCATCCCTTATGCCAAGTTATCAAAGCTGACGAGACTTCTCAAAGTACGAGCAAGCTCTCGGTCAACGTCCTGTCCTGGGTGGATCCGCACAAGATATCGTTGATCAGTACACTGCCCTAGGAGCAATGCTTGCAACACAAGCTCCTCCGCCAGATACCTCTGTTGAGACTCGAGACGAAACTGCTGATGGCGTTCCGGTCCGTATCTACACGCCCCCAGGTGCAGCTGGAAAGAAACTCCCGCTCGCTGTATATTTCCATGGCGGTGGATACTTGGTTGGTGATCTGAATTCGGAAGATCCTTGGTGTCGAGTTATTGCCAAGTCAATCCCTTGTATTATGGTTTCGGTAGATTATCGTCTTAGCACAGAGCACAAACTTCCTGTTATGCTTGATGATTGTCTCACTGCCTACAGATGGGTAATTCCCGTCCTCTCCCTTCCCTAACTTAAATACCCATTGACACTTGTACCAGGCCCGCAAGAACGCTGCAGATATCGGTGCCGATCAATCTCACACTATCTCCATCGGCGCCTCGGCTGGTGGTGGTCTCGCTCTCACAGTAGCAGACCAGCTTATTAAATCCGGCAACAAAGACCACGTCCAAGGCATCGTAGCTATCGTCCCAGTAGCCGCGCACCCCTCCTCCGTGCCCTCTAAATACGCCTCCCACTACACAGCCCACAAAGACAACGCATCAGGCGTCCCCATCATCGATTGGGGCTCCATGGAAACCTTCTACAAGACAGCCGCCGCCGATCCCCAGGACGAGAAAACGTTCGTCACGCTAAGCAAGAACTTGAAGGACTTCCCGCCGACGTATATTTGTACCTGTGGCAAGGATCCGTTGAGGGATGATGGGAAGGTGTTGGAGATGATGCTGAAGGAGGAGGGGGTTAAGACGAAGAGTGATTTCTATGAGGGCGTGCCGCATTATTGGTGGATGTTTCCTGGGATGAGGAACGCGGATAAGTTCTTTGGGAATTTGATTGAGGGTACTAAGTGGGTTTTGGGGGGTGGGAAGTAAGGGTTTTGAGGAGTGGAGTTGTGGGGTTGAAAGGGTGGATCGCGAGATATGACTTTGCTTCTTGACTTCAGACGTGTATTCCAAGCATTCACTATGTATTGTCAGGCTTCAATGACGGAGCTTGGTTTGGACAATTTGATCTGCAGAATCATCAGTCTGAATACAGGTATTGTGCAACTATGCTTTAAGTCTCTTGAATGTCTGTCAGCAAGACCTCACTTTGACCCTGTGCTCTTCTGCTTGCCCGACATCAGATATTAGAAATGACCCACCCAGATTTGGACATTGAATCTAAAGGTTTGCTTTACTCCCACTGTTCTTTTTGACAATCTTACATTTTCCATGCTCCTGCAATTTGCTCAATGTCTGTATGCAACTTAGTCTCCCACTTGCTGTATTCCGTCCAAAGTACTATTCCCAAAGTGGAACATTGTCAAGAGGAGAAGTACAAATTGCAGGACAGACAATCATGTTTTCAGTAAGCAGCTTTTGGTATCTTCAATGCCTGCTGCTACCCAACCATACAATCACACACACTCATAATCTACACCTTCTTCCCACCACTTTTCTTCCACTCACTTGCTCTCTTGGCGCCTCTGTTCTTCGGCTTCCCGCCCTTCTTTCCGCTACCTATACCGAATTTCAGATCTTTCGGCTTGCCATTCTTAGCGCTAGCTCTGTAGCCCTCGAATACAATACTCTCTGGAGTCTTAGCAATGCCTGCAACTCCGACACCATCACCACGTCGTCCCATAGCCATGCCATTTGCACCACTCCCTTCCTTCTTCTTGAATTGAGAGGCTCCTGCCTTTCCGAGTAGCTTGCTAGCACGACCTTTCAAGGATGAAAGTTCAGAGGATGTCCTGGGGTTGAAGACTCGGTCTTTTCTGGGCTTTTTGGATTCGGTGCGAGATGAAGCTGATGCAAGTGCCGTCTTACGGACGGCTTTTGCACGCACAACGCGAAGAACTCGTGGGAGCATGGGTGGATATTTCTTTTCGTTGAAGAGTAGAGCTGCTTCCACAGCATTGGGGTCCTGAATGTTGTTAGTGATTGTTTTGGAAACAAATAAGCCGTATTTTTACCTCAAATTGCACATAGGCAAAGCCCTTGCCAACCCTGGTCTTTTCATCTCTCACAACACGAACACTCTCGACAATTCCTGCCTTGCTGAACTGTCTCCAGAGGCCTTCTTCAACGTCTGATGGTATCTTCGATCGCTTGCGTTCATTCTCACCGCCTTGATCTAACATGCTCTCATCATCTACAAATCCGAGGTTTCCAACAAAGACACATCGGCGATGATCTGTCTTCGCTGGATGAGCAACACCATCTACACGGAGATGGCGGTCAAGGATCACTGTACCATTGAGCTTCTTTACAGCTTCCCGAGCGGCATAAGCAGTTGAATATACAACATATGCATTTGTGCTCTTGGTCGTAGCGGCCATGAGTTCTTTCTTCGCAAAGGCAGCTTTCTTGGGAAGAGCAGTTCCGGCATACGCAGTGGAGCGGAAGCGGATCGATTCGACCTTGTGTGGAGGCTTACCCTCCGGAGGCGCAGGAAGAGATGGGATGAAGGAGCCCATATGGGTGAGTAGAGTTTTCTTGGCGGTTTTGGATGATATGGCGGTCGTGCAGACGTTGGCTAGGAATACTGTTCGAGTAGCTTTTTCCAGCTCAACTGCATCTCTATCGGGCATCAAGGATTCGTGGAGTGGAACATCTGAAGGTGTTGTTCTGATTGGCTTTTCGTCCTCCGAACCATCCTCACTGTCTTGCTCTGATGCTTCGCCGTGCTCGCCAGGTTCAGAAGCGTCTTCTCCACTTTGTGCATCTTCAGCTTCCTCTGTTGCCAGCAATTTTTGACGCTTCAACTTCCTTTCTGTCTGTCGTTGTTCTTCTTCTCTTTCCTCTTCCCTGGCCAATTTCTCCAAATACTTTCCCTCCAGATCTTCTTCGTCATTTTTTCGCTTCCGTTTGCGCTCCTTCTTCGAGATAGGCGCCTCAACAATCGTTTCTGGAGCAGGTCCTTCATCTGATCTCTCTTCCTCTTCCTCAGAAAGATCTCCAATGTCTGCATCCTCAATGTCTTCATCGATACTGCTCAATTCGTCTTCCTCATCCTCAGATTCAGCCTCGTCGGTCTCTTCTGGTTCATCAACAACGATCTTTCGTTTTCGAGGCGGCGGAGGTGCTTCATAACGTGCTTTTGGTGGAGCTTTGACTGGTCCAGCCTGCAGAATATATTAGAGTTGTCCCCAGAGTGTAGAAATTCTTGAATTTTCGGACAGCCTTACACTAGAAGCGAATAAGAGGGCTAAACCTGGATCAATGGCAGAGTGATTGACGGATATGGTCTTTTTCGAGTGACCCATGGTATTTGCTTGCTCCTCTGAGTCTTCAACAGTTTTGCGGCTTCGTTTTCCCATCGTGAATGTTTATTTTCTGATATCATGGAAATTCTTGCAGCTATTTTCAAATGTTAGTGCTCAGGCAGAAAAAAAGCGGAGTTTATTTTTGCCGATCGTCACCGCCTACCATTATAGAAAGCTCCACACACGGAGAAGGACTAGAATCAAGGATATAAGCTACGAATTTGAAGATTAATGTTCGAAATTACGACCAGACAATAGTCCAATCTTCCTCAGTTCATGTTGTGAAAATCGCATTCTGGGTCCCTTTGTAGCTTATGTTGATTGCGTGTAATAAACAACGCCAAGGGGAATTTAGCGTTATCCCGGCACAGGGCTGGGTGCTCGGCTGGTCACTTGCACCCCATGAAGTCGATGCAGCTCTTCACACCAACTCAGCGCTTTCACCATTTCCCATACCTGTCGACACTCCCAAATCTCAGTCACAGCTTATACATGTCTAAAAGACCGCGTGTGATTCATTGCGATTCCGAGAACCAACTATTTCACCTGTTAAACCCGGCGTTGCGGATTCTGCCCTCCTAGCAACCTTTTGATCGACACAATCCGACACGGGGTTATGTGACGACCACGGTAGACATACACAAGACTAGGAAGAGATATCATTAAGCAGGATGAGCATTGAAATGGAACAAGCAGCAAATTCTGTATTGCAAGCGACCGGCGACGACGCTTCTCTGGACGAACTGAGCGACGTCGAGGTCGACGGAGATGGCTCAAGTTCTTTGAGCGAAATTGAAGATAAGGATGCCGAAGGAGAAGAGGAAGGAGAGGTGTCGGATGCCCTCAGCGATGTTTCAAACGAGGACAACGATAGTGAAGCAGAAACAGAGCGCCTAGATCCATCTCCGAACAAATTTCGTCCACATCAGGACGTCGTCCTGAGCTCGCAGAACAATCAAGTTTACGAACGCAGTCCAAGCAAGCTCAATAAGCAGATCACTGCTGAGGAACCAGAGGAGGAGGAAGAGGAGGACGAGGAGGAAGAAGAAGAGCTATTGTCTGACGACGACATTTCTGTCAACGAGTCTCCCGAGTCACCAAGAAGCCCCGCCCTAGATGAGCCCGAACTTGAGCCCCCAACTGCTGCTATGTCTCTGCAAGACTCATCGGGAGAAGGGAAGAAGACATTGTCAACTATGGATCCAGACACAAAGAAGCGCAAGCGCTCGATCATGGGCGGGGGCGTGTTCGATGATGACTTGGATGAGCCTCTGCGCAAGCGCACTGGTTCTGTCCTTACACCAGGGGATGATTATGCTGTCGAGGACGAGATAAATCACGAAGAAGAAGTAGACAATTCGAATCCCATCAGCGGGGACGTCTCCGGAGACGAGGCAGAGCCGGCGCAAGAAGAAGATGTGGGCGAGGACAATGAGGATCATGTCGCAGATGAAGGAACAGTCCCCGAAGTACCTGACTCATTAGTCTCACCGAAGAAAAGGGGACGTAAGAAGAAGAAGGAGACAGAAAATGGGGTGGACAATCACGACGATCCAGAGACGGGAGCTGAGGGCGACGCGGTCTTGAATGGCAATCTCGAGGTTAGGAATGGCGATGAAGACCATGCAGACAATGAGGGAGACGACGAGGCTGAAGCCGCATTGAAGAACGAAGAAGAGCGTGAGTCGAAAACAAGCAGTCCGGTCGATACTGGGACACTAACGCGGACTTCAGTCGAGAGGAAGAGAATAGCTTTGGACCAATTGACATCAATAGAACGGCAGTTTGCAACTTTCAGGGACAGGTTTGTACAAAGAAGTGATGTCACGACCCTAGCTAATAAATTCATAGACTCTATGACGAGCGCCTCGAGCAATTGAATCGCGAAGAGGCGATGCTTCGACAAGACAAACCTACCCACCCCGAATACCTCGCTATGATGGAGTGTATCGATGCTCGACGGGATGCTAGATTTCGAGTGGCAGACAATCTGAGGGATCTTGAGATGGAAAGCCTTCGGATTACTGCTGTAGCCAAGAGAAGTCAGATTCTCACACAATACCAGCAAGACGTTCGTCAGATTCGGGAAAAGAAGCTAGAACAATTAGGCCAACAATGGTATGAGATACAGCATGATAGGAGAAGCTACGCAGGCAGTGTGCCGGATTATGCTCTTAAATTCCCTACTGTAAGGCCGCAACAGATCATGAACCAGGTGGCATATAGCAACGAAGTTTCAATTCTTTCCGGGGTCGCGAAGTATGTTGGCTTTCCAGCAGCTCCAAATATGGCTGCTGCCACGTCCGCGGAACTCGAAGAAGACTTGGAGAAGATGGGTGTAAGTACTGAATGTCGAGCAATATTCGAGCCAGTCATGCTGATTGGATATTAGCGAGTAAAGCATACCCAGGTTCCACCTCCTGGCTTACCTTTGCAGGAATTGGCTGCATTACGCACCGTTGGCTCAACATCCCGTTTTAAGCCTGCTGAAGAACAATTCATTGAGCAGACGCCATGGGCAAATCCACAACATCCTTCACATGCCCACCTACTCCAACGACAGACTTCTGCACAACAACCCCCCCGAACCACCAGTCCGTTCTCTCAAGTGCAAGTCCAGCCCCGGCGACATTCTCACCAGCAAGGATCTGGAGGCCCTATTTCTGGCACCTTCACAACTACTTCACATCATACTTCAAATGGAGTGTCCATGTCTGGAGGAAGGATATCACCGCATAATCCCTTCGCCAATTCAAGCCATTCTCATACCATAGCCCCATCGCCTCTTGGTAGCCGCCAGACATCTCTATCTCCCCAACAGAATCGTCTACTATCAGCAGTACCGGATCCGCAACACACTTTACCACCACCACAAGATATTCCCAAGAGTAATGGAGCTCATCAATCACCTCCAATTACTCATGCGGAAGGACCTCGTGACTTCTCTCATGAAGTTAGACGAGACATGGCAGAAGCCAGGCGAGAAGCAGCTTCAATGATGAGTCGATTCTGACTCGGTTTATATGATCATGACGGCGAACATATGGTGGAGGCGTTTTGATCCTGGTGTTTAGCATGGATGGAGTATTTACGGAGGACTTCACGTCTTGTATAGACACATGCTTTACGATTCTTCTTCAGCGCAGAGTTTATCCTAGTCTCTGTACTTATATTGTAGAGCTAATCTGCGACGATACCTCAATGATCACATCGCTTTGTCCATGCCCAAACGCCTTCTATGCTCGTACGATGTGTCTGGTGTGGCGATTTGCCTTAATACTTTTCTTGTACAGATGATTTCACAACTTAATCCCTTAAACCCAGCCATTTATCTCTTTCACTTCGCAACTGAAGCCATTGTACTTGCTCCGGCCTGTGGTGCTTGTGCGGGTGCGTCTGGGACCTTGACGTCTTCGAATTCGTCTTGCGAAACGGCTTTGATTGTCCACGAATCTACCCATCTACCATCAGATATAGGTTCAAACAGCTGTGACATTCACCTACAAACTCCCATACAAAATGCGAATAATCCCAGACCAGTCAATGAGTTTCTAATCAGGTATGGCCTTCGAGCGCGGATCAAGGCGGCAGATTGTTTGTAGTGCTTGTCGTAATACGAGGATCGTGGAAGTCTAGAGATAGCATATTAGAATCTTCATACGGGTTTCCAGTAATTATAAATGACAACTCACACTGCCATCTTGGTTGTGTTTGCTTGTATGGTGAATTGATCCCATTGATACAGAAAATCGTATCATGGACGACAGAAGCCGAAAGTAGTTTAGCGGCTTTCCGGCCGCATGCAGTACCAGAAGCTTGCATCGTAGCTTCGATCGTCACCAAGGCGCGTCTCGTCTTCGACAGTAACGCTTTCCTAGATTCTTCATCAACTCCGAATTTCTTGTACGCCTTCACGCCCAGGATGAAGAGCGACTTTCGAGGTCAAATTTCTCCGAATCTGCGACAAAGATAAATAATCCTGTTTTTCTGCGCATGCAGCGACAGCAACTTCTCGTAGAGCTCCGTGAAAGCGAACAGCATGGCTACCCCCACACTTTCCGTCGAACAACAAATAAAGCAGCTCGATGAGGCACGAAAGCTCGTATTGAGTGATGCTACTTACTATGAACGAATCATACAAGGCATCCTACCTATTGCTGCTCCTGGTGCCAGGGTAGAGTTGCGACGATGGGTTGCCGATTTTTTGGCAGAGACGTTCGCAAGTCCCTGGGTACCGGCGCATGAGAAAGAGAAGATGAGCTTGATAGTATTGGATACTTTGAAGTCTATGATTGAGAATCCACAAGAGGATGCTGCGGTCGTGAAGAGTGTCGTACAAACAGCTGCGAGTTTATACCCTGTTGTGGTGAGAAGGATGTAGGTTTGTCCAAACCCCTTCGCAGATCCGTGCAAGCCCTTGAATACGTTATTGCCCTCCTTCATGGGTTCCGAGTTTGAGCATAGCGGGTTACGAGTGGTTTGACGGCCCAATGTATTAGAATAGTCTAACATATTTCCGTGTACAGCATCAACGAACCAAATGACAGCCAGACATGGAGTAAGATGCTTGCTATCAAGTTGAGAATTCTACGGATATGGGACACTGCTACTACAGGTGTACGGATATGCTGCATCAAGTTTGCTCAGCGTGTCGTCCTAGTACAAACAAATGGCCCAGCTGTTGATCCTAGGGTATGGAATACTGTATTGTTCTCCCCTCCTCGATACTGACTTTAAGCTACAGAATGGCAATCCTCTCGAAGTGTCCCTTTCCATGGTTCCCCCGAATCATCCCCTCATGCCTCCTATGAACCTGGAAGCCGAAGCATCTGGACTGTTAGACCGAATGTTATCAGTCTTCCAAGAGAATATCAGGTGAGTAATTTATCTATTTTCCCATACGTTTCCCACTGACAGAAACAGCGATGCCGTTCTCGTTGATGCTACTCTAAACTCCCTTTCTATTCTGATCAGAGCCCGTCCCCATATTGCCAATAGAATCTTGAACGTCATCTTAAACTTCAACCCCCTTAAACAAGCCAATTCGCCCATGACCCCCAAGCTCCGCGTTATGGTGAAGTCTATGGAAAAGACCACTAGATCATTGCTTGTACACATCTTGAAACGGTATGCCCGCAAATCTCACATCAAGGCCAACGGAGTGCTGACGAAAATAGGGACAACCAACATCCATTGGCAGGTAAGATCCAGCAATATGTGGAGAGGATGATGAGATCGAAGTCGGATATTTTCGATGAAGTTAGTCGTAAACGAGGTCCACCTGAGCCTACAGATGGTTTAGACGCTGCAAAGCGACAAAAACTTGCTGCTCAAGTGACAAGTGCTCCGCCAAAATTCCATGTTCCTCCCCTAGACCCTGGCCCTCACTCGGTCGCTGAGCTTTTCACTGTCACAACCGACGATGCCTTAAAAGCGTTCGATGTTGCACAACTCTCAGAAGACATGGTCGTCAAAATTGGCATTACGATTCTGCAACGCATTGACGTCGATATGTTGAACCAAGCAGTTGAAGTGAGTTACTTTCCGAGGATCTCTCTTGGTAGCTTCCTCAGAGTTATCTCTAAAGATCTATCTAAAGCATGAACTAACCATAAACCAGGGCGTTCGGAAAAGATTAAAAATCATGTCTGAGATTGAACGTCTAGTGGTTACTTCATCAACAATACCCTTGGATGTAGAAGATGACGATGATGACTACGAACCCGCGGAAGATACAGAGCAAATACTAAATAAGCTCGACGCCGCACCTCCAGCTGAACTGGTAAAACTTCTGCCACCAGCACCAGAAGTAGCCCTCGGAAAGTTCAAGTTACCCGACCCACTTCCCATGTCACCAGAGGAAGTCGCCCTAGCCGGACGAGGTGTGGTCGATAGACTCTTCGGTCTGATGACAAGCTTGGATGAAAGAGACAAGAAATCAAAATCTGCTGGTTTCAACAGATTGGCAGCAAGTACAAATGATCGAGATTCATGGGTCACAATCATCACTCGAATTGCAACACGTGCCAGCGCTGGTTTAGAGGAAGCCGACGGTGTGAAGGTTGAGGCCAATCGCCCAACACCATTCTCTATGAGCAATACGATCCGCGAAGAAATGTACAACTACGTTTTTATGGACTTCCGCAAGCGTATTGATACTGCTGTTCAATGGCTTTGCGAGGAGTGGTATAATGACAGAATGCAGATGAAGCGAGGAGTAGACGCCATCTTGCATTACGAGAAATGGGTTCTTAGGATTTTGGATGGCATCTTACCATACTTGGATTCACAAGATCGTACATTGCTCATCAAGTTCCTAGGAGACATTCCAGGACTGAGTGCGGAAGTTCTCGGTAGGGTCACAGGCTTGTGTGTCAACCCAAGCACCGTAAACATGGCTTTGCAAAGTCTGCTCTATCTGCTTGTATACCGTCCACCTGCGAAAGAACTTGTACTTGCCGCCGTCGAAGACGTTTGGAATACTTGTAGGTTTCTTTCGTGAATCTCAAAGAGAACGTGCTAATATGCTGTAGACGAGGACGCTAGACCTGTTGTGGTCAAACTGTTCGTCAAGTATCGACCTGATTACGGCGAGCGATTCAAGGCTGCAGAGGGAGCAGAGAGGGCGAACGGTGTACCGGAAGTCAAGGAGGTCGCGGCCACTTGAGGAAGCTTTTCCTATCTCACAAATCATGGCGGTGTATTCTAGTCTCAGGGCATGTCATCTTCAGCATCATTGGGTGGCGTAATGGACTCATTTGATGGGTTTCGACGAATACACAAAAGTCGATCTGGTCTAGCAACGACCCTTGTATTCATGGAAGCGAAATGATGGAGCGTTATGATATTGAGCTGTCGATTTGGTGGAAATACCCACTACCGAATGAAATTTGACTAGAGAAGCAAGAAATGAATGCTCAACCAAGTCTCCTATCACAATTTTACTGCCCATTTCAATGCAGCACTTTTAGAGCTTGACAGTAGATTCGTGACTTTGAAACCATCGTTGCAGCACCAAAAGGATATTAGTGGCTGAGCAAGACGCCTCAACTGAGGCTGTTGGATTCTACATCGAATATCCTTCTTCTCCATATTCGCTAAAGTCGTGACGACTCATTTCACGCCTATCGCAATTTCCAGAATCATAATGCATACAAATATATCAACGGCGACATATAGACTATTATGGTTCATCTGTTATCTCAAGCTTGTCGTCTCAACTTCTTCCAAGCCATGGACCCCTGAATTTAGGCTAGATATCTGGCTTCTGTGGTACCCGTGCGGGAGTTCGAATATGACGGGACTGCTATTATTAAGCATTTCATTTGAACAGAAGCACTTCCAGAATGAAAAGCAAATTTTATCGAATGTGACTTGATTCGATGTGATGTTGGGCTGGTCAGGTCGTCTTCAAGGTCTTTGCCTGCAAGCGTCATTGGATATATGAAATGCTATTGGAAACAAAAGTGTTTCATGGTGATCTGATGGCGCGCATCGGTAGGAACCCGCGGCCCCCTGCATTGAAAGGAGACGGGGACGGAGACTTTCCATCAATGCAGGGGCTAACTGAATCTCTTGTAGTGCCAACCAGGGGTCCTTGGTTGCCTCATCGACCACTCACAACCGTCAGCAGCCTTCCGTAACGCTGGTGATCCGAATGAATATGTCAGTGCGAGGAACTCTTCTTGCTTCTTCTCCAGATCTACAACATTCTCCTATCAAATTATCTCTGATCCGGAGAAACAACATCACATATTGCTCCAAAAGGTTATCTCGAACGCCAGCACTTGCTTGCGACTTGTTAGAGTTCATCGACCGCGAGGCTCGAGGTATTGCATAATAAAGAGGCTCGCGTAGTATCTTTGTCATATAAAACGGCATTTGATTACTCGACGAGACGGCTAATCTACACATGCTGGATTTCTAGAAGATATGAGAGATGAACCAGTCGGCCTTAGAGAATCCCCGCAAAGAGTTATAGACGATATCCAATCGAAAGAGGTCGAGAGGACCCGCATAGCGTCTGCAGGTCCGAATTATTCTGGTAGGTCGCATATCCTCATTCACAGTTCCACAAAGCATCACACAGGTCTACCTTTGACAGATCGTTGTTCGTGGCAGTCTTGCTCTTTTGCTTCCAAGCGTGCTGCTATTGTCAAGATGTTTACTTTCACGTCTAACCAGACAATAGGCATTGGCTATCGCAAGACTACGAAATCCAACAAGACCAATGTGGCAGACCGAAGCCTCTCCCCAGTCTCCTCGAACGCGATGAACGCGCTGAACGGCCTTACCATACCCTCCGCAGAGCCCACAAAGAAATCTAAATCGACGAGCACTATAAGATCGGTACCCTCAGATCAAGGCTCACTCCTTTCCACCTCCCAAGACGATCCCTCTCGACGAGCCCAAGGTCGAAGCGATCCTACGGCGATGCCACATTACACCGGCGAGCACATTCCAGCTATACCCGTATCGTCATCACTGAATAACCTCACTCGTCAACATTCAAACTCAACCGGGCTCTCCGTAGCGAGTAGCGTTGTGCGCAGAATATCCTCCGAATTTGGCCCAACACGTTCACTGGCCAGCACAAACGGTCTACACATCCCCGAGGACTCCGCCAGCACGAGCGAGACGCACGACACGAACGACTCGAACAGTGCGAGCAGCGCGAACGGGGTCAACGGCAGCAGTCTTGTAACGTCACCTTTAAACCCCAACACCACCCAGCAATGGAGCACTGCGGTCGGACGATCCACCCTTGGAAAGTCTGGCCGGGTGATTGAGAAATTGCAAAACCAGCTCGATACCATGCGCAGGGAACTAACGTCGGAGAAGGCCAACACGGTCGAGTACAGAAATGCGGTGGCGTTGGCGGAGACGAAGATGGGTCAGATGAGGGAGGAATACGATATCGCGTTGCATGATGCGGCGATTGCGAAGACGTCGTTGAAGAGGAGGGAGCGTCAGGTCGCGGAGATGAAGGCCCAGATTGAGTCGGAGAAGCAGAGGGCGGATAAGGCGGTCGAGAGGGAGAAGGGGTGGAGGGAACAGATGGAGAAGGTGGAGGAGGAGAGCAAGAGGAAAGTTGAGGAGGCTCAAATGCACGCGGCGCTGATGGACGGACGGGTGAAGGCTATGTCGAGTCACTGGAAAGACCAGGGGGCGGAAGTCAACCGGACGGTCGTCAAGCTACGGACGGAGATTGGCAAGATCGTCGAGGCGAGGAGGGCGGATGATAACAGGATGAATATGCTTCAAGGACTATGCGATCAGCAGGCCGAACAGCTCACTTCCCTCCAAGCCGAGAAGGAGGCCATTGAGCGGAAGTTCGAAGAGTACAAGCGAGAGCAGGAACAGGCGTTACAGGACATCAAAACCAAAGCGATATCCCAAGAGCAACAGAACGAGTCGAAGTTACAGGAGACTCAAGAGGTACTCGGGCAACTGAAATGGGCTCTCAATCTACAGAAGAACACCAGAAGTCCTCGTTGAATTACATGGAAGGGAGGAAGGCTGCACATATGTGTATAATGGACAACGAGGGAGGGCACTTATGATGATACTTATGACCTGATGAGCAAAGCAAGCAAGCAAGTAACTACATACATTTCATGGCGCGGGGGTTTGTTTGTTTGTCTGTCTGTTGGTTGACCGGTTGGTTGGATAGACTTGGCGCGGTCAGTCGGTCTGTTCTTCGCTCGCATTTGCATGGGGTTCACTGGAGTTTTTACTTACCTACCTTCTGTTTGTATGGGTGAGGAAGTTCGTGCCAAGAGGATTGAAGAGTGTATGTAGAGATGATAGAGAGAGGAAGGTTGATCTCAATGAATTTGAGGTTGCGATGTGTGTTTTTTTTACGTGCGTGTGTGCGTTTGGTGAATTGATTTCCTCTCTTCCGTAAGATATGTTGGAGAGCGTGAATGTGTGAGATACTTTGCTGTACTGCCACTGTTATAGTTTCTTCTAGTGAAGCTCAAGATTTGCTTTACTTTTGCTACGGTCCTGCTTTAAATTGTGTAGTTTGAGGGACGTATTTTTGCTTTTTATTTGAATATCTTGAGTGGAGAACCTACTTTTGTAATGCGGGTTTGATACCTGTTGCTTCTAGGTTGTCCTTGATCGAGAGGAGACTTTTATGGTGCTTAAATTGCCATTTTAAGAATCGGCTTTTGAACGTTCACTTCTAGGTATTTGATTTTGGTATCAATTCAAATTTGAGACTTTTTGACCTGCAATAATCTTGGCAAAACTTCACTGCCCGACAGTTAGATACAGAGTCGGCGGCTTGGGAGGAGTTTTCTCCACTCTCACTGCTATCAAGAACGTTGCACTTTGACAATCTCGAGATAATCCGCTTTATCGTTGTCAAGAGCGATACTGTTGTCAAGAAATGCCACGTTATCGAGCTCGAGTATATCCACACCGGGCAGCCTACTATTTGTTTAGAAAAGCCCCTTGCCCAAAGCTGAGCCCTAAGGACGTACCAAATTGGCCGGCTCCTAGAAGAATCTCGTTCAATGATGCAACGCTTTTCAGTGGTATTTTTAAGTTTCGAGTGCTGATTGCTCATGGTATATATAGACGCTGAGAAGGTTGGAAGGACAAGAGCCAAGAGAATCCGACCACGTGACTTTTCCCACACAGCTGGAATTTCGCAATTCACTGTATTTCATTCAATTTCGAACGTACTTAGGTAGGTATTCCCCTTTCGAATTCAACCTGATTCACCCCGTGACTCGTGAAATTCACCTTTGGTGCAAGGCTGCGAGGCCGCAATTTTTCCCACATAGGAAAGCGCGCTTCCCCCGCAACTTCCTTCAATACCACAACATATTCACACTCCTCAAATTCTTTCACCCTCTTCCTGTACCATCAACACCGAATCACACATCCTTCAATTGCATTGTATCATACACCGCAAGTCTTTTGCGCTTTATTTCCTAGAGTCATCCGCTTAGGTGAATAGCTCCTAGTAAACAAAGCGCGTTCGCCCGACTTGCATCGACCTCGAGCCAGGGGTTCCCTCCTCGGCTCTTCCATCTACTATAAAGTCTCGCTGGAGGTCTCTTCGATTCCTTCATCGCACTTTAGAGGTAGAAAACCACATCTCACGGTTTGTGGCTTCCTGGTTCTCCGGCAAGTCTCCCTCCCCGAGGCGTTCGAGTTCGTCAAGCTCGGCTTCCACCTTCAATGCTGATCTGAATCCTACGGAGCCCGTGACTACCTATTCCTGACCGACCGTTCTTTGAATTGTCGTTGCGAACACTTTAACGGGTGTCAACTTCGTTGTTTATCCGTCTGACTTCGACAAACGGACGACATATTGATACAAAGGTATGACACTACAATCATTGACAGAGCTTACCTACCCGACGAAAGTCATACTTATCTGACGGAAGTCGTACTGCTCCCCAACGAAAGTCACGCTTACCCGACGAAAGTCATACTGATTGATGATACAGGACCGCACCTTGTACCAGCAGCCTACATTCCATCTCCATCCCCTTGGCTATTGCTTGCCCCAATATGTCAGCTTACTACTATGAGCGGAAGGACTATGCGCCTAAGTCCAATCTAGCATCCAGTGTCATCTCTAAGTCCACTGCACCACCTAGGGAGAGAAGAATCACGTTTGCGACAGAATGGTTCTGGTATCCTGAAGGGGTCAAGACTGTGCGGGACAGATTCAACGCGATCATGGCTGCCAAGGAGATTGTGAGTACATACTATATTGCTTCTGTCAGTCAGTGTGGTTGCTTTTCGCCGACGAAGTTGGCTGTTGCGACAAACTTCTTCATCCGAGCTGCATGCTAATGCGCCATATCTCCCTTCTCTTCTGCCTCTTTCTTTGAAGATGCCTGTTTGATCATCCCAGCCTATTGTACACAAGAATAAAGAACATGTACTAACAGTCTTCTTTTAGAATGTTTCCCATGAATGGGATGAACCAACGAGATCATTCCGCCTACGCTGTCGCGCTCAGGATACAACAGAAGTGTCAAAATCATTCTATGGTGTCCTCTCTGCTATTATCAAGGAAGAGTTGAAGAAGGGCTACAATGGACATAGACCATCGACTTATCTGCCTGGAGATGATGAAGACATTGCTGCAGCAGTACTTGAAGCTCTACAAGACACCGAAGATGAAATTCCTGAAGATGAGAGGGAGGAGTTGAGGTTGGATATCACAGAATCAGTAAGATACACATTGGATTTCTTCGAGATGATATTAATGATTTGCAGCTGAATAGCCGATTGATTCGACGTCTGGCATTATACCAAAAGGACCTGCGCGAGAACGCCAACCAGAGCGCCGAAGCCATTGCCTCACGACCTTCACCTGTCCCGGAACCAGAATATCCTGCCTTGATCGATCCATACAGCTTTCGCTTTAAGTGGTCAGAGTACGAGGGGAAGCCGTTGAAGCTTGAAAAGGTTTTCTCAGACGACACTCTTCAAGAACTCAAGAAGCTCACACGATGTGACTTCCACAAAGGCATCAAGACTGGCATCCTTTACATTGGTGGCAAGACAGAACGGGATCTAGAACTTGCGAAGCTCAAGCTTGATAATCTGAGAAAGATTTATGTAAGCAAAGGTTCGTTCCTCGGTGTGAACAGCCCTAACATTTCTACAGAAATCGAGACGACCTTATGCTGGCCATGTCTTCTACGCCGAAAGCCATGATAGTACTAGGTTCTTCCTCTGGCCTTTCGTTAAGGTGAAGAAGTTCTATTTCGAGACAACCTTACTCGACAATCTTCATCTGATGATGAACGGTGGATATGCCAGACAGCCTACCGAGCTTCCACCAGATTGGCAGAAGCTTCCTGATGCCATCACGATCCGCTGCGCCCTCTGGGATCAGAGCAATCATACTTTCGAACCAATGAAGAAGGTGGACATATCAACGGTTTCTGTTGCTGGTACAAGCACGCCACTCACTACTTGGGGTTTTCTTTGGGTCTATTCCCCAACAGGCAATGTCAATCCTCAACTGCGCTATGCAAATTTAACAACCAGCGAGGTTCCGACTCGCCCTTCAAGAGCCGCTGGGGCACCTTCCGGACCGCCAATTGCCAATGGAATCACAAAGTCGACGTCTTCGAATGCAATTGAACGAGCACAGATTGGAGATCGTATGAAGTCAACAGTTAGCCCAGGTCCAGATCGACGTGTAGTAAGCAGCAATGAGACGACCCTCCGGATCGAGAAATGGCAAGATGATGTCGTAGGCAATAGTGTCAGACCCATTGTTGCAGGTGGTAATGGAGAGTGGACTCTGCAAGATATCCTTCAAGCTGGAAAGAGAGGTAAGTTGATTACCAATGCAACTTACGGATACGTGAGAACATAGCTGACCAATTTTAGCTGAACTCGATGCAAAGCCTGAGTGGGATGATTATAAACAGATCGATGTTGATCGGGTTCTACTCAACCGGAAGGAACTTCCCACTCAAGCCTCTTCCGCCCTGAAGCTCGGCGTTGCAACTATGAAGATGAAGCGCTCAACAACTGTTACATCTGAATCCACCTCAGCTGGGACCGGAAGCCGTCCACCAGCTAGCCAACAAGCTACTCCAGCTGTGCAAATGCCGCGGTCTGTCTCGCAGCCGTTACCAATTCAGCCTCAATCTGCACGCGGACCTGAAGTAGTACAATCTCCGCAGTCGGCATTATCGGATATCACAAACAATCTTTTGCTTGATATGACAATTCCATCTAGCGAGAGCGGAAGCTTGACTAATTCTGAAGCTACCCTACCAGCACGCTCGCAACCACATCCCATTCTAGATGATGATGTGTCGATGGTTGCTTACTCGATCCTACAGCCAGCAAGACCTGGAGAGGTTTGGAATGGTCCAATCAACTCGATGTCAATGTCAATGCAGCCAATGGAACCAAGTGAACCAGAGCCCCATGTTGAGGAAGAACTTATTTGCTTGACACCACCAGAATCAGAAGCCTTTATGGAATTCTCGCCAGGTCCTTCGCCCGCTGTCTCGCCGAACCGGGGAGTTGTGACAGGTGAAGTGCCCGTCATTGACAAGATACAAGAAGAAGATGAAGTTGCCACAAGAACTTTCCACAAGACTATGAACCAGAAGGCCGGCAGAGGAGGTCGACAAAAGCAGGCCACACCCTTGAAGAAGCGTGCCGCAAGATTGCCTCTTCCCAGCCCTCCTCGACCCAAGGCTAAAGCTCCCATCGATCTGGAGGATCCCGTACCTCAATTTGTGTACGATATCACAAAGAGTTTCTCCGAGCTTGTGGACGCCGTTCGGTTGTTCCGAGGACGTCTCGTACTTCAAGTCGAGTTTGGTCGCATTTTGTTGAGAAACATGGGTTCTATGGTTACAAAGATGCCTGGAGAAAAGCTATACAGGGCTCAGACCTTGCACAATCATTTCCAAACCTCGGAAGTCGGCAAGGTATTGTTCACGAACGTTCTCTCGATGCTCCCTCGGGATATGCAATATCTTGTAGAGATCAAAGACAAGAAGGGAAAGTGCCTATGGAAGCCAAATCCAATCAACTGGGGTGTTCTATACGAATTTCACTATCGAGATATGAAGGCTCTCGACTCTCCCTTCTTTCGCGTTGAGATTAATGGTGAAACCTTCAAGAGTCAACTTCTCGTCAAACACGATCTTGGTCATACTTACGTACACGGTACCCTTCGCCACTGGGACTGCCGTATTGCTGCTCTCGGTTTCGCAACTCCTCCAGCTCCCAATCAGAAGCATCAAGATGTTCATACGGCTATCAAAAAGTCTCTCTACATTCCGTAAGTAATCACTACTGCCCTTAACATATTTCAAACTAACTTTTCAAAGTGGCCAGTCAAAGACGCCTCAACTCATGTGGGAGATGGATAGTTCCCTGATTGAGCAATTTCAACTAGTTGAAGTCATCGTCAAGCGAGTAACGAAGTATGGTAGTGAGGATGGCAAATCGGTCTTGAATGTCATTGAAGTGCAATCACTGGATGTTCAGTGTCACGAAGTTCCCGCCAAATCGTCTCTCCTTTTCGATGCCGCACCTGGACCTGAAAACGAGCCACCCGTCAAGCGATTGCGTTATTGGTGGGAGGCCAGCATATCATCGCCTAGAGGAGACAAGATTCTTGAGGAAAATCAGAGCTTAGAGTTAGGAGACGAACCTTCGTGGTCGGCAAAAGACATGGAAGAGTCAGATGTTGCATCATCCTTATATGCTCCAGCTTGCGAGATGCTTAGGCAGATGGATGGAGTGGGATTTGAGAACCGCAATGGCATGCCGCCTCGATCCGTCATGGAGCAGAGCAAATTTGTCCCGAAAGGGGGCCCACAAGATGAGATCGGTTTCTGGTAAACATCACCTTGTGGCCACCTCTGGGAACATGTCTGGGAACTGCGATGTGCAACAAAAACTCATGAGATCTTCTTCCTGGTCGAAGTCTTGTTTTATTACGATGGCCCACCCAGGGAGAGACAGCTGTTGCTCTTGCAGCTAGGTGTCTCCACGAAGCATTCCGGAAGGAACAGTTATAGCGATATTGGCCGAATGATGGAGCGATGGCGTTTCTTTTCTTTTTTGGGGGGATTCTGTACGATTACGATGGGCGACCGAAGGCGAGTGATCTTTTCCTGCTTGCAAAAGTGTTCTTGTCTTGTAAGAATTAAGGTCGGTGCGGATAGGATCTCGATGAGAACGATTCCCTTCCTACGGAAAGTGGAAGCGTTCTCCGGGATCTTTTCCTTGCCGAGAAAGATGTTGTAGGAATATGGGGGCCGCTCGAGGAGGAGGAGGAGGAGGAAGAGGAGGAGGGATCTGCTCTCTTGTATATTATTGTACATTAGATTTTCTTTCTTTTTTCCTTTTCCTTTCGAGGAAGTCGGAGAATTGCTCTTCCTTTCTGGACCGTGGAAACTTGTAACATATTTTCTTTAGCTTTTTCTTGCTGATTGCTGGGATGGAGGAGATGCATATCGAAAAGATTAACTAGCTAGATCAGTGCTACGGATGAGTGCGTTGCTGAGAGGAGGAGTATATGTAGAGTAGATTATTAGAAAACTGGTGGCGAAAATAAGAAAAAAGGGGTAAAATCTTTTGGGGTCTCGTTGTGATTCGATTTGATCTATGTGGCCCGTGGTGCGTGCGACTTTAATCCGGATGATATTCCGTAATAAAGCACGGCGAGCCTATTGCCAAATCAAAAAAGCGGAAGAATCATCATATCACCACCACTATCCAAAAACAGGAGTCCAACATCTCTTAGCTAGATATTAAGTACAAACGTCGAAGTCTCAAACTAATGAACGCCAGCCACTTTTTTTTTCTTCTTAGTTCTGACTTTCTTCGAGTAAGTAAGTAAATAAGTAAATAAGTAAATATTCTTAATCTTAATCCCCCCCGCTTGCTACTCGAATTCCAGACCCCCTTTTTCCATTTGCTGACTTTCATCGAGTAAATAAGTAAATAAGTAAATATCTTGCGAGTCCTGGGTCAAGGCTTAGGGCTTGGTGGATGGGTTGTGTTGGATTGTGTTGAAGTGTTGTTTTAGGTAGGGGATGGTTTGTAGGGAAGATATGTACTATATAACTGCTAGGAGTAGTAACGAGGAGCAAAGCTAACTCGTTTGAGCAGTAAAAGTAAAAGTAAAAGTTGAGGTCAAGGTGATGGTTAGTCAGTGAGAGAAAAGGGGTCGTACGGGGGGGGACGACTTGGTGGAAGATGAAGAATGTGGAATATGCAATCATATGGAAGGAAATAAGTGGGAAAGTAGTTGGTATCGACATTATCTATTCGTCTGTTCAATCTATACAAGATCCCACCCGACTGTACATGGTAGACCTGGGTATCTATCTGTTACCCACCACCCGTTTTCTTTCCAACCAAATGTACAACCCACTCGCTCATTCGCTCCAACAACAGCAAAACCCTATATCCAAAACCCCCAAAAAAAAGCGAAAGTCTAAACAACCGGCGAAATCTTCTCATTCTGCGCACTCCCCTCATCCGACGAACTACTCGCCAACTTGCCCTCGCGACCGGTACTCGTCCCCTTGAAATAAGAATGAATCTCATCGCTAAACTCATCGTCGAAAATCTGGTCTTCGGGATTCTGAAGCTTGGCAGCTTCCTTCTCTTCCCACTCGCCGCGGAGCTCCGCCATCTTTTGCTCGCGGTCGAGTTCTGGGTTGTAGTGTTTTCCTACGCCGCGGAAACGCTCCCAGAGGGATAGATGCTGCGGGTGGATGGCGATGCCGTGGTACTCGTCTTCGCGGCCTTGGCGGAGGTAGGCCCAGCGGCGCTCTTGCTCTTTGAGGTCGAGACCTGTGGTGTCTGGGAGGAAGAGGAAGGTTACGAGCATGCCGGCGAGACCGAACCAGGGGACGAAGTAGAATTTTTGTTGCGTGGTGATGTAGTTGTAGACGACGGCTGCGAGGAGAGCGCCAGCTTTACCACAGGCGGCGGAGATGCCGTGGGCGGTGGCTCGGATGGAGGTTGGGTAGACTTCGGCGGCGACGAGGAAGGTGACGCTGTTGGGGCCGAATTGGTTGAAGAAGCCGGAGAGGAAGTACATGGCTTGGAAGGCCTTGATGCCATGGATGCCGGAGTAGTACTTGTAGTGGAAGGCGGGGACGACGAAAAGGATGAAGTCCATGAGGAAACCGATCTGTTGCATCCATTTGCGGCCGTAGAATTTGTGGTCGATGAGGAAGGATGCGAGGTAGTAACCGCAGAGTTGAACACCGACGTTGACCAAGTTCCATAGCCAGCCGGTCATGACGTTTCCAGATGCGGCGGACTCGGGAGAGAGAACCTTGATGAATTGAGATTGGAAGAGCTTGTTGCCGTAAAAGAAAACATCGTTGGCGAACCAGCCACCAGTAGTAGCGATGAGACGAGGACCGAAGTATTTGAAGGTCATCTTGAGTGATTGAACGTCATAACCAGTAACCTTAGACTTCTTCTTCATGGCGTTCAAAGCCTTGGATGCAAGGGGCATCTTGTAGGTACGGTAGTAGACGAGCCAGAGAGTTCCAACGGCTGGGAGAGCGAACGAGACACGGTAGGTCCATTGTGCCGCAACCTTGGAATATGGTGGGTTTCCACTGTGGTGGAAGATGAGGAGGAGAACGATCAAGATGACTTGGTTGAAGAATTGACCCCAACCTTGCATCAAGAAAGCCATGGTAACCTTGCGACCACGGTGGAGACGATCCTCCTTGGTCGAGACACGGCCTGAACCAGTGGCGTTCTCCATGGCTGCAGTAGCCGTCATGGGGTACTCACCACCCACACCGATGGAGTAGAAAAAGAGAGACCATGCGTAGCAGATAACCCAGCCGTTGAGGTTGTCACCCCATGAAGCAGTCAACATGATGAGACCGACAAACATGATGATGGCATCTTGAATGAGACCCCAGCGACGTCCGATGCTGGAGATTATTAGCTGGTGCTCGATTTCCAAACCAATGTAAAACTTACGAGTCACCGATGATACCAACCATGATTTGACCGACAATTATACCAAGAACTTCGAGATAGGTGACCGAGTTGATCCACTGCTCATCACAGACTTTGTACGATTTCCAGCATGTTGGCCAAACAGCTTGGAACAAAGGCGTCAGGTTACCAATAGAGAAAAGGACATAACTTTTGAAATATAAGTTTTGGATTTCCGAGTCAATTGATCAAACATACCCTTCGAGACCAAGACCCGCACCAGGGAGAACAGCATTTCTAAAATACCAGCCAACTGGGCTCAATGGATCTCTCTTCATCATGGCTCCAATCTGGCCCAGTTCCTTCTTGGCTTCGGCATTGTTCACACTATTGACAAACTTCATTCGTTGGCCGAGGGGCAGATCAGCCCAGTAGACGCCTTCCGGAGTGTAAAGATCGTCTGGGTGCAGGATGTGGTTGAAGATTTGGGCCTCTCGTTGAGGATCGTGTGTATAACGCATTCTGGCACCCTCATCGCCCGTCTCGGGGCCGTGAGGGGCACTCACCATGCCGTAGTTGGTGGGGTCATGGTGGGGGTCGTGAACGAGACCGTCGTCGTAGGCGGCCATCTTGTCTTTGGAAGCTCGCACGAGTATCGTGAGCTAGACCAGGCAATTGAGATTTTGAGGCTCGAGATGGATGGTCGAGATTGATCTGCGAGGACAAGACGAGCGAGGTTGAGTGGGAGGGATCAAAATATATAGTACGTATGGATGTATGGTGTGGTGCGGGAGACTAAGGCAAGGTGGAGCTAGGAGGGGGCCGTCTGCATTGGGCTACCAAGGACTTTCGCTCGCTGCCCCACGCATGGCCGGGATGGGAAGTTATGAATAATACTGTACCAATTGTGATGAGGCCACGCGAGAGACAAAAGCACATGTATCGAGGATCCAACCTGATGGGTCGACGGCGGGATGGAGACGGGGGCTTCCGTTTGTGAAGGAGGGATCAGGAATGGCTCGAGGAGGCGAAGGAAGACTTCGAGAAGGGAGAGAAAGGCCAGGGGGGCGGATGTGATTTGCAGAGAGAAGAGTGAAGGGTGGATCCGAGGGGCAGAACAAGCGACGAGAACAGAATTTGATTGGAGTATGGTGGTACTTAGATGGATGTAAAGATCCATATCCATTTCCATATCCATGAAGATAACCGCGTCGAGCGCATTACGAACATTTCCAAAGAGGGGGCGGATGTCTGGTCCAGCTTGTCTATTCTCTCTCGGGCTGTAGTTTTCCCCACTAAGTGGAGAACGCCTCGTCGATGCGCCTATGACAGAAGCCAAGTCTCACAAAGACTCGACATGCTATCCTTGCAAGGTACCCACTTGGCTTGCAGACCCCTGGGTCGGCTGGAAAAAAGGTGCAGCGTCCTTACCCAAAGAGGAGATCGGACACATGCGCTACTGGAATTTTTCGTCCCTCCTTCCTCCTGCCGTCTTTTGTCGGTTGATGCTCGCAACCAGAATTCTCGACCATGATATCAAGCAATGATGAATATTAGAATTGCTAATATACAACTCGTCATTTGTGTTTGAAAAACCCTAGATACAGATACTTTTCCTTCACACCTTCGTTTCATCTGCAACTGTAAGCGTAAAGTAAGTAAGCCTTCCGCAGGCTCTTCCCCGGCGACGTGCAGAGTTTGGTGATAATGAGGCGCATCTCTTCCGCGCTGTCTCTGCCTTCCCGCACGTCTCCCGTGTGATACATCAGCAGAGCATTTCCAACGTCGAATCCTTTCCAGGCATTCGAGTCTGCTTCACGAGCTGACTGTTGCTGGTTACGGTACTGATACCTGTAGCACGTCGCTTTTCCAACAGAAATCCACCTCGACCTAGCAAACGGAGTGTTTCCACTCCTCGGCCTTGCTCGGAGGGGTCCAGTCCAGTGCTGTCCGAAATATTAGTACAGTAGAAATATTAGTTCTGTGAGACGCAACACACACTAGACGTTGGAGAATATTGGATATCAAATTATCGATTCCACTTCGACATCTCAACCACGCACGTTGTGAGCTCTGCCTTTTTCGTTGGAGTTGCACTTGCACGACGTCACCATACCCGTCCAAAGATTTCAGCGATAAGATTATCCATCTCTGACGATTTATCCAGATCGATGCATCCAGCGCCTCTCCCGCAGCCCATGATCGTGCGGCACCACCGAGAGAGTGAAGCTTTTCCAAGACGCGCCATCCCATCGGAAATATTCATCATCAAGCTCTTTGCCTGGATGGCCTCACTCTTGGCGGACCCTCTTTCCGCTCAGCGAAATCCAAGCACGCCGACCAGTCTTTTTTCCTTTTCGCACCGGGCGCCGAAGAGGAAGTTTTGAAGACGTTGAAGACAACCAATCAGATTGTTTTATCTGAGCACGTTCTCACATCTTTGGTGTTGGACCCCAGATTGCTTAGCGAGGACCCTCGGGCGCTATGCGGCAGTTGCATTGGGGCCGACGAGGGCTTTTCACACCCCGGTCTACGGTGGGGACCCCTGACAAGCAATTCGAGGCGTGAAGAGGGATGGATCATGGTCTGTTTTCGACCTTCTTCAAAATTGCTTCCAGAACACGAAATAAATGCTTCCACCACCAATCACCACATTTACGTAACAAGACGACCTCAAGTCTCGAGAGCTGAGGCTCTCACCATTTGCGAGGCGTTCAAGGCTTTTTGATCCGAAATTTTCTTCACGTTTGCTAATGCTTATGTCGCCTTTCAAGCCTGGTTTTCTTTCCGGCTGTCTTGGTCTGTCAATCCGAAAGCTTGACCCAATCCAAGACTTCTTGACACCCTCAAGCAATTCCAGCCACGTGGTTACAGAGTGGATACCGTCATCAATGTGCAGTCTGCGGTGTCGATTTCTTGTACCTCTACCGTACTCGATCTTTTCTCAGCCTGAGGCCAGTCTCCTCGCCCACGTGCGACGTTCTCGTCCCTCATACGCCGGCGGAGACATCACGGCTTTACTAACCACCAATTTCACCACTGTGTTTCCAAATCCAGCTCTTACGTTGGCCTGTTGCATATCCATATCCAATAAGATGAACCCAACTTCTATATCGAGCAGAAACATACTCGGAAGGAACGGCTCATCCTGCGATTCGGTGCTCCCGAGTTACGCACCCCAGATCAAAAGGAATCCCAAAGAGCCCGACACCTGCATCCACCCCAAGCAAGCCACCATACTGTGATCGCCGCTGCATGGCGTCTGTCAACCGCTGGTTGCACGCCGGCCATCCGTGCCAGGGGGTCGAATGCGCCACTTTCTGCGCCGCTGATGGGGGGACTTTAAAAGCACGTTGGCAGCATCGTGGCGCTGAATGGCTAAAGAGACGTCCTGCCTTGTGGGATTTTGGGCATGTGGGTGAGGCGAGTCTTCTCTGCCTTGTGGGAGCTGACGACATGATACGTATTAAGATGTGAACGATCTGGAATCTTTCGAGATAAGGGGACGGGCGATGGAGAGATCTTCTTGGGACGGATCTGGAATTTTGATGGTCCAGACGATCTTGAGAGCTCGATGATGCGGTGAAGTCGTCAGCGACTGTACTTCGGGAAGCATCAAGATGATTGTTTCTTGATCTGATTAGACAGGTAAAGGCTGAAGAGTCGGTCGCAGAGTACTATCCCTTTTGCGTGTTTTCCTGTTATTCTCACAGCGAGTGACAGATCTTCTCGCTGGTACACCATCAATACCATCTTGACAACGAAAAGGATGGCGATCTCACATCCATCACCTCTGCATTTCTTTCCCGCTCCTCTCGAGTTCTCCATATGAAATCTAGACTCCTAGTTCACTTTTTAGCAGCCAGCGTTCATCCCATCACATGCCCTCGCAAGCGCGAGAGAGAATTCTCTGCCCAATCTCGTGGCTAGGCTATAGTATATCACAGGGTGGATGTCCTTGCAAAGTGAAAAGAAAAGCAATTCTGGGCTCTGCAGGTACCAGATTTGGATGTCTGGCTTGTGTCAGCCACGATCTGTGCTGTGGTGGTGGCGCTGTCTCATTCATTGCTTTATGCATGGAGCCTGAACTGGGGGAAGATATATGGATCAGGGAATTGCTTGCGAGTATTTCGATAAGTCGGAATGCTGAGGATGTTTTGGATTCGATAGTTGCTTTATTGATTATATGGGCCGATTTGTTTCCTAAGCAGATTTTACTGTTTCGTGGTTCGAATTTCATATGCCAATTATGTTTTTGTGATCTTTAGATTCGAGATCAAACTTCTATTGAGTATTTCTTTCATGGGGTCATTGCACAGTTCTTTCTCTCTGCCCATGTTTCTGTCTCTATCTTCCTTCTATGAATCGTCTACCCTTCCCTTTACTTTTCTTTGTGAGCACGGAAAATGATTTTCGTCTCTTGCGAAGGTTTGATAAGATTGCTCAATTTCTATACCAAGTAACCTTCCAAAGTTTTAGTAATATTTCTCAATTCATTTCTCAATTCATTTCTCAATTCATTCCTCAATTCATTCCTCAGTTCATTCCTCAATTTCTGCACCAAGTCATCCTAAGCTAATCATCCAATATGACCATCACATAAACCACACCCCTTTCTCTCACTCGCCAACAACCACCGTCCTCACATCCCCCCTCTCCTCCCCCTCAAAATCAGTACTACAAATAACCCCCTCCCACTCCTCACAAACCTCCAAATGCCTCTGATACCTCTCCCTAATCTTCCCCAACACATCCCTCCCCAGCGGCAACCGATCCGGCATCTCCTTCCCCTCGGTCACGCCCTCGCCTTTCACCACATCGATCATCATGTTAACAGCTTTCTGCGGATCGCCGGGTTGATTGCCGTTCATCTTGCTCCACAAACCCGCTCACAACACTACTAAGCTCAGCGTACGCGGGTAGGGCGGACGATGCGGGAGTGGTGATGAGGTGGCGAGGGGGAGAAGATTGAGGTGCGGAAGAAGCCGAGTTGGAAGAGGATGGAGCGGATGGAGAAGGGGGTGGTTTCTTGGCGGAAACAGTCGAATAGGCCTGCTTGATCAGAGATGAGTAACCGTGTTGGCTGGGATATCGGGGGAGATGTTTGAAAGGTTTGAAAGGGCATTTGGATCAGAGTAAGTAAGGAAATAAGGAAACTTACCTTCCAAAGCAAATTTACTCGCACAATAAGCCCCCGCCCCAGGCTCCCCCGCTATCCCGCCCGAAGACCCGATAAACACCACCACACCGGCCTTCCGCGCCCGAAAATGCGGCATGAGGGCGCGTGTCACGTTGATTACGCCCAAGAGGTTCGTGTTGAGTTGTTTGATGTATCTTTCTGCACTAATTGCCACACCCATTAGCCCTCTCCCTTACCCTACCCCCTCCACCCACACAGCTCCAAAGAACCAAACCAAAAGAACAGAAGAAAGAAGAAGAAGAAGAAAGAAAGAGCCGCAAACCTAATCTCCTCAACCATCCCCGCCTCAATATACCCCGCGTTATTAACCAGCACATCAACGCCCCCGTACATAGTAGCCCGCCTCTTTAACCTTTATATCAATATCAACCCTGCGGTGTGCCATGACGTCGAGATCTAGGATTGTCGGCTCCGGCCGGCTGTTTTCAAGGATGCTGGGCGGGGCGGGTGCGTTCCGTTGCGGGCTGTTGGCGATGACATGGTCTCCGCGAGAGAGGAGGGGTGCAGGCGAGGACCGGAGGTGCCCGAGGCCGGAGGGTACAGCCTGTTAGGAGCCAGGTTTGGGGATGGGGAGGCATTGTGGATTGGGTTTGGGGTCGTGGGCGTGGAGGAGTGATGTTAAGGGGGAGTTTTTTTTTTTCTTTTTCTTCTTTTTTCTTTCTTTCCTTTTGAGAGGGGGTGGGGGGAAGGGACTTTGTCGAGTGAGTGATTGGGGATGAGAAGAGGAGTGTGTTTGAATTTTAAAGTAAGGTGTTTGAATGGATGATGTGGAATGCGTGTGTTGGTGAGGAAGATGTTGGTATCCAACAAGGAGGTAGGGAAGGGTTGTTGACCAACATTCCCTTGTATGGAGATATGATATAAACTAACATTTGAGGAGTGCCGAGCAAGAAGATTGTAACAAAAAGGATACTTGGCTTCTAAGAATACAACGATAGAGAACAAAGCCATTAAAGCGAGGAGAGGGACGAAAGGAAAGAGTTTTTTTCATGTGAGTTTCTTATATTAAAGAGAAAGATAAAGATATCCTGATATTGGGATACTGAGTATATCTACCTAGCTAGCGAAGGAGTAGCTAGTCTTGGGACTCTACGAGTATGCTGAGACGTTTGATTGACAAGAATTATTAGCAAAGATATAGTGTAATCCATCAATGAACTATTTTGGGATCCGCTGCCGTTGAGCGTGTATCCAAGCAGGAGAAGACCGCTGTGAGAACTGCTTCTTATATGAAAGTTACAAACGAGTAACGAGGCAGTGAAACAGTGGGGTAGGACTGAAGGGGGAAATTACGAGTCAATGTGCATTATGAGGAAGAGTCTCTGAATCCTAGTCATCAAAACAACTTTACTAGCTAGCAGCCCCAGATACACAAATCGCTTGGAGTGGAAAGCGGTTCATTATATAATAACATAAAAGGTAAAAGGTTAGGCAACAAGAGGATAAAGCCAAAAACCTTTTAGGAGGAGATATTCGTCAAAGGACCTTAGTTTTGGAAGTTGTGGCACGGAATTGATGGTAGGGAATGGGATTTTAGCTCTTGTTCTGGGTCTAGTTTTCGCTGGACTGATGGGAGTTCACTTGAAATGTACTCTAACGAACATGGGGACAAAAGTCCGTGCGTTCAGGCT